AACCATCGCCTCGCGCTCTTCCGATGCCACGATCCGTCTTCTCGCTTCCGCACGCGAGCCGATCTCACCGCTCCTTGCGTCCTTTGATTACACTGGTCAACACACTTTTTCTGGCATAAGGTAATCCAACGGTTTTAAGGTAATTTTGCGGTGCTGATTCCAAATCTGGAATCAGTTTTTGTCTATCACATCAGGTTTTTGAGATATCAAATATTGCATTTTCAATAAAAACTGCGGAAGAAAAATATTAAATAAATGTGGATATCTACATAAAATGATATTATAAACACACCATTCTAAAAATACAGCACCATATTTTAACACTAAAGCAGTCACTGACTCGCAACAACTTGCAATCATAAGTGACAGAGTTAATTTCGGGTAAAATCAATGAAAATGGGGTATGCCGATAGCATACAAATGAGATGTGATAGAGCAAATCTGAGATCAGATTTGGAATCAGCACCCTGAAATTAGTCTAGAACAGCTGTAAAAGTCCAGGCCAGAAAAAAATGTTTGTTTTTGTTGTTGACCAGTGTTATCTCTTGACCACCGGCCTCGGAGCGACATTCTCTGTCCCAATCCCCCAGAAATTTTAATTACCCCGCCTGGTAATACAACAGGAGGTCGTGGGTTTGGTATAAGGAAGCCAAAAATGTATTCCCTACGGCTACGAGGCCCTCTGCCACAACGATTTGGAATTTCCACTGCTGGATCAGAACTGCCATTGGCTCCGGCTGAATGATGCGACACGGCCATTATGAGTCTCCCTGAGAGAGAGGAAGACTCCAGCACTTTAACCCAGAACCTAGCAAGTGGCGGCTCGCTGTCTCTGACACGGTAATTATGAACCCCTTGACGGAGTGAGAGACACCCAACCCTAAAGCTTGAATCCAGCATCTCAGCGGCGTGAGCTGAGTGTCTCCGACAAGGCCATTATGAACTCTCTGACAGAGAAACAGACGAACCACTCCCAGAGCTTGAACCCAGGGCGGCGGTAGTGATGGCAGTGATTCTTACACAGCCACGATGTACCTTTGACACCACCCCCGAACATTCAGCTCGAGGGAGAGAGACAGAGACCCAGCCCTCAGCACTCCTTTGCCGTGTCTCCGACGTGGCCATGTGTCTCTTGACGCAGCGCGCGAGAGGACACGCAGCCCTCTGACATTAACCCAACAACTAAACGGACGCCACTTGCGGCAGGGCGCCGCGGTGGCGAAATGTTAACTACCTCGCCTGGTATACAGGAGGTCGTGGGTTCCATCCCGACCCTTGACGCCTGCTGCTGTATATTTGAAGTTTGCGTGTCAATCTCTCTCTCTCTCCCCGTGGTCGCGTGGATTTTTCTTCCCCGGTTTTTCCCCCTCTTACATGTAGAATCAAATACGCGTTCGGAGTATTTGGGCTGTGAATACATTTCCACGCGATGAGCCATTTCGTTGCGATTGCCAGGGCGCTTTTAGAAAAATAAGCTACATATCTCAGTGGGACCTTTACCGGATAAAATAAAAATATATAGTTTTGTTTAAGTTGTATCTGTGACATGGCCAACAAGACGCTGCACCGTTGAATGCGCGCGCGGTCACCTCCCAGTTCGAACGCGGCGTCTTCATCGTGCCGCGTGGCCGTCTCCCGCTCGTTCACGCAGCAGTCGCTCGTCACATAAATAAAGTCGTGGGGGGTGGGGGGGCGCGTGGGATGACGGCGTCTGTAGGTGGCAGGGAGATCTGCCCGGCTGTCTGAAGCCGAGGATAAATCCTGCTAACAAGCAGCGGCAGCTTGGGGTACTTTTAAACGCGTTCGCCCGCGCGCGTTCGAGAGCGCGTGATTGTGCGCGCGCATGCGTTTGGAGCGGTGGCGCAGCGGTTAGCGCGCTGCGCTACGGAACCGTGGCGACAGGAGTTCAATTCCCGCTCAGTGACGATTATCCGAACCGGTCGTGGGCCTCCCCTAGGTCGACTCAGCATCAAATGAGTACCTGGCGCCGTGTGTTTAAACAAGGCGGCCGGGCGTGGTGCTGGCCTACCTACCCCGTCTTCGTGTGCCGGCCTTCATAGGTGCTCGCTAACAGCACTTGCCCTAACAGTCTGTTGAGGCTATATACGGGGAGGGGGGGGGGTCTTTGTATTTGTGTGTGTGTGCGCGTGCCGATATAAGTCTTCTTAATTCAAGCCGCCTGCTCCCCCGTACCAAAGTGGCGACATGACCTCACGATGCCCCCTGCTCTCCATCCAAGGCGAAGCGGCCAATTTGTCGCCGAGAAACGCGTCCGTTTTCTGAGTGGAGGGGGACCACAGCTAATGAGGATGGGGGGGGGGGCTCGCTTTGGGGGTCAACGAGGCGAGTTGACGGTTGACCTCACACCTCCATCCCCCCCACCCCAGCCCATTGCCCCCACTCACCCCCACTCCCACCCCAGCCCCCCATCCCTAACCCTTCCCGGACGGACACACACAAATCACACGCGCGCATCGCAGAGGTCCGTCCGACTCCCTCCATCCCTGGCGGCCTCCTTCCTCCTCCTGCCTCCTGCCTCCTTCCCCGCCGTTTAGCCCGGCTGACTCTTGCGGGCAACTGCTGCTCGCGAGCCCCGATTAAGGGCCGGTGGGTGCGAACACACGCGGAGCACGTGGAGTGGCTGGTACAAGTAAAACAAAAAACACACTTAACTCGCGCCCGGCCACCTTTGTCTCTGCGGTAACGATGCAGACGTGTAAACCAGTCTATTTGGAGGTGCGGGTTGGGGTCGGTGGTTCATACCAAGATGGGGATGAAATGTGTTGTATGTGTGTTGGGGAGCGGTGGTGCAGCGGTTAGCACGCTGCGTTCTAAACCTGGTGACTTAGAGTTTTATTCCTGCTCACGGCGAAACCCAGTGACGACTATTATAAACCGGTCCTGGACCTCCCCTAGGTCGACTCAGTCTCAAATGAGTACCTTGTGCTGTGTAAAAAAACATCACCAGTGGGGAGACAAAGACGCTCGGGCGTGATGCTGGCAACTCCACCACCTAGTGTGCCGTGCCGGCCTTCATAGGTGCTCTCTGACAGCACTTGCCCTAACAGTCGAAGGCAACACGGGAGATCTTTGTATTTGAATGCTTATCCTTCATAAGCAAAGCTAGCAAGACCCTCCTGAAAAAAAGAAACCTTGAGACTCAAGCGAAGATTTGCTGGTTACAGAAATAAAGAAATTAGTCGCCATCAACAGCCATGACTTATCCACTGCTGGATGAAGTCCTCCACGAGGGACATCATCACGGTCCCGTGACACAACATTCCACCTCGCGCCTGCACACGAGCCGACTCCAGCACTCCATAATCCCATTAGCATGGGTTGGCTACGTACGGTGCGAAAGAAGTACACTAGACATAATATAATCTCGGGTGTGCTCTCAATTATAAGCATCAGAATGTTGAGCCGCGTGCAACTATTGCACGTGAGAATGGCTCCGTTACAATTTATATTTTTGTACGTTATAGTTCAATTCCTCGCCTAGCGCGTTTATTAAATCAATCACCCCTCCAGGATCGGTGATATAAGTACCACTCTGTTGGGTATAAGTCAACAGTGGTCGTCACCATACGGATGGTTTCCCTCCTGCATTGCCATTTCTGCCTCGAGATTAAGTGCTGCTCTATCTCTCGCTTGAGCACAAAAAGCCCCCCGTAATATCTTATTGGTTCTTTCGGTAAAGTCACGCAGAAGGGAAATAATAAAAATTCAACATAATAAAATACAATTCTCACGTTTCGGCCACAACTCAAGCAGCCGTCCTCAGGTGAAAGACAGCGTCTCATTCAGACGCTGTCTTTCCGACAGACCTGTTCTTCACCTGAGGACGGCTGCTTGCGTCGTGAGAATTGTATTGTATTGTTTTATTTTTATTATTTCCCTTCTACGTGACTTTACCGAAAGAACCAAGATGAATCCCTGCAGTCACGAAAGCTTTAAATCGAAATCCCTCCGCAATAGTTTAGACGCCAATTTACCACGGGTTATGTTCACCTTACACAGGATTCTATGCTCGGAGTCAGTCAGTTTTTTTGGCCAGTGCATTGCACCAACCACAAACCACTTTCCACACGGCCAGTGCACAGCTGCTGCTGATGCCGCTACTGCTGCGTTTGCCGATTATGGTTCTGCTCCTCGTTCCGCTTCTGTTGACGCTTCTCGTGCAGTGCGTCACCGGCGCTCCCAACGTATTGCGGTGGTTCATGCGAACTTCTTTCGCACCGCACGTAGCCAACCACCGATAATCGGAGCTGCGATGAGCACGGTTGGCTTCTCATGCTCCCTCTGCTTCTCCATCCCAATGCTCCTTCCTAAGCCTCTTGCAGCAGCAGCAGTTGCTGCTGCTGCTGCTGGGACGCTGCACGTGAAGTTAACTCGGGGTGTAATTGCCCGGCTGGCGGGCTCACGAACCACCACCACCCCCATCTCCCCCAAGCCCCCCCACCCACCCCCCCCCCCCCGACTTCCCTCCACTGCGTCAAAGCCGATTGAAAAATGAAGGCGGCGCGGCGCGTCAAGCGTGATTTATTGCCCGAGCGCGCCGCGTTCACGTGCGGGAGCGGAGGTGGTGAGAGATGGGGGGGGGGTAGGCGAGGGGGAGTAAGGGCGGGGTGGGGGTGCTCCCCCCCCCCTTCCTGACTCCCTCCCACTCCCCCCCCATCTCGCTGGATTGATGTTGGTTTTGGGCAGAATTCGCACCGCAATTAGTTACGCGGCTCCGTCAAATTGTATCTATCAATCTGCGGTAATGGGAGGCGTTTTTCCGCACCGGGCTGTTGCTGCGGGTAAGGAGAGGGTCTGGTGTTGGTGCGGGACAAAATTTTTTTTTTGGGGGGGGGGGGGAGGTGAGTTTTGTTTTTTTTGCCGGAGCCACACGAGCCGCGACGAGAGCAAGGCCCGCGATCGGAGGGGGCCGCGTCGTCCCGTTTCCGACAGCGTCGTCGTCATCGTAGTCACGCCGGTAGGAAATCGTTCATCGCGTTTAATTCAGTTCCTTAAAAACGTTTCGTTTCCCTGACGAGATATGAAATTGCAAAACTGCGGCAATTATTGTATTTTGTACACAATCTTAATAAAAGTTTTTAGCTATTTCAAACAAAATACCGTCACCCGTTAAATTAGCGCTTTTTAAAAACGTTCTCCGGCGTAACTGACCACACATTGATGATGCTACGTCATCTGACAGCAACGTGCGTTGAGGGTGAACTGTAGATTCTGAAGAACCATTGGAAATTCCCATAACAGGTTCATGCCGAGTGAACTGCAGTTTACCGACTTTCAAGCTATCTTCTTGAACGACTCGGAGGCCTGCACATCCGTTGGACGCGACCCATCCGTCCACGCCAGCCAGCAAAACTTTTTCTTCTAATATAGGTAAAATTGATATTACGACAAATCATGAGATCGTCAAATGTAACATTGTATTAAAATCGTATAATGAAAAATTGCAGTTATCCCTAGGTGGCACAACGGACTTGCAATCCAGTTGTCGCCGGCTCGATTCCATCTCCCAGTGCGGCAGTTTAAACAACGAACACGTGTCTTTTTATTTTAAAATCCCCCTCCATCGATGTCTACCAAGCAGTATAAATGGCCGTTGTCGCGTGTGGTGGAGTAAAGTGTGAGCACTCCCACCCTCCCCTAAGGCGTCCGGCCAGCGTGCAAGAGTAGGCCAAGATACCCTATATAATCTGGAGGGGGTGCTCTCTATTCCCGTTCACGGTTAACATCGATGGCGCATGATATCTGAAATGGTCCTGCATGTCCTGCACTGACCAGCGTGGTGAAGTATGCTCAAAACCCTCATGACCAATGTGGCGACATGGCATGGGGTGGCTTTCATACTGTAATGAACTGACAAAGGGCTGTGAGTTTATGTTTGAAAGAACTCAATCTCCGAACCTGTTACATCTCGTCAAAGAGCATTACCCATCGCACAAACTCCGGGCATCCTCACAGCGGCTTGTGGCTTGCCATCGAACAAAAGACGGTCACTGCATCGCATGATTTCAGATGTGTTTCTGCGGCCATCTGAAATGCTATTCCGATATTAAGAAACCACTGGAGTTGTGCACTTTTAAATCTAGATTTAAAACTCATTCCCATACAACTGCTTTTTGTGTTTAGTTTGTGGTCCTTCTCTCGCACCTCCGATTAGCACGGTTGGCTACGTACGATGCAAAAGAATTTCAATGTACATACGTTCGAGTGCACTTGGATAGTGCTAAAAGTCCATCCTACCACGGCAAAACTCAGCGACGATGCTCTCTAATAAACAATTAGTGAAATAAACGTAACAGATTGGTTGACCAACACCTCCGTTACTTTCGATCTACGGCGTCCGATTGTCAAATTGTCGGGCGGGTGGCGGTGGTGGTGATGGTGGGGTTCAGTTCACGATTACGTTCTCTTTTTGCACCGCGGCTGTACCGAAAAATCTACAGCTAGGGAAAAAATAAAAGCGATGCGGAGTGTTTCGTAGCAATCTCAGTTGGTGGGTCAGTCCTTGCAGCAGTACACATTTTCATTTCTCAAGGTCAAGGGTCACCCAGCCAATTCCGTTGCCCTCTGACCTTTCAATGAAGACCACGTTTATCAATATTTGCTCATTTCTGTCGAAGCCGACACCCACACACGTGCAGTCCAATTAATTTATACATTCACGTGTTCCTTGTGGTGCAGTGAGGAGTAGTGCTGTAATGATGGTCAGCGATCTGCACTACAGACGTCGATGTCCAAGTTCGATTCCTGGCCATGGCTAACATCAATCGTGAAAACAGCACTGGTCGTGAGCTTCTCCGCACCTCCGATTAGCACGCTTGGCTATGTACGGTGCGAAAGAAGTTCAACAATCATACATTCTCCTGGTGCAAGGCGTAAATGTCAGCACTGTGGAGAGACTAGGGTAATTCATATTTTATTTTACTGTTCGTGTGTTTTTTGCATGTGTTCACGTTCTATGCGGAAACAGTTCGGTACCTCTGCACGATTTCAACTAAAGTGTCAAATTGTGTTGCTATCACCGACTCGCTACTATTGAAGACAATTGGCCACGGTGATTCGCGTATTGTCCAAAACTTGGGAAACACAAATCGGTGGTAAATCGACGTCGCAGATACGAAGACGAGTCTTGCCTCAACAGATACCCCCCGTCGGCTTCCGCACTGCCAGCAGTTCATCGCTTCAAGACAATCTCGTGTTGGATACTGTTGGATATTGAGGGACTGCGTTTGTTAGCTTGCTGTGGTCTGGAATTGTTCCTTGCTGTTGTTTTGCTGCCTTGCCAAAGCTTGGGAGTTGGTGCACTTATGCAATTTGTACTTATATACTTTATCTATTTTATGTATTTATTTATTGGTGATTTGCTTACCTTTCCCATACGTTGAACTCCTATCGTGTTTTTGCACCGTTTGTTGTTGTCACGTTCTGACCTGCCCCTACTGGACATCTGTGAAAAAAGAGCTTCATAGCTCATCGGATTTCTCCAGGAATAAAGATTCTGATTCTACAAAGACGCTGCACGAATCTGCAAGATGTTAAATCCCTCGCCTGGTATACAGGAGGCTGTGGGTTCGATTCCGACCTTGACGCCTACATTCGGAGCTTGCATATTTCTCCCTGTGGTTGCGTGGATTCTTCTCCAGGTCCTCCGCTTTTTTCCTCCGCATTCAGAATCAACACGAGTTCAGAGTATTTGGCTGCTGTAAATGTCCACACGATAAGCCACTTGGTTGCGCTATCATTTGTGACAGCGAGGTCACTTCTGAAAAAGAGCTATACGAGTCAGTGGGCCTTACCTGGTAAAATAAAAAAAATTTAGTGTTCTTTTTTTTTAGTCGATTCCTCAAGGAGTTTTTTATTCCGTCTCAGACGCTCAGCTTGCCCGTAGCGGCAGCCGTCTGTTCGTCAGGACCTCTGGCGGCGCGGTCTGCCTCCATCGCAGGGCGAACTCCTCGTCCGCCCGCGTCCGCCCTCGATGTCTCCACGGCGAGAGGCGTCCTGGGATCCGGAGGGCCGTGTCGACCGCGGGGGCCCGGGGGCCCTCGCGATCGGCCGGGCGGGAGGCCCGGCGTGGAACAGAGGGACCCGGCGCGGGGGGGGAGGCCGCGCCGCGTCCGCCACGAGCGCCGCCGTTCATCCCTGCGCTCGAGCCTCCGCATGAGCAGCAGCTGCTGGCGCATCAGCGCCACCTGCTCGCGCATCAGCAGCACCAGCTCCTGCTGCAGGGACGGGGACGCGCGGCCACTGCGCGCTCGCACGCCTGCGCACGCACGAGTACGCACAAGCGCAGAAACAAAGATTCCCCCGTATAGCCTTAACAGACTGTTGGGGCAAGTGCTGTTCGCGAGCACCTATGGAGGCCGGTATGGAACACGAGGGGGTGGGTGGCCAACACCGCGCCTTTGTCTCCCCAGTGGCGATGTTTAAACACAGCACTAGGTTACTCATTTGAGGCCGAGTCGACCTAGGGGAGGCCCAGGGCCGGTTCAGATAATCGTCACCGGTGTTGGCCGTGAGCCGGAATCGAACTCAGGTCGACGGATTCATAGATCAGTGCACTAACCGCTGCGCCACCGCACCCCGCACAGAAGGAAACACACAACGCGCGCGCGCTCGTTCACAAGTCCGTACGTTTGCCGTTACCCCCATGCAGTCCGTCCTCCCACGGGGGTGGTGGGGGGGTCGCGGCAGGGTCACGACCCCTGACCCGCGTGCCTTCTCTCCGCAGCAGCCGCCCGCTTCTGTGGTGTCGTCGCTGCTGCTGTGACGACGACGACGTGGTGGTGGAATAGAAGTCATCCCAGGCGGATGCATGGGCTCCACCCCTGGCTTCGACCTCCTCCTCTGCCAGCTCCACCTTGACGGACACTGCGAACTCTGCCTGCTGAGTCGCGGCCTCCTCCTTCAGCTGCCGTCAAGAGGTGCGCCGCAGAGGGGGAGTGGGTCGTTAGCCCTTCGATACACGTGTGTGACAGCATGCCACGTAGTAGTAGATCATCATTACCACTAGCCCTGGCATTAGCCCACATGCACAGCGGTGGTGGGAATAAGGAGAGGGGGGGAGGGGGCGATGGGGTGGATAGCCCCGAGACCCAGAAAGTATTTTCTTATCAGAGAATAGACATTGCACGTGGTTTTATTAACGTTGGGATCCGATTTAAAAGGCTTGTAATTTCAGGATCGCCTCCCCCTGCCCACCCGTCCACCCTCGCCCCCACCCCTCCCCTTGGGATGTTTCCAGATCCGCCACCGACGCGTAGCAGCTCCCAACAGCCCTGCGACAAAGTGTGACGGCCGACTGGCCTAATGGGGAACAAACAAAGACGTTAAATCACAGCGGTGGTCGCGCTCTTGGCTCAAGAGGCTCGTAATGGCCACGTACGTGCAAGAAGCCAAGTGGGCACCGCTGACATCACAACTCCGGGTCGATACGATGATTTGGCGGCCCGTGATTAAACTAACACTAAACTATTTCTTTTTATTTTACCAGGTAGGGCCCACTGAGCTATAATAGCAGCTTTTCAGAAGCGACCTGGCCACAAATGATAGCTCGACGAAGTGGCTTATCATCATGCGGAAATCTACGGCAGTTAAATACTCTTGCTTCTAAATGTGGAGGGGCAAACCAGACGACCCAGAGTAAAATCCACATGACCACGGGGAGAGAGAGACCCACAAACTCCAAACATACAGGCGTCAGGGTCGGGATTTAACCCACGACCTCCCGTATACCGGGCGAGACGGTTAACATCTCACCACCGCAGCACCCTCATTTAACCGTTTTTTTCCAGCGTAGCGGGTTGATGGGTCTCCAATTGGCTGCAAATACAAAACCGTTCCGGATTGATACAGCGCGGCTAAAACGCAACCGCGTCTCAAGACTACGTCCCCGGTGGCTCGGAGGTCAGAGCTGTGAGCTGGCACCAGCAGAGGAGCCGAACTGGGATCGGCGCAACCACCCACGGTTGAAGCGGGGGCCCCCCTCCAGTGCCACGGGTTTAAAGGTCGCAGGCCAGTCGTTGATGACCGTGCAAAAACAGCCGATTGTGAAACATTCCGTTCCTTTTTTCTTCTTGGTTCTTTCGGGAAAGTCACGTAGAATGGAAATAATAAAAATAAAACATAATAAAATAATTCTCACGACGTTTCGGCCACAATGCAAAGCAGCCGTCCTCAGGTGGAGAACAGGTCTGTCGAGGAGACAGAGTCCTGTTCTCCACCTGAGGACGGCTGCTTGCATTGTGGCCGAAACGTCGTGAGAATTATTTTATTGTTTAATTTTTATTATTTTATTATTTCCCTTCTACGTGACTTTACCGAAAGAACCAAGAAGATGAATCCCTGCAGTCACGAAAGCTTTAAATCGAAAAATTCCGTTCCTTCTTCACTCATCTTGGCCGAAGTCCAATGTTGACAATTGTTGAGGTATGAACAGGGTGCCTGAGTGAAGTGTGCCCCCTACTGTGGAAAGAATGCAAACGCAGCTTGAAGGATTTCTTGGGGAGTTCCGTGACAATGTTCACTTACACTGTGGGAATCCGATGAGCTTATGAAGCTCTTTTTCACAGACGTCCAGTAGGGATGGGTTCAGAACGTTGCAACAAACAAAAACACGATATGAGCGCAAAGTATAGGAAAGGTAAACAAATCATTATGAGACCTCCTTTGCCAGTAGCAAAATATAGTAATAGGTTTTAACCCTTTTATCCGGCACCAAAACTGACACCTTTATACAAGGGATCATGTTTGCAATAACCACAACACAAGCAGTCAAAATGCAAACAAACAGAGACAACTCTGATAATGATATGCACTGTCCTTGAAATTGATTGGTCCAAACATGATCCCTTGTATAAAGGTGTCAGTTTTGGTGCCAGATAAAATGGTTAAAACCTATTACTATATTTTGCTACTGGCAAAGGAGGTCTCAATGTAAATGCTTACCCCGAGCTCTCAATACTCTGATAGTGAGCTGTTTTTGAGTTGTACGCCTTTTGGCGTCATCTGGTCCAACACCATGTGAGACTAGGCTCTAAGAAAAGCTGTCTCGGGTGTGGACCAATCAATTTCAAGGACAGTGCATATCATTAACAGAGTTCTCATTTTGTTTGCATTTTGACTTCTTGTGTTGTGGTTATTGCAAACATGATCCCTTGTATAAAGGTGTCAGTTTTGGTGCCAGATAAAAGGGTAAAAACCTATTACAGTAAACAAATCACTTTAAAACATAAACACAAATTAAACATTTTTTTTCACCAAGTAAAGTCCAAATGTGTGTATGTTGAACTTCTTTCGCGCCGTACGTAGCCAACCATGCTAATCAGAGGTGCGAGGGAAGGACAACAAACTATGGGTCTCTGTGTGAGCCTCTGCCCCCACGGGATTTTGTCTAACACATGGGCCAATAGATTCCTTTCCATGTGACACGATGCTGATAGCACGATAAGAAAAGTTTCGGGGTAGAAGAGGTGGAAAATTTGGGAAAAGGGGGAAAATTTTGAAAAAGGAAAAAAAAATCACTAAATTCAGCTAAATTATACCTTGGAGAATTAAGAAAAATAATCATCTTAGATTACCTCTTGCGTCAGCAGTTCTCCTGCTGTGTTTGCCTCACCGGATGACGGTTGCTTGTGTTGCGATCGAAACGTCGTGATCTATTAATTTTCTATCTACGTGACTTTACCGAAAGAACCGAAGAGTATGCGATGAACGTTTGTCTGTGGCAGCACCCTCCTGAGTGCAGAAAATAGAAAAAGTAATTCGAAGGACTCTGCGATATAGGTCTGGCCGCAGGCCAGTCTCTTAACGCGCGCAGTATGACGCGCTGCCCCGCGATAATTCCAACGTTATGCCAAGAGCACAGCTATTGATATTAGAATTGCGTACGAGACGAGCAAAAATAAAGCATGTGTGGCGAGTTGATGGATGGGCGTAAGCCAGCCCACCCAATGATTTTACGCAAAAAAAACTTGTGGAACGATTCAAGTTGTTGGGTCAAGCCAATATGGACGTCAAAATCTCGTCAAAATCCAAACTCTCCCAGACGTGTCTTCCGGCTGCGCCGCGTGTTGTTTTGGCACGATGTCCGACGTTTTGCTCCATGTGCCGGGAGTCTACTGAAGACGCTCGCCGGTACAACGTGAACACACTTCGGAGAGCGATGCAGCACAACCGTGACAACCTACTCGCGTCACGGAAGCACATTTCAATTATCTTCACTTACCCCGGGTGCGTACTCCTCACAGACAGGCGCTCCCGAATGTTCCTCTTGTTGCTGCTGGTGCTGCTGTTGTCTGGCCTCTATGCCCACTTCCACGTCCTCCTCCATCACCAGCAGCTCCACCTTCACCGCTGGACAAACCTCCTCCTCCTTCAGTAGCTGTGGCTGCTGGGGGCACGGCACGCGTCAAGAAATCACTCGGGGCCCGGCAGAGAGGAGATCTTCATCTCGGCAGAGCGTGACCCACAACCCACGACCGCATGGCGCTTCGAGTCTAAACTAAATTAAAACTAGTTTTTATTTTACCAGGTAAGGCCCACTGAGCTATATAGCTCTTTGTCAGAAGCAACTTGGCCACAAATGATAGCTCAACGAAGTGGCTTATCACGTGGAAATGTATAGCATCCTAATACTCTAAACGCATGTTGATTCTAAATGTGGAGGGAAAAACCAGAGGACCCGGAAACATATGCACACGACCACGGGGAGATAGAAATGCACCTCCGATTACGTACAGTGCGGAAGAAGTTCAACAGACATGCAAACTCCAAATATACAAACATCAGGGTTGGGATCGAACTCACGGCCCCCTGTATACCAGGCGAGGTAGTTAACATCTCACCGCCGTGGCGAGATCCAAACTGGGCAACCCCAACAGATGGGAGCGTTTTTGTTTTGTTCATCAGTCATTGAGCAGAGTTCCCTGGGCAAAGGAGCAGCAGCAGCAGCAGCAGTAAGAGAGACAGCTGGAGGTTTCCTGACAGTATTGTCCAGTAAGAAAACCTCCCCATGCGAAGAAGAAGCACGGACATTGACAAAGAAAATGGAACAAATGCCTAGAGGAGCTATTGGCTACGTATGGTGTGAAAGATGTTCAACATACATACAACATACATACAACATACCTACCTACATACGAGCCAGTGCATAAAGAGACGTGGAGAGATGCACGCTTGGAATTAGACCGAGCGTCCGGCTATCTCGTGTACAAGAGAAAATAACCGCTGCTGGTCGCTGGCTGTTGTGACCGTGGCTCCAGGTGGTGTCTGTGTGGATGTGCCGTCACCTGCGGGCGTTTGTCTTCGTGCAGGTGCCGTTGCAGCGCCACCGCTCCCGCTTCTTCACTTCCGCCTCCTGCCAATGGCGAAGCTGCCAAAATGACAACTGATGAGCCGCAAGCTAGGGGGTGCGGACGCAGTTACAGGCGGACGAGCATACGTCTTGCGAGGTCAAACATGCCGCTTCGCAAACCCTCCATAGGGCCCGCGTGGCGTGGGCTGTGCCTCCCCACTATACAGGCCCCTCGGCACGCTTAGCTTAAGAGATTTGACAACGGATTTGATTGTAGGCCGTTAATCCGTTACCGCGATTTTACCTGGGTTCCAAAAATGTTCACTTTACGATGCGAAGTTAATTTTGCCGACGTGACGATTATCGCGATATCAGTTCTGTATTACTTTGTAACTGTTTATCACAATTTCTTTGTGGCTGACAGGATGAGTACAATTTTTATTTCATGAAAACAATAATTTTTTACTTACATTTTTCTAGCTTAATTTATGGCAATTGCATGAAAAAAAATACAATTTGCAACTATCAGTTTTCACGCGGGGCAGCGAAAAACCACAAGCAGCCAGAGCTGACGTCAAAAAATTTCCGAAGCTCCGTGGTCCTACATTGGAATACTCGAAAGAGACAGACATGGGAAGGGTGGTGGTGGGAGGCATTGCCTGCTTCTCTATATTGTGACTGCTCTTTTACCCAGCGGCTTTCAAAGGCCGCCTCTCCCGGCCTCACCGGTTGCGGACGAGCCGTGTGACGGCTCGGTGGGCGGAGGCCCCTCCAGCGGTGGCAGAGGCAGAGCAGGAGAAGAGGGCCCTGTGACCGTGCCGGGCTCCAGCAGTCGCTGCATGCCCTTCATAAACCGGAATGTCATCTTGACTCCTGCAACGTCGGGCGGTAAACGTCATGCGGTGGCGGCAGCGGCATGCATGCCAACCCTGCCGACAGCGGGTGGGGCAAAGCGTGGGTACGGTCACACCTGCCCTCCCCCCCACTAACCCACGTTATAGCAAGCGCCACGTGCATTCTCACCGCGCACGTGTCAACCTTATCGATTAAAGTACGTAGATGCCATTTTTTTTTCTATTAAGCCATCAACAACTTTGCAAACAGCTGGAATTTAAACAGAATCCCACCTCCGGTCTTCACAGAGCGCACCGGTGGGGGGGGGGAGGGAGCCAACACCACCACGCTACCGCCAATCACCAGCACGCCACCGCCACTGCCACTCACCAGCACGCCACCACCACCGCCACTCACCGGCACAGCACTGCCACAGCACCGCCACTGCCACTCACCGGCATGCCACCGCCACTCACCAGCACGCCACCGCCACTGCCACTCACCGGCACGCCACTGCCACACCACTCACCAGCATACCACTGCCACTCACCAGCACGCCACTGCCACACCACTCACCAGCATACCACTGCCACTGACCAGCACGCCACACCACCGCCACTCACCGGCACAGCACGGCCACTCACCAGCACGCCACCACCGTCACTCACGAGCACGCCACCGCCACGCCGCTGACACTCACCGGCCGCCGCGGCAGCCTTCTGCTTGTGGTAGAGGCTCTTGAGCGTCTTCCAGCGGTAGCGGATCTGCTGGATGGGGCGGAAGAAGCCGCGGCGCGCCATCTGTACGCGCGCCGCCTCGAAGATGTGCGCGTTGCGCTGGCGCTTGGCGTCCAGCTGGGACACGACGCCCATGCCCTCGATGATGGAGAGCAGCGCCAGCGTCTCCATGTCCGACCAGTACACGTAGCGCCCGCACGGCTGCTGCTGCTGCTGCGACGATGCCATCGTGATCCGGTTACAGTTTCTGTCCCAGGCGTTTGATTCGGCTTTCATTTGTTGGACTTTTCCCGTTTCGTATTTTTTCCTTCCAGTTTCAATGCTTCATTCTCACCAGCTTCTACGTGTTGTTGTTGTTGTTCAGAAAAACGGAACCAACCGGGAAGAGAGGAAGACCTCACAGGGAACAGCTTGACGACGACATAAGAGATTAGTGCCAGGAGGTTGTCCCACTACCTGAGTATATTGGCACGAGAGGAAAGTGGCAACAAATGACAAAATATGCAGTGGACACCTATGGACTATCTGCCCATGGATGGTGACGATGATGGTGGTGGTGACCAGCTTCCATTCGATTTGTGTCGAATCACTTGGAGTTTTTATTTATTTCATTTACAGTTCATTCAGTTTTAGTTTTGTTGTTCTGGTTTAGGGTGACCGATGGCTTGACGGCGTTTGTTTCCGTGCGGTGGATGTCAATGCAGTCTCGCGGTGATTTTAAAGACTTTTTTTTTACCATTAGCAAAGCTTCAAACTTGTGTCAGACACAGCCAAGATTGGCACCTGCAAGACCTGCCTTTGTCAGTTCTACTGCTGCCTCAATTTCCCCGTGGTTCTTGCGGCTTTTGTTGGCCCGTGTGAAAATCGGCTTTGCTCATGCTTTGGGCAGTTTGTGGAGGAACTGACATTTGACATCAAAGACCTCATTTCCGTTGCTTAGGTAAAGACTTGGTATTTTTTTTAAAGGCACAAATGCTACGTGATAAATGATTACAAGTAAAATTGGAAATTATGGTTAATCGTCCACGTGAAAATAGACTATCAATAGAGTTTTCCTCGCAAGTGAGAAATATCCGTTGTACTTGGTTAAATAAAGTATATCGCTTACAAGATAATTAATCTCGATGTGCCCTCTCCTGGTTAAATTACTTCAAACACAAGGAGACCTCAATGGGCTACCATCTTGTTAAAGGCCACTGAATTTAAATGTTAGGGTGTTTAGTGGACCAAATTACCCTTTTTCCTAATTCAGTGTAGTAAATATTTCAGGGCTTTCTTCTGATAAACGTATTATCTATACTAAATTCAGCGTTTAGGAGCACTCAGCCTCGCTAGAAAATTGCTCATAAAAGCCGTCTCGACCTCCTGTTAGGTCAAAAAATCAATCTAAATTCCTTGCACACCTACAGGGCCCACACATTGTCAGCCCTTGGCTCATAATGGCAACAACAAAAACCAGCCTGAGTAGATTAAACTGGCATTGAGCTGTGGACTTCTAAAATGTATAATAACCGCCGCACAGCAATATATCTGGCTAGAAAGTGTGAGGTTTTACAGCCGAGACATCGCTGCCAGGTGGGCAACAGAGGGCAGTGTCCACGACATCCATCGCTGTGCTCTACTTCTATGTTGCCACATCTTTAGCTTTAGCAAAATCCGGCCTGTATCCGTGTGGTCAATACTAAACAACAATAATTATATTATTATTCACGTTTATAAGGCTGATTTCATTCGTAGACCCCAACACGCCACTGTCCATGAAACAAAACAGAAGCAGCTGGGTAAACGGGCCATAACTTAGGCGGGGTTAAAGGCCAGATTGAAGAGGCGAGTTTGAAAGACGGCACTTAAATATAGCCCACGACTCCAATCGCCTTATTAGCGAAGCGTTCGGAAGCCGAGGATGGGGATGTCGCGCTAGCAAAAAAAGACCCGGCTTAACTCCCGGTGAAATATGGTCAAATCACCCCACACGTGGGCTTAAGGAGGAGGCCCTTAATCCATCAGCGGACTTACCACACGGGTGACCGCCCGTGGATTGAAATTTCTCCGGTCGCCGAAATCGAGTTGCACTGACACGGCTAGCCGGACGAGACGCACACACGTGGTCGCATTACAACAGCAGCAGCAGCCCCATTTGCGTCGACTTCTATGGAGTCAGATGTATCGACAAACCAGCCTCAGCTATAGTAATAGGTTTTTACCCTTTCAAATGGTACATACAAGGCATCATGTTTGCAATAACCGCAACACAAGTAGTCAAAATGCAAACAAAAAGAAACAACTCTGATGATGATATGCACTGTCCTTGAAGTTGATTGGTCCACACCCGAGACAGCTTTTCTTAGAGCCTAGTCTCCATTGGTGTTGGACCAGATGACGCCAAAAGGCGTACGTCCCCAGCTACCCACCAACAACAATGACCGCTCAGTGGCCGTGACGTCACCGCAGCGGCTGTGCCAGGCCAGGTGCACTTTGAGGCCACGTGAAGTTGTCGAAGGACCGCTGGCAGGAGGTCACTGGACAGCCCCAGCAGCTGCCACGTGCTGTTACTGCGCCAACTTTATGCGATTTTAGCCGCCCGGCGCTCCGCTCGTTGTTGTGAGCGTCGCCTCCTCTTGGCCTCGCCCAACTGCACGGCAGCGTCCTTCACGAACCTCCTCCTCCTCCTCCGCAGAGGAAGATCTTGAAACCGCTAGTACCAATCATGGACAACTAGCACATCAGTACCGGCACATACACAAAACGTTACACATTTTGAATTAACACGACAACGTGCACAAGCACACGTTTTGCAGACGGTAGTTATACCACCACCACAGGCTTAACAATCGCAAGGGACAGGACCGTGCCGCACGTTGTGTTTGTACATCAACACAACGGAATTCGCCGCCAAGATTGTAACCTGTACCGATGTACTTGTGCTGTATGAATCTTGTTACAAATGTGAGGAAAGACACCGATCGCGCAAAACGTCGCGATTTGTGGGGGGGAGGGGAGGGGAGGGGGCGGCGGCGGGAGGGGGGTTTCCCCCCTCACAAAAATAACGTTCCCGCGACGTTCGCACGACGTTCGCGCAACAAATGGCTCCACTTTGACGACGGCGGCGACGAAGAGGTGGTGGTGGTGGGTAACGTCACGCGCGTCGATGAATTGCAAGCTCCCCTCGCGCTCTGGGGGGGGGGGGGTGTAATCCAAAAACTAAAATCCCGGAGCGGATTTCGGTGGAGCACGGAGCGGATTGCTACTACGTACGCGAGGTCTGTTGTGAGAGTCCGGATCCGTAAAGGGGGGTGGGCTCCACACCGGGGTTTGCTTGAAACAGCAGCTGGATCTGTCGACGTTGTGGGCGGTGCCATTCGCAAGCGCGGGGAGGGGGCGGGCGAATAGAAGGGGGGAGGGTGAGGAGGGGGAACCCGGAAGCGATGCACTTTTTTGTAATCACATGCAGTGGAAATCGATGGTAAATGTATTTACAATCGATTAATGGTAAATGATGAACACCGCTTGTGTCGCGATCGAAACTTCGTTGTTTTTTTGCTTTTATTATTTATTTTATTTATAATTAAATGTTATTTTTTTTAAATTATATCTACGTGACTTTACCGAAAGAACAAATAATATATTAATATGTATTTACACAACGTGGACAATTAGAAATGTACCATTATTACTAATCATTCATCACTATAGTTTTGTATTAAAATATCAGACAGCGTCTGGGCCATTCACACTTGCAATGAAATTCTGGTAAATGTTTTTACACAACGTGGACAATTAGAAATTCAACATTACAAATTATTCACTATAGTTTTGTATTCAAATATCAGCGCTTGGAGCCATAACACTCATCCATCGATACGTAAGGATGTGCACATGTACGGTCCATGTACATGATGTACCTGACATCAAATTTTCCACACTTTCCTCAGTTTCTCCACAAACTGCCCAAAGTAATTAGGGGCCGTCCATAAATGACGTCAAGCGATTTTGGACGATTTTTGACCCCCCCCCCTTCGTCACACGGCGTCACAAAAAGTCAGACCCCCCCTGAAATATGACGTCACAAAGCTCTGCCCCCCCAAAATAAAACATGCTTCAAATCACTTTAAACTATTGTCATTGTAGTGCGTATTTAATGTGGCGCTGCACTCTGTTATAGGAGAAAATATTTATTAAAAAGTCTATTTAATTAAGTAGAACGTGTTGTCTATATTTATTTAAAGTTGCGCATTTTGATGTGACGTCACATTTCTCAAACCCCCCTCCCCTCGTCACACATCGTCACAAATGTCTGACCCCACCCCCCCCCCCCCGAGGTGCGTGACGTCATTTATGGACGGTCCCGTAGCAGGGGCAATTTTCACACGCCCCAACAAAGCCCGCAAGACCCACGGGGCAATTGAGGCAACCCTTGCAGGTGTAGAGGTGATACGCGCTGGGATGAGGGATCGTATGCCAGCGAGTAATGATTGGCTGTGTATGTGGTGACGCGCGCTGACGGTGGAGGATCAGGGGTCAGCGCGGGGTCGTGGGTTACGGGGTAATGATTGGCTGTGGGCCGGTGACGCGCTGAGAGGGAGTGACTGGGTGGCAGCGCGGTGTGATTGGCGGAGTAGCGTTAACACGCGCTGGGGAAAACGGATCGTAGAGAGAGTGCGTCGTGATTGGTTCACTAAGGAGCGATGCTCACGTCGACGTACGCATCAGCTCCGTCTCTCGTGAGCAGGGGCTATAAAAGGGGATGCACACAGGCGTGAGGGCAGTGTGTAACCAGCGAAGAATGAAGACGGGGATGAAGACCTAGGGCCCTGCGGTACCTAGTCCCGCTGTCCTAACGGGACCGGGACTCTGTGTAACCCAGAGGCGAGTGTAGTGTGTGTAGCCATAGGCATAAGGTCTACACGAGCCGAATGCATTGTGTGTAGCCAGGGACATAGGGTCTACACGAGTCGAGTGTATTGTGTAGCCAGAGGCATAGGGTCTACACGAGTGAAGGGTATCGTGTGTAGCCAGAGGCCTAGAGTTTACACGAGATTAGTGGAGTGTGAAGTCGGAAGAAAGGAGACCACACGTATTTTGACACGTAAAAATTTAATAAAAAGTGTGTTCCCGTCAAGAAGTTCCTGCCGTCAATTCCCATACTTCACAGGTACCAAACCCTTGGTTTGCGTCTGACTCAAGTTTAAAATCACGGTCAGACTACATTGCTACATTGACCATTTAAGTTTTTCGGTAAAGTCGCGTAGGTAAAAAATCAAAATTAATCAAAATAAAATAAAAATCACGACGTTTCGGAGGCAACACAAGCTTCCTGGCCCATCCCCCTCCCATAAACCAGTATATATACGGGGTAGTATCCCTTGGAATCTCTCATTTACTTGATTGCAGCAAGCGTGCTGTGACGGTTCCACCTGAAGACGGAAGCTTGTGTTGCCTCCGAAACGTCATGATTTTTATTTTACTTTTATTAATTTAGATTTTTTTACCTATGTGACTTTACCGAAAAAACCTAAGAATATGAATACTTGCAGTCACGAAAGCTTCAAATCTAGAATTGGCCATTTAAATCAGCCCTATTGGTTTTCCGGTTTTCCAGACGCACCACACAACAGCACAAGAAGACGTCGCGACTAATAACCTCGGGTACGGCGCCGCATTACTGTATCACTCCGCTCAGCCACTCAGCTCAAGAAAGTAGTTCGTCGTCGACCGCTCAGAAACCGCGTCACAACGGTGCGCGTTCCACGTTGTTGTGCAAAGTAGTCCCTCGTGGAAGAACCGCGTGAAGAGAGGACTTATCGTATGGTCCGCCTGATAGCACGTCTTTCTGGACTCTTAGTTCAGTCCTTTGTGGAGTCTTAGCGCTGTGATTGTTTGCTTGCTGTGCGAGGTGTACAGCTGTAGAATTGTAATGTATTACAGTATCTTCTTGTTTCTTTCGGTAAAGTAACGTAGAAGGGAAATAATAAAATAATAAAAATTAAACATAATAAATTATCTTACAATAATAAAAATAAAACATAAAAAAATACTATATTATTTTATTATGTTTTATTTGTATTATTTTATTATTTCCCTTCTACGTGACTTTACCGAAAGAACCAAAAAGATGAATCCCTGCAGTCACGAAAGCTTTAAATCGAAAAGTATTACAGTATATTCATTTTCATGGGTAATGGTGAACGTAAATAAGATAAAGTTGTACAGCATCGCTGAAAAAACTAACAATTGTCGAAAGAGTAACTTTACCGAGCTTTACCGAAATAACTAGAGTATGGATTCCTGCAGTCACGAAAGCTTCAAATCAAGATTGAGTAATAGGGTTTTAAAAACGCAAATTAAATGGGAGTATCCACGTGGACGGATAGGATGGCAACATTCATTGTTCTTCGACAAGTTGGACGGAACTCCAGGACTGGAAAGGAATAAAAAGGCTTTTACACCATTGGAATCTGGTCCAACACCATGTGAGACTGGGCTCTAAGAAAAGCTGTCTCGGGTGTGGACCAATCAATTTCAAGGACAGTGCATACATCATCAGAGTTGTGTTTTTTGTTTGCATTTCGACCGCAGGTATTGTGGTCAATGCAAACATGACTTCTCACAACTAAACCCGTAAAAACAAAGTTTTTCACTCTAAATCCTTTATATGCGTGGCGGCTAGAGTTTTCTCGTCCTCTGGCTTGAGATGGCTGCAATCTATGGGTCAGATGATTGTCTGCCAGTATTAAGCAATTGGTAATTAAATATTTAATTAGTTTTCCCTAAACAGTGTAAAATTTTGGAAAAAAAATTTCACGAAAATTAATTGTCACACACAACGAGTCTGTGTGGAAAATGTCAGGTCGTTTGGATCACGGGAAGTGGGTTAAAAAACGAGCGAAATATTTGCACGGTCCTAAGCAAGCAAGCGAACTTAATATAAAGGATTTAGAAATATATTCGCCTGTGGAGGACGCGGGGATCGATCCCGTGACCTTTGGCATGGGAAGCGAGGGCGCTACCAACTGCGCTACTCCGCCACGGCCTGTGGAGGGGTTACGCTCTGGGCTCTTGCACTGTGATGTTCAGCCAAAGCCATGAATGCGTTCTATCTGAATATATGTAAAATAAAAAAATTTTGCCTAAAAAGTGTCCTAAGCAAGCAAGCAAGCACGCGAACTTAATATAAAGGATTTAAAAAAGGTGTCAGTTTTGTTGCCAGATAAAAGGGTAAAAGAACAATTATAATAAAAAGGCCGTCTGCTCTATATTAGGTGTATGGTGCTTTTTCTGGAAGACTTTGCAGTTTTTTCCTGGATTTTTCTGTTTTCTGTTTGTTGCGGTTGCACCCGATTCAAGAGCCGAATGGCTCACAGGGCTATACCTAATAAATGAAACTGAAAAACGTGTGTGCGTCTCTCCCAGTGGCTGCGTGGATTTTTCTCCGGGTCCTCCGGTTTTTCCCCTCCACATTCAGAAATGTGCGTTTAAGAATATTTTGCTTGCGATAAATGTCCACATAAGCTACTTCTATTTAAAGCGTTCGTGACTGCAGGGATTCATATTCTTGGTTCTTTCGGTAAAATCACGTAGAAGAGAAATAATAAAACAATTACATTCTCACGTTTCGATTGCAACACAAGCAATGATCATCAGGTGTGAAAACCACAGCAAGAACATTTTCTTGCTGTGGTTTTCACAAGAAAATGTTCTTGCTGTGGTTTTCACACCTGATGATGATTGTGTTGCAATCGAAACGTGAGAATTTATTTTTATTATTTTATTATTTCCCTTCTACATGACTTTACCGCAATAACCAAGAATATAAGCTACTTCGTTGAGCTATTTGTGGCAATGTCGCTTCTGAAGAATAGCTATATAGCTCAGTGGGACTTTCCTGATAAAATAGTTTAATGGTTAAGAAATGTATTTATTGTATTGGGTAAGCCGACAGTGTCTTCGGGGAGATCTTATAACGAGGGGGTGCCCGCACCTGAACTAGAATCTGTGTTATAATCGCGGAGCACTGTTTGCAAAAGTGCTTTGCCCAGACAATTATCATGCTCACGCCATCGTATCCCTAAATATATTTTTTTCCGAGGAGACACACGCATGTAGGAAGGTGTCACATAATCCACGCATATGCATAAAAAAACTTGATTTATTTATACACAGTTCAAAGTCTGAAATGAGCAATTTTAGATTTTCAGGGTGAATTTGAATATCCTGATGCAGCAGTTTGATGCTGGAACTGCTGGATTCAACATCTTCCAGGAGCACAGCGATTCAACATCAAGCAAGGCATCGACACCATCCTCATCCACCACAGTGAAGGAAGAGAGCACGGAGGAAAAACGTAGAAGAAAACTCCAACCTGAATATTAAAAGTGGAAATCACAGTATTGGGCCCAGACATTGGCTCAATAAAAAATAAATATAAAAATGAATAAATGACAGTACACACACGTGTCTACTCGGTCTTGAACACGGTCTTATTTTACTAAGACGGATGCTCTCCGCTTAACCATCCCACTGCCTCCCGGCTGTCAGGTGCTTCAGGTGGACACGTCTCTGAAGCCTCTGAAGGAACCGGAGGGCACGGGGGTCACGTGCTGCTGCTGCTGCTGCGGGGAGCAGGCGAGCCCTCGTCTGCACACGCGCCCAGCGCTTGCCGCACGCCTCGTGTGGTCACGCAAAACGTGCTAGGGTCTTGGCGGATCCAAGGGTGGGGAAACGGGGGTGATGTATGTACGTATGTTTAACTTCTATCATATTGTACGGGATAGCCTCCCCCTTAAGACCCCACAATTAGATTTTTATATTTACCACAAGCAACACATTCCATGTTTTGTTAACGTGCGGCTTGAAATATCGCCAATGCCGTCTCACCCCTTGGGACGTTTCGAGTATTTGGCTGCTATAAATTTCCACATACAGTAAAACCTTGGATTGCGAGTAACTTGGTCTGCGAGTGTTTTGCAAGACGAGCACATTTTTACAATAAATATTAATTTGATAAACGAGCGAAGTCTTGCCATACGAGTAGTACGTGTATACGCTTTGTCTGCCAAGCATCACGTGATCACAACTGATATACGAGTGCTTTGATATACGAGTGCTTTGGATGCTCGCAATCCAAGGTTTTACCGTAAGCCACTTCGTTGAGCTTCTGATAAAGAGCTATACAGCTCATTGGGCCTTACCTGGTGAAATAAAAAGTTTAGTTTCAACTTACTGTGGTGCACCCAAATATACTAGTGGGTGGACAAGTGGGTTTAATTTACAAAATGTGTTCCCTGAGATAAACTCAGCCTTAATTTAGTCTCTGTACCTATACTGGGTCTGCCCTAGGTCGACTCAGCCTTAAAATAGTATGAATCTATACTCTCGCATAATTATTATAACTCGTAACCATACTACTATCCCTACCACTACCCCTAAACTATTCCGAACACTTGAACCTAACATTAAGGTTACACTAAATACGAAAACAAATGTGTGCTGACATCATAAGCAGGTACCCTTCATCTAGGAGTGGACCAATCATGGCTGCTGAGAGGGTCGATTCATGCTTTACATTACCACAATTTTTTCTAAATCTTAAGTTTAATGAGTTAGTGCAACAAAACATGGCACACTATTCGTACTATACACTGCAAGCAGTATTTACACAACACTTACAATTTTTGTACAAAAATATGTTTTAAATGTATCTTTAAATAACTTGGGGGGGGGGGGATTTCTTCAACGTGTTTGTAATCTGTCCCTTATAGTATTATGCATGTGGGAGCAAACCTGAGGAAACCCCCTCATAAGAGGGGATAACACTGAAGCTGGTTGTTACAGCAGTGCGTCGCATATCCGACTCACTGGCGAGAGAGGCATAGGTAGATCGTTGAAAATGTTGTTTAAGTAAACATGCATATAAAATGGCGACTCCACGTACACATCTGGCACTGGATGCGGTCGGTTAATTGGTCCAGGTGGATATATGACATTGTAGAGGAAGCCCTCTATTTACGTGGCGGATGCATCCCTGGGAAGCACGGCATTTGACGGACAGCGTACATCGAAAACTATTTAACCACCGACTTTAATGATATAAATTTAGGACACGTCCCAGGGGGTAATATTTGGGTGAAAGTTTGCACAATGCCACAAAGGATAACAAAAGATGGCCAAAACGATAGTACACAAGTTTAAATATATACGGTAATACAAAGTCCTCACCAGAGATGGAGCGAGAGATTGTATTTAGAGAGGGTAGTACAGTGTACAGTATGTTGTAAACGAAGAGGCTTTAGCGCCCACTAGGGGGCACCATGGCATAGCGCGTATTGACGCACACCACCCAACCTCCCGCGTTCTTTTCTTTAAAAAATTTCAAAACGGAGTGAATCAATTAATTTAAAATCCCATTATGTTCCCTAATTCGTTGGCTATGTTACAGCGAAACAACGTAGAAATAGGAGCAACGTAGAGAGAGGGCTCACTGAACTGTGTGTCGCGTCTATTTGATGTAATCACATCCCACAGGTTACCATCCCACCATCTCCCGGCACGCACGATGGCTCCGTCTCTGCACGATCCACCGAACCCCACCCACACTTCCGAGTCGCTGGCTCACAGGACTCGCCGTGGCTACCGCCGGGCTCGCTGTGCTGTGCGAGACGCCGCTACGATGGTCGCGACCGCTTGGATGCTTGAGAAAAATCCTGCGTGCAATACACAGACAGCAGAGAATGGCGGCCCTCAACCAGGGTACATACTTGATACAGCTATCGTGCTGTGACGGTTCCACCTGAAGACGGAAGCTTGTGTTGCCTCCGAAACGTCGTGATTTTTATTTTTTATTTTATTTTTATTTTACTTTTATTAATTTTAATTTTAATTTTTTACCTACGTGACTTTACCGAAAAAACCTAAGAATATGAATACTTGCAGTCACGAAAGCTTCAAATTTAGAATCAGAGTACATACATAGAACGCACAACCCTGCGCCGTCATTATCAGCAACGAATGAAGGTTTATCTCAAGTCGTCGCTGTATAGTTCACGGTTCTGCGATGTAACAACCCACCGAGCACCGACACACAAGCCGATGTCATTGCTCCATCTCTTTGGTGGGCACTCTCTCCTGTTCGTTCAATATCCTTGGGCTGCCAGTATTCTAGACCATCGGCCATCGTCCCTTCGAGCGACATTTCCTGCAGTTTTAATGACCTCTTTTAATAACTGGCGTATAAATGTTGCGTGTACGAACATCACGCTCCTGGTTCATATAAAGTCAACTCTTGAAATATCTGGGGTAATGGGAGGAGGCGTGACCTGATAAAACACAAATGTGGAAAATAAAAAGAACATTTAAATTCGGCTATACGAACTTATGTATTCTTAACTTGCGGAGAATGCAGGTGATACCGTATAATTACTTTTACAATGGTTTACTTAGCAAAGCGTCACCGAGTACCATAACTATTCTTCATGAGAGTTCTGCAAAGCTTTCACAGTAGTGCGCTATGATCATGATGTATATTCCCAATTTAATAATTTGTGGGTAACTTTTCATTTTGACAAATATGGCCCCTGACGCAGGCACGCAACGGCCTACCCTTGCAAATGACGTCACGGGATCTTGAATGTCAACTGTGAAGTAGACTGAGTGTATTGTTACAGTGAATAAACCCGTAGTGATAATCAGCGTGGTCGTCCTAAACCGTGAACCCTTGCGTGGAGCAGCGAACGCACGAATGCTAGGCTATGTCACCGCCCGTTGGATGACTCATCATTATCTTTGACTAAAATAACAACAAAAATCACCCTTTTGGCATTTATTTTCGTCACTAATTTCACGAACCAAATGAAGCGGTGAGCGTCACGAGAGCGACGCGGTGACAAAGCCTCACCGTGCTCTGCTGGAAGAAGTGCGGAGCAAGTTCCGTGAGCCAGGCCGGCTCCACCGCTGTCACGTCCCTCATGAAGAAGCGAGATGTCTGCACCACCTCGTTAAACACCACCCTGACGCGCGCGCACACACGCACGCATAGAGAGACCCTCATTTAGGATTAAACATTGGAGGGGGCTGCTGTGGTGCAATGGCTAGCACACTGGACTAGCAATAAAGAGATTGCTGGTTTGACCTCGCACGGCAGCTGAAACAAATGGGATATCTTAAATGCCCCTGGCTTTTCCACCCAGCAGTACAAATGGGTGCACCACCAGCTCCGACAAGTAAAAACATCTTTACTCTCATATGAAGAACAGGTGGGAAAGTCCTGCCATTTACTGTGGGCTAGCAGTGGACTGCAAGGAATCTCAGAAGTAACTCTGTGACCTCCGCTTCAGTGGGCCATTCTCTAACGGATTGTTTGCATTGCTCTGTGAGGGACACAAATGGATACTTGGTCCCACGACGTGATGGCGAGAGCATAATCGGGGTGACAATTTTACGAAAAATCACGGGTTTATGAAGAATGAAAAACGTTGCGTTATCATTACCACTGCGGTGGCTTCTCGGCATAGAGCATGGAGGTCGGGTGGATGTGGAGCTCAAAGTCGTCGCGTACCGTCCTGTTTAACAGACAAAGTGAAAAATCCAAGTCAACGTACATCCTCTGCCATTACAGGATTCACCCGCTATAAATTGTTGCACTACGCGTTGTTTCCCATAAACGTTGATGAATTATGGAAAATATTTATTCGTAAGTTTAAGTGCTGTTGATATGTGCCTATTAAGGCCGGCAATGTGCACAAAGAGTGGTGGGGGGTGGCAGTATTGGACTTGGTGGCAGTACCAAGTCCAGTGGCCTTTGCTGATGTTAATACACACCACCAAACCACGTACTTATTACGGCTGAGTCTACATAGGGTAGACTCAGAACTGGTTCGGATATCACTCACACCGCTGATGTGAGCCATGGCACAGAACCGAACTTAGGTCGTTGGGTTTATAGCAACTACGCGACTACGCCCCCACGACACACCCACTCATGTCCACACACGTAAAGCCCTGAGAAAAAAACAAATAGCAGGGATCCAATCTCAGGTGCTCAACAGCACCAGCAGAGTGTCTCTGACCATGGCCATTGTGAGTTCTCTTAGAGAAGCAGGTAGAGACCCATCTTAGTCCAGCACCTGAGCAGTGCTGGCTTCGTGTGGGACATGGTCATTGCAAGTCCCCTGAACCCCACAGCCAACTTTTCTGCTCCTAAGCCAAACATTCCATGATTGCGTGGTGTGTCTCCACGAGCTTCCGTTCCGTGCCTCTTCTCTCGTCACATCCACCCGTCCTCGCGTCTCGTTCCAACCCATCCTCCCATCTCCACCTCGGTCTCCCACTACTCCTTCTGCGTTGCACCTTTAGCATCTCCATATGGTAATCTTCACATTGTACCATCTTTGTCTCTTCTCAACACAAACCATCAAAGTCTCACTTCCTTAACTTTCACAATAATCTCAGTACCCCTGCTAAAGCTCTAACGACGACCACCCCATCGTATTAGAATGCATGGAGAACACCGCACCTGTAGGCTCCACTGTGGTGTAGTTTGGCGGCATTGGCGAAGAACCCGGACACAATGCATCTCCGCACAGGGTCTGCGTCTCCTGCTCAGGCACACAGAGCGGGAAGACCAGATACACAAAACACACCGGCTACAGGGACGATCTTGTGCCAGAGTGCATCGCTTAGGGTTTGAAAGATTAAAATGCTTCTTGACGAAATTTTTTTGAGAAATCTGTTCCACAGCCCACACTGTGTGAATATTAATTTCTGGGCCTAAAATTTCCCTATTTTTTTATTTATTACTTAACCATTTTTTATTGAATTCAACAGTGTTGCTACGTTGTTTTTTCATTTCACAATAACTTACACACAAATAATTCAATAATGTTGTATTGCCTTAATTTAGCTTATTAAAGCATGAACAATAAAAAAAATATTCACATTTACATGCAACAATCACTCTTTGCAGGACATATAAATGGTGTGTCCCTTGTGTAGATACAGGCCCATTCAGATAAGTTTTATGACTTCCACCTACCAAGACCATTCTCCGGCACAAGGTGGTAAACCCTGCTTGTTGTGAGAGTTCCGAAAGAACATTTTTACTGGTAGGAACCTCCTGGTTACACCAGCCCACAGGGGATTATTGTGTCCGTCCGTCCGTCGTGCAGGGAGGGGCTAGGTGGGGAGGGTGGGGAGGGGCTGGGTGGGGAGGGTGGGGCTGGGTGGGGAGGGGAGGGTGGGGAGGGTGGGGAGGGAGGGGAGGGGGCTGGGTGGGGAGGGTGGGGCTGGGTGGGGAAGGGCTGGTCACCCCGTGGTGCCCTTATAAAACTCAACGTTTAACCTACTCACGCCGGCTTGTGCCCGCCCTCACAGTCGGGCATATTTGCGGAATACACCACGCCGCCGTTGACCCTGGCCATTGACCGAGCAACCCAACGTTCCTACCAGCTCCCTCCACAGGAAGTGTTTAATCTTAAAAAAATGACATCGATAGCAAACGTGGAATGCCCATGTGCACATACCACCCTCTCTCAACCCATCGATGGAAGAGGGCCCCCCCACACAGTTTGGGTCGTTGAGGTCAGCCATACTTCGCCACGCTTCTCAATGCACTTCGGTGGAAATAGCCAACTTAGGATCAGTTGTACAAACTATAAAAACTATATTTTTTTATTCTACCAGGTAAGACCCAGTGCTATATAGCTCTTTTTTAGAAGCGTCCTGGCCATCACAAATGATAGTTTAACGAAGTGGCTTATTACGTGGACATTTATTGCAGCCAAATACTCTTTAAACACACATTTTCCAAATGTGCAGGGTAAATATTCTTAGGTTTTTTCAGTAAAGTTACGTAGGTAAAAAATTAAAATTAATAAAAGTAAAATAAAAATAAAATAAAAATCACGACGTTTCGGAGGCAACACAAGCCTCCGTCTTCAGGTGGAACCGTCACAGCACGATAGCTGTATCGAAACAACCTAAGAATATGAATCCTTGCAGTCACGAAAGCTTCAAATCTAGTGGAGGGTAAAACCAGAGGACCCGGAAAAAAAATCCACATGACCACGGGGACAGCATGCAAACTCCAAAAATACAGTCAGTTCAGATATCACTCGTCAATGAGGTCAAGCTCAAGTTACCGGATTCATCGTGCAGTGTGCCAACCACTGTCCCACCGCTCCCCTGGCCTAGGGAGGAAGAAACGTACCGTTGCTGGAGTTGCTGGGGATGTGGAACCTTCGAAGAAGCTTCCGAAGCTGCTCCTGCAGGATTCCAGCCCGCACTAGCCCCTTGTAGTTGAGGAAGTGTTGCTGGCACCAGGCAGAACTCTTGTTGTGCTGAGTTCCATACAAAAATTAACCCGTAAAAACAAAGTTTTTCACTATAAATCCTTTATATGCGTGTTCAATGGGCCACAACCCAGCCCACATTGGTCTTTGAAACGGGCGGCTAGAGTCCTCTCGTCCTCTGGCTTGAGATGGCTGCCACCTATGGGTCAGATGATTGCCTGCCACCATTAAGCAATTGGTAATTAAATATAATGTTTTTTTTTTTACCTAAAAAGTGTAAAATTTTGGAAAAAAAATTTCACGAAAAGAAATTGTCACGCACAACGAGTCTGTGTGCAAAATGTCAGCTCGATTGGATCACGGGAAGTGGGTTAAAAAACGACCGAAAGATTTGCACGGTCGTAAGCGCGCAAGCAAGCAAGCAAGTGAACTTAATATAAAGGATTTAAAAATGGGAATGTTTGTCGAGAGGTCACCTCGACCAACCATCGCCACTGATGCCAACGCATATCTTCCCACGCTTCCTTACACTTTCTGGATTGTCTCTCATTGTTTATCACTACGGTCGACACGTGACCTCGAAATGTGCAAGGTGATTTATTACACATTCCTAAAGCAGAGACCAATTTCTCTACAATTTTCCATTTGTTTCAACTCTAAAGGGGGTCTCTAACCTTCCCCCCCCCCCCCCCCCCCCCCCACTCAAAACGCCCCCATTAAACGCAGAACACTGTACATCGGCCTACGATATTTGGAGGACAAATTTAAAATAGCAGCAGTCAAGAGCTCACCTTCACGAATGCCTCAAACACGTTCAGCATCGTCATGTGATCGCCCTCTTCCACGGCAAACTTACGCTGCTGACGAGCCTGCACGCAACACACCGCAGTCACGGTGGGCAGGGTTGATGGATCACACAGAGATAATCGTGTGCTGCAAGACTCGCAAGCTGCACGGCTGCAAGATTGGCGCAAGAAACAAGCATGTTGACCTATGCGTAGTTTCTTTTTTTGGGTCATCCTCTCTTACAGCTGGGTTTTCTCCGGGCACTGCTTTCGTCCCACACGCATATGAATAAGCAGCAAATGAAATGGCCAAAAATCCCCCAAAAATGCTCAAGAAAGACAGTGTTCACACTCAGTTGCTCCTCCGTAAACACCTATAATGATCGAAGTATAAGACGGCTTTGGCCTACGATCAAATAACTTGGAATGCACCCGGCCTCATCACATCTCGGAAGATAAGCAGGTACGAAGCCTGCCTCGTGTTAAAATTGCTGACCACCATTTCACAGCAGGCTGCCGTAATTGGAATCAGGGCTGTGCTATGTGGTGCATGGACTCAGGTGCTGTAGGTATACAAGATCCCTTGACGACGATCGATGATGAGGAACTTCTTCTTGGTTCTTTCGGTAAAGTCACGTAGAATGGAAATAATAAAATAATAAAAATAAAACATAATAAAATAATTCTCACGACGTTTCGGCCACAACGCAAGCAGCCGTCCTCAGGTGGAGAACAGGTCTGTCGAGAAGGTCTGTCGAGAAGACAGACCTGTTCTCCACCTGAGGACGGCTGCTTGCGTTGTGGCCGAAACGTCGTGAGAATTATTTTATTATGTGTTATTTTTATTATTTTATTATTTCCATTCTACGTGACTTTACCGAAAGAACCAAGAAGATGAATCCCTGCAGTCACGAAAGCTTTAAATTGAGATGAGGAACTTGTGTGTTGTTTTGCTTACGGCCTTTATCTTCTGGTTGGGCGGAGAAAGGAACACGTTCTGAATCTGCATCATGGCGGCGATGGTGATAATCTCTTTTGAGCAACCAAAGGTTCCTGTGAGTAACAAAAACAAATCCCAAAACACATTAAAACAGTATTTTAAATAAACCCGTAAAATGTCATCACCATTGTTGAGAAACAACGATTTTGAACACTGCTCAGTGGTCACAACACTGAGCCTGGGACCACTGCGATCCTGGGGTTGAATCTGGATACCCGTGCTCGATGAAGCTTGGTTCTCAGGTGCATTGAGTTCATGGACTCAATTTAGTCACCAACGATTACACACTAAATCTCCCCATCATAATAAACTTGATGTGCCACTTTAAATCAGCATATTCCATTTCTGCCAAGTTAGGGATGTTTGCTCGATTGACATGAACAACCACAGTAGGTCGTGAAAGTGATGTCCCTCCTGTAGACAGAGGCCTACTGAAGTGACTTATAGCTCTATAAGCCCTTCTTCTGGGGTGGTTCTCGGACACAGCATGGTGAACTGCTCACCGCGAGAGGTCCAAAAAGACATTTGTGATACTACAATTACTACTATAATAGCCCAGAAATGTGTGTAACGCGCGTGACGTCACTCCACATGCCGCACCCCCACCCCCCCCCGTCATTAATAATAAAACAATCATGAGCGGGTGGATTTTTACACTCACGCGGAATAAGGTCGAGCGGAAAGATATTTTTTTTCGCAAAGTCGCTTCAAACATGACGTTTCTTTACAGAAAGTGACGGACAAAAATAAATATACGCAGCACAGTGCTACATACGTACGAGACGTCACTGCAAAAGAGCCCCCCCCACCCTCCGTTATTACGTCATTGCTATAAAAAGCAAGAAAAAATTATCGCAAATTCGCTTTAAATTTGACGTTTTTTTATTTAAAGTTACTAAAATAAATAACTCTACGCAGACGTTCCTTTACGTAAATATTACAGCTTCCGTCCTGGGATGGGCAAAAGGCTAGTTGTAACATAAACGACAACTGATAAGAGGGGGCAGAAGCCAAACGAATAAGTGTGCTTCAAAATATTGTGAATTTTACATCAGGGCTGATTAGGTACTTGGCTGAGGGCATCAGTGGGACGATTACAAACTTGAAAAAAATAAAAACAGACTCTGTACCTGATTCCAGCAGCATCTTGGCATACATGGGTCCCATCGGGAACTCAGCCATGCGCACTCCTAGAGGCTCCGTCAGCTGACACTGCTCATCAAGGCCTGCGTGTGCACAAGAGGGGGGAGTGGCGGCGCAGCGGTTCAGTGCGCTGCGCTACAAACTCGGCGACCCCGAGTTCGATTCCCGCTCACGACCAACACCAGCGATAATTATTCTGAACCGATCCTGGGCCTCCCCTAGGTCGACTCAGCCTCAAAGGAGTACCTGGTGCGGTGTGTAAACATCGCTGCTGGAGAGACAAAGACAGCCAGGCGTGGTGCTTGCCACCTACCCCCTGGTGTGCCATGCCACTTGCCCCAACAGTCTGTTAAGGCTACACAGGGGATCTTTGTCTTTGTTGTGTATTTGTGCATTTCCACAAAGAGGAAAGAGCAGTGCCTTAGCGGTTAGTTCATGGTGCCACAATCCTGGACATCCCGAGTTTGTTTCCCAGCCTTGCACATCATCATTGGCGCTAGCCAAACATGTCCTGTACATCGTCAACAATGACTCAACCATTCTCGAGTAGCTGGCACCGTGTGTGAACATCACCACTGAAGAGGCAAAGGCGGCCGTGCATTACACTGGCCAGCCTTAATATGCGCTCGCTAACATCACCCATCCCGCATGCTCTATACAGCAGCTAAACAAGTGGAGTCTTCCTGTGCATAAGCAACCCTAGGTCAACGAAGGCTACTTCCTCATTAAACTTACTGATCAACTAAACAATTGTTTATTTTACCAGGTAAGGCCCACTGAGCTGTACAGCTCTTTTTCAGAAGCGACTTGGCCACAAATGATAGCTCAACGAAGTGGCTAACCGCATGGAAATTGAAAACAGCCAAATACTCCAAGCGCAACGTTGATTCTAACATGACGACGAGGGCGCGTCTCTCCACGTGACAACAACCACTGCTGGCTTCTCACACAGCAGGCTCCGTTGACTTTGCAGGGATGATGGGCGAGAGCCCCGTGCAGTGGCGGAAGTGACCGAGGCGTGCGTTAACATGCGGCCCCGCCAAAGGTATTTTAACATCCTATCTGGCCCTCAGTAATGACTCGGGGGTCACCCACCCCCCTGCTTTAAATGCACGGGAATTCAAGCGCACGCACCTCCCAAAGCGTAGAGTAGCTCCACGGCTTGCACCATGGACTCAGCTGGAGGCGGCTGTGGAGAGAGAGAAAAAACACGGGCAAGGGTCGCGTGAATTTACAAACTGGATGACAAACGCAACTTTACATAAAAAATGTTTTGTTTACAACGAAGGAGCTTAGTTCCTGGCTCGGCTCCGATGTGCCCGCGGGAAAATAAAAGTGTAACGCCGCACGAGCGAGCACGGTGAGCCTCACCGAGAGGAAGGAGAAACGCAGGACGTTGTCGATGCCGAGCGCCTTGAGCTGCAGAATGACGGGCGCCATGTCGCTCCGCCGCATCTCGGGCTCCGTCGCCTCGGGCAGCTTCGCAAACTCCGACTCTGTGTCAGCGCACGACCGTCGGCACACTCAGCGGCAGAGCGGGTTGGCAAGCGCAGCCACCGCCAACCGTGTGGGACCCACAGGTAACTTGGAAGGGATCGTTGAGTTTAGCTCTGTGATATGTGCTACCGTGGGGCGTTTTCTAACATACAAAGGGATGCATTGCTCTGCGAGAGATCCAGACGGATTCTTTGTCACATGGCATGGCACGGAGAGCACAATCGGCATCAAAACTAGGATTACATTTCTAAACCGACACTGCAACCGATACTGTGTGCTGTGAGCGGGCACGGCGCACGCGTGAGTGGTGTGTCTAGAATCACGCCCGACCGCCCTTGCCTCCCGAGTGCTGCTGTTCATTTAAGGCTGAGTCATCCTAGGAGAGGTACAGGACCAGTTCAGATAATGACGATTGATGTTAGATGTTATCCGTGGCCGGGAATCGAACTTGAGGCCCTCAGGTTTGTAGTGCGGTGCCCTAACCACTAGACTCCCACTCTTCACATTCACGACCAGGTTGCTGGTGCAGGTGCAGTTCGACCTGCCTTAAAACAAGGACCTGATGCGGTGTGAACATACGCACTTTCGAGACAAAGGTCGCCTGGCGTTGTGCCGGCCACAGCGAGCCCGAATACACCGTGCCAGCCTTCACGAGTGCTCGCCAACAACACTCGCCTCATCGACACAACACCTAACACAGGACAGCTTGCACCAGAGGTCGCAAACGGGTTTTGATTCCTTACCCGTACCCGTACCCGGCCGCACCAGGGTCGCAAATGGGTACCCGTACCCGTACCGTTCCCTACCCGTACCCTACCCGAAATGAGTGACAAACGGCTACTCACCAGTGACTCACGGCCAACCCGTACCCGGCCGCACCAGGCTCGCAAACGGCTACCCGTACCCGTACCCAGCCGGGTACGGGTAGCCGGGTATCGGGTAGGGTACGGGTATCGGGTACCCGGTTGCGACCTCTGGCTTGCACGCTCACCGTACCTGGATAGAGACGGTAACACTTCCCCGGGCGGCTCCGCCCGGCCCGGCCGGCACGCTGCTGTGCCGACGCCCGCGATGCCGGCGTCACGAGCAGCGCGTCGACGGCACGGCGAGGGTCGTAGGCGCGCAGCTTCACAAAGCCACAGTCCACCACGAACGCGATGCCCGGCACCGTCACCGAGGTCTCCGCCACATTGGTTGCCACCACCACCTGTCCGGAGGTGCGGTTTGTTACAAACAAAATGGGGGATAATGTTCAGTACATGTTCAACATGAACGTCATAGGAACGGAATCGGAAGAAAAAACTTATTATATTCATGTACAGGTAGTCCCCGACTTACGAAGGTCCGACTTACGATATTTGGATCTTACGATGGCGATAGCGATACGACAAAATTGAAAAATATTTTGCATTTCGCGCGGCAGGCAAACGCAGCAGCGTACGAGGTACGATACTGTATGTTGGGACGCTGCCGGGATGTACTGTACGCATATAGTTTATACAGTACGGTACTGTAAATTGCTCTGTTTTGCTAAATTATCACCATTCTTTAAGACTCCTGGGGAGGCTAGGCCATTTTGGACTTACGATATTTTAGACTTACGATGGGGTCGTCGTAACACATCTCCATCGTAAGTCGGGGACTACCTGTACTTCATCGGAACGGGAAAGGGTCAATCATCCGCACGTTTTCAGACTCTGACCTTGCGACAGCTGCGGCCGACACGCTCAAACACCTTCATCTGGTCAACGTAAGGCAGCCCGGCGTACATGGGCAGGGCGCGCACGTGCTTGTGCAGGCTGCCCTTGGTGCGAGCCGCCGCCGCACGCACCTCCTCCACCACGGCCGACACGACGTTCTCCACCTCCTCCTGCACGGGCGCAGCGGCGGGCAGGCGAACGAGCGATCCGGCGGGCGAACATGCAGGTGGTGGGCGGGTGAATGAGCAAGTGGGCAAGTTTCAAGTTTAATTTACTAGGTACAAGCCCTGTGAGCCATTCGGCTCTTGAATCGGGTGCAACCACAACAAACAAAAAAACTAAAACATGAACAAGAAAACATCTTAAAGTGACTATGTGCAAGCAGAAAATCCAAGAAAAGACAGCAAAATATTGCAGAAAAAAACACCGTACACCAACGCTGTGTGCAAAAATCCCAGTGGGATGCAAGTCAAACAACAACAACCACAAGACAACTTAGATTAAGACCATCAGTCTAACTCTGTACTACAACAAACAAACATGGCCAAACCGAAAAACTTTTCAAAAATCACCAAAATAAAGCCATAAAAGCAATGAAACAGTGACCATAGGAACTGTGACCGAATTTTCACAATAAACGACGTAAACAACATGTAATACCAAACTCTGCAGCCATAGCTGGCTGCATGAGTCACTCCACAACAGCAGGAGCATCAGTCGGAGTGTCAACATTTTTCAATGCACCTTTAAGATCAGCACACTAAATCAAAACACAGATCATACTTTGCAGCGATCATCCGGAGTCAATGGAGCGGGGGCAAGCAGGTGGGTGAAATGAGCGGATGAATGAGTTGACGAGTTAGCTGAGCGGGCGAACAAGTGGGTGAGGTGCTTAGATGGGTGACCATCATGCACAGCAGATGCTGCAGGGCTGCATACTGAGCAGCAGAGGGCAGTGTAACATCATCTACTGTTTGTAATTATACGCTCCTGTTCTATGGTCTGTGCCTTCGCCAAATGACTGGCATGGTGAATTATGATTAAATGAACCCCATGACCGGCACGGCAAGGGGAGGCTCTCATCCAGCTGTGGATTGACAAAGGGCTGTGCAGGTAGAAAATACTGTGGTTCAGCCTCTGCTGAACTTGTACTCGATGTGGCAACGGAAGCTGTTGTAGGATGCTGAAGAATGTCGCGGACGGTACCTGTCCGGTCAGGAAGGCCAGGATGTCTCCGTCCGCTGCATCGTTGTGAATTTTCATGATTGTCTCTACCGTGGTCTTCACATAGTCTGGCACAGGACTTGAACACACACAATACCGACAATGAAAATAAAACTCATGACATCAATATGTAGCATCTGGCATTTGTGCTTCGCTATGCTGGATTACATGCATTCGCCACCACCGCCCAGCTCTCAATAACATGTAATCCACTAAGCAGCATTAAGACACAAATGCACGGGAAAACGACGATGGTTATAAAACACTGAATTGACATAGTTGGGAACGTAGGTACTTGCAACCGCCAGTCACCCTGGTCTGCTGAAGTGTGACAAGTGGATTGGACTCACGAGTTCTGCCCGTGAACCTTTGTCACTCCACGTGGCCACCAAGTGCACCTAGCCTGGCACAAGCGAGTATGGTCGAGGAAGTTACCTGTGCGTGTAGAAAATCTCCACGGGGTAGGTGCGTCCCTCCACGGTTAGGATGGCGCTTGTGTCCTTGTTGGGGTCCGATGTGTCATTGTGGTTGAAGAACTTCTGGAATTTCTAGATTACAAGTGAAAAAATATATAAAGGTGCAGCCCTGCAATTACTTGCTCATGTCACCGGTGGCGGAAGGGCCTCCACTAGAGGGACCGTACAGTGGCTGGTACACAAAGTCGTGAAAAGTCCTTTGTGTTCCCAGCGTTGGTTTGGTCAGGGTTAATTTAGTCAGAATTTCAGTCTTTTAGTCTTAATCTACCAAAACTTGCAGAATTTGTGTCAACTCTTCATCTGTGTACTTTATTTAGTCATTAAAAAAAAATGCCAACTAAATTAAATCCACAGATTAAAACTGAACTTAATATTCCACAGGTTTCCGTCAACTAGACTACGATTAAAAAACGAACAGGCCGACTAACTTAACGCACGGATTGACAAATCAGCAGCCGCTCACTACTTTTAGTCTGAGTTGACCTGTAAGCAGAATGGCAACGATGCAGCCTGGCTCAGTATAACCGTAGCCCTGAGAACCAACGCCACCTGCTCATCACATGCAACAGCACGGCATAGATACTGGAATTTTAAAACCACGCTAGCATCAAGCACACAATCAACTCATACCTCTGCATCAAGAGTAGCAGATGCGACAATGATCCTCAGCTCTTCTCTCTTCTTCTGTATCTGCAAAGAATAAAAATGAAAAGCACTTAAGGTGAACTGCGATTAACATTTTGAAATAAAAACAAGAATTACGACAGGAATAGAGTGAAATCTTGATTTGAAGCTTTCGTGACTGCAGGAATCCATACTCTTTGGCTCTTTCGGTAAAGTCACGTAGGTAGAAAAAAAAATAGATCACGACATTTCGATCGCCACACAAGCAATCACCTGAAGACGATTGCTTGTATGGCGATCGAAACGTCGTGATCCTTTATTTTTTCTACCTATGCAACTTTACCGAAAGAACCATAGGAATAGAGTGCTTTTGGAATATCGATTTGATCATCAATGTGCCCGAATAAGAAAGGTGGTTTTCAATCGGTACGTATTATCCACTGTTACACAGATCAGAATCAATGACACTAGACTGAAAAGTACTCCAGGACACATGAGAGAAATGCATTCTCGAAATTTACAGTGAAAGACAGGGGAACACGATAATCAGGAAACAAACACAATCTGAGAAATCGCATTGACTGTTAGCAAAATCAGGGGGCTTAGGCGGGATACGTCGCTCGATGGGATGATGGCCGATGAAAGAAAAAAACACAAGTGATGAAACGGCAGCCCAAGGAGAAAACAAGGGCAAGAGAGAGCGAGAAGATCAGCTCAAGAGCGCGACACATTGTGGCACCGCAGGACCATGAGGTTCGCTGATGGCATGGGCAGCTCTTCATTCAGCAGTGAAAAGACAATGGCTGATCACGACAATGTATTTACACATAGAGTACATTAAATATGAAGGCACAAAGTAAATGGAGTACAGCCATTCCATTAGACCGAGGTTACTGTCAATCTTAACTCATTATAGTGATGTTAAAGCTTTCCTTTTTTAAATAAAGTCAATTGTTTTACCTTTCTTAGCAGGCCAAGAGCGATATCGGTGTACAGAGTCCGTTCATGGGCTTCATCCAGTATAATAACGCTGTCGGCAGAAAAAAAATAGAACTCATTGAACCGTCGCACAAAGCTAACCGACAACCATACCAGGAGCCATACCGCATTCGACACATTCGTTACGGTAGGATAAGTTGCAGTAGTGTCACCAAACCTCAGCATGACGGACTGTGTTGCAGTTAAGTGGAGTCACCTGTACTTCTTCAGCAGTGGATCAGCCATCATTTCCCTCACCAGCATGCCGTCCGTCAAAAACTGTCCGCAAACACCGAAACATCACACACTTTGGCATTCATGCAGATGGATACCCAGTGAACGTTTCATATGTTCAGTAGTTCAGAGGCAGTGGAGGGAATGGTACTGGTAGGAACCTCCTGGTTATACCAGCCCACAGGAGATTATTGTGTCCGTCCGTCATGCAGGGAGGGGCTGGGTGGGGAGGGGCTGGGTGGGGAGGGGAGGGTGGGGAGGGGCTGGGTGGGGAGAGTGGGGCTGGGTGGGGGGTGGGAGGGGTGGGGCTGGGTAGGGAGGGGCTGGTCACCCCGTGGTGCCCTTATAAAACTCAACGTTTAACCTACTCATGCTGGCTTGTGCCCGCCCTCACAGTCGGGCATATTTGCGGAATACACCACGCCGCCGTTGACCCTGGACATTGACCGAGCAACCCAACGTTCCTACCAGCTCCCTCCGCAGGAATGTGTTTATAACCTCATAATGAACAGTTGGTTTTACCACCAGAGGTAGTACCAACAAGTGGGGCAGTGCGCCCATCTAAATAATGTGGCCATATGCACCGTGTCCGCATATTATGGATTATTTTTTGGGGGGTGGGGGGGTGAGGGATCATAGAAAAAAAGTTGGGGAAAAAAAAAATCGCACTGCAAACTGCATGCAAAGCAATGCTGACTTGTTGCTCACTGCAACTCCATGCTGCGCAGAAAAGTCACGTGCCAGCTCGTCCTAATTGAGTAGAACTTGACCTCCCAGAAGACCGTGGGGCCCAACGGGTTATATATATAAAAAACTTTTTATTTTCTATGTGGAGAGACCGGTATACGAAGGAAACATTGCCTGCCGATGTAGTTTTTTTTTGTAGTTTAGTAGTGTACTGTACAGTAACTAACATTGGTTAAGTGATGGGTTTTTTATATTTTTTATGCATTTTTAGCACACTATAAAAAGCAAGAAAGAACACTATAAGCTAAAAAAAATTACAAAATTTGGTCATTATAGATATAATGGGGTAAAAAAAACCTTTAACATGGTACTCCACCGTAGTTATGCCAGTATTTGGAGGACACATTGTGATCACGATATAAGTAGTTAATGTGTTCAACGTAGTCTTATTGGAAATAAGACCACTTTTAATAATACCAGGACACTTCACCCTTAAATTAGCCCGGTGTTTGGAGGACACACCGTAATAACTTCACAAGTTGTAAATGGGCTAAATTTGTACTTCATTGAAATAACAGATATACTGGGTCACTCTACCCCTGAATTGTCCTGGTATTTCGAGGACAGCGATCGATGGGAGCTGGGACCGATCAACGATCTAGGCCGCAACCTTTATGCGAGTGGCTTGAGGGTCACTGCAGTCGTCAAAGCGAATGCAGTAGCCGACCTCGTGACCCAGCAACGCGCCTCTCTCCTCGGCAACTCGCGCTGCGACCTGGCCACATCATCCAAGGTGGATGGAGGCAGACACGTATATACAGACACACACACACAAAGCAGTGAGTACATGGATGACACACTGAAGCAGTTTGGATCACAAGGACAAAGTGTGGCGTGTTATGGAAACAAGGGACGGGACAGGAGGGAGATCCAATGCTGTCGACGTCCAGTTTGGGGATGACACATGATGATGATTTACAAGAGTGGCACACTGACATGCTCATCAAAAAGTGTTTGTTGCGTGTCAACAAAAACCAATATGAATCAACTTTTTTTGCAAAATAGGTGACATTTTTGCCAATGGCCTTCTTACACATAGCAGAAGAATGGCCGTGGATGAATGTGCCGAGTATTGGAAACTACTCGAAGCAAAGACAGACAACGAGCGGTGTGCGTTTTCACCGTGGTCGCTGCGACCCTCCGTGGTTGCGTGATGGCCACGACGTGTCCCTCCGCTGTCCAGCCGGCTTCTGCCAGGTACTGCGCAAGACGACGCAATTAAGACACGACAGAACACCGCTTTGGCATATGCACCTCGTTCTCCCTCTCCAATTAGAAACATATTAACTTGTCGGTGCAAAACAAGTTGCCACCGATACTTGTTCGAAAAATGACAAGGTTATTATTTTCCACCATGTTTGCCATTTATTCACTAAAAAGTAGCTGAAAAGGTTATTTCACTAATAAATGCAGCAGGATTTATAAATATACAACCCTTTGTCATTCCACTGCTTGACAAAGGTCTCTCCACACCTTGGTGATCATGCTGGTCATCGTGAGTTCGGGAAGGGGATGCCACAGACCAGTTCAAAATATCACTTATCAATGACATCAGGCTGTGTGTATCCAGCAACTGACCTCAAGTGGCCAAGTTTATGGTGCAGCGTACTAACCATCACACCACATCTGATGAGATTTAAAAACATATACATTTCTCACAGTTTACCCCACCACATTGAGCACAAATCTACAGGAAAGGCACAATAATAAAGTATAGTGAACCACTGATTATGCTATGTATATCAAACTTTAAGTCACTTCCACAGCTCCAACACCCATGCGTACCTGGGGAATTTGTGTGCTTTTACCGCATCCAGTCTCACCCACAATCACAACAGTGCGGTATTTCTCCACCAGGTAAAGGATATGATTCCTGTGCTGAACAATACATTGCACAAGGAAAAACAAATCAATAACTGAAAAAAACCCGTAAATCTAGTTAAATCATATTCTGGGCACATATATAATCATTTCACAATGCACTTGGCATACGAGGCAGGAGATGCATGGCATGAGAATGCAGATGCACGGAATCGGAGGAAGGAGATGCCTTGAAGGATGTGTGTCAAGTCGAGATGGGAGCTGCATGGTTTGAGAGGAATATATGTGCAGTCAGAGGTGAGATGCCTGAAGAGGTGAGACATGAGTGGACAGGAAGGAGGTCTGAAGTCAGATACGTGTATGACCTGCCATATATGTTAAGGCAGGTAATACACTGAATTTAAAGCAACAATCCTGACACCTCAAAATTCTTTGATAGCAACTATGAACGTTGGCAAGGCGCCATGAGGATTTGTCGTGCACTGCAAGTACCATGAATATGGGCAAACGCTGTCGCTGCTGCTGGATGGAAAGGGAGGTGTGAGGGTTGTACACAAATGCCGTGGAGGCCTCTTCCCCCGCAGTAGCTCGCTCCTCCCCAACTCCAGGCGCCTCCGTCCCTACCACATGAACAACGTGCAATGTTCATCTGTATGAAACATTCTCCATAGTCTAGCCTCACATTATCATCGTCAGCAGCAGCAGCAGCCACGGGCACTCCACTGCTCCATGAAGGCTAAGCCGTCACGATGTCACATGGTTCTTGCAATGGAACAGCAACTGCACAAGAGCTGATTTTATTACATACATTACATACTCTCGGCCATGTGGTGTGGGAAATATACTGTAACCTAGAGAGATTCGTACAAACAGCGACACTGCTCCACACACACATCAGTCACAAGAAACTTGGGGATAAATTGTTACGAATGGCATTTTCTGTCAGGTCAGCGCATCTCTCTCCACATGTCACCTTTGGGATTCTTGGGATACAAGTGTTATCACCAGAGGCCCAAAGAGCCAGACTAAAACACCTTTACTCTTTGGGGTTTTTTTTACCTACGTGACTTTACCGAAAAAAATAAAGAGTATGGACCCTTGCAGTCACCAAAACTTCAAATCTAAAATTAAAACACCTTTAATCAGATGCCAACTTCAGGCCCCATGGTGAAAAGTGGTCTCCAACTCTTATTATCCACTTCCTGTCCTCTGTATGTGCTGTGAAGGGCCCCTGCCCCAAACTTCACCGTATATATATATTAATTTAAGTGTTATTTACGAACGCGTTACATTTTTTACGTGTGCCTGTGCATCACTGCCAACGCAGCATCATAAACTAATTTAACATTTTAGGCACCTTTGTGATTCTCGGGGCTCAGTGTAAATACCAAGGCTCAAGAGCCAGAGGGGCTGTGGTGGCGCACGCCTTTAATACAGCACTGTGCGAGGGTTGGTGAAAACTCCCTTCCCGTGGGCATAAGGGTGCCATAAACCCTGGCTTCCAGGGCGGTAGTACAGCAAATGTGGACTCCACCTGTTCCTTCTGTATGGGACGGTCCTCCGGTTTTCCCTCTACATTTAGAATCAGCTTACGTTCAGAGTATTTGGCTGTTATAAATGTCCACGTGATACGCCACTTCACTGGGCTACTATCATTTGTGGCCAGGTCGCTTCTGAAAAAAGCTACATTGCTGTGGGGCTCATAGCAGTCAACCCATACGGCTTACAAGTATTCTTGCACAGGGAAATTGAGTTTGCACGTCCATACGGCGTACAGCCGTTTCAATACGGGCTTTGTAGGGTGAACTGAGATTTATCAGGGCATGGGGTGACCCATAAGGTCTGAATTGGTCTGTAATAAGCTAGGCACTGACAAGGGGTTGACAGGTATGTGGGGGCCTTACCTGGTAAAACAAAATGTAAAGTCACGTAGAAGGGAAATAATTAAATTAAATATATAAAACAATAAAATTGTATTATTGTTGTGAGATTTTTATTTTTTATATTTTTATTCTTTTATTATTTCCCTTCTTCGTTACTTTACCGAAAGAACCGAGAATATGAATCCCTGCAGTCACGAAGGCTTTAAATAAAAAAAAATGTTAAATATTACCTCCTGGCTCGCCAGGGTTTTCTGTGGGTGCTCCGGTTTCTTACCACATGTATAATTGGCTGAAAACATCTTAATATGTGAACGACAATATATTTGATTCCGAAAATAATTATAAATTATATATATTATTAAATGCTCCACTGAGATTCTTGGGTTTCGTTTGAATGATCACGTCTCAAACACCACACTCAGGGACGCTTGCAATTTCAATGGTCCGATATTCACACAAACACGCTTCGAGCAGAAAAGTATAAGAGCTACATAGTTACTTTATAAGACTGGCATTAAATGAATACGAGAGTAAGCACCAGGACTAAGTGCCCCATCCACATCCCACCGAGCCTCTCGCGATATTCCAACCGAGGAAGATGCGCCTCTCCCGGCCAAGAATCTAGGAAAGACCGTTGTTAACAAGGCCTCAACAACAATTCCGTGCATACAGCAACAGTTGCTATTTTTTTTTTATGACATTGCACAAGCGAGGGATGACTATAAGAGAAAGGTAAAATGCGGCGAGCGAGCGAGCGAGTGAAGGACGAGGTGAAATATATCCCGCACCTGGCTTCCAGAATTTGGGAACCACTCGTGTGGCCGCCATGACGGTCAGACGCGTGCGGGCGGCGTTGACCAATCGGCGCGCAGCACCGCGATGACGTCATGGCGGGAAAGTTACGGGATAAATAAATAAATATTTATTGCGCAACTTTTATTCTAACTTTACCGAACCCTCTAACGTTGATCCCCCTGTTCGTTTCAGAATCGTCGCCGTTGATTGTTCGAAGATTTGTATTTTTGTTGCAATGTGTGCTGTGACGTGACCGGCGGGGAGTGGCACGACGGGGATTCGATTTCATAGCGCGCATTGACACAAACGCAACCCCCTCCCCTCCCCCCCTGAGGACCGCATTACCACGAGTTGAGAAAAAAATGTTAAAATGTTGCGTTTGCAAATGTAACATTTGACATTTTAAAAACTCAAAAAATACGACGGTAAAAAAAAAAAATCAACAACAGCAAACAACATCGTCAAAAGTTAAAGGCGTTTTCAATGTGCTAAATATACGGAATGAATAATTCATATCAATCCGCGGGTCTTTCATATTAAAATTCGTGTGAATTGACTTCGTACACCCCCTCCCCCATCTACACCCCCTCCCCCATCTACACCCCCCACCCCATCTACACCCCCTCCCCCATCTACACCCCCCACCCCATCTACACCCCCTCCCCCATCTACACCCCCCACCCCATCTACACCCCCTCCCCCATCTACACCCCCCACCCCATCTACACCCCCTCCCCCATCTACACCCCCACCCCCATCTACACCCCCCCACCCCTCCCCCATGTACCCCCCCTTCCCCCCACCCTTCCCCCTCCCCCATGTACCCCCCCTACCCTTTACCCCTCCCCCATCTTCCCCCTTATCCCTCCCCCTCCTTTCATCCCCCCTCCCCACTCCCACCGACCCATCCCCCTATCCCACCCCCGATAACTTCCCCCACTCCCCCGTCCCCATCCCCACGAATGTCCTTCGCGCGCCCCCCCCTCCTCTCCGAACTCTTCTGTGATTGGTCACCCCCTCCCCCCCCCCCCGTATGCTTGGCCAATGAACGCGGCCGTAGGCGTGGTCGCCGCGGCGGCCTCGGTCACGTGCTCGCAGGCGCGGGCCAATAGCGCGCGGGTCAATGGAGTTGGAGGGGAGGGGCGAGATTGGGGTGCAGGTGAGGGGCGGGGCTGGGGGGGAATAAGAGGGGGCGGGGCTGGGGGGAAGGAGGAGGAGAGGGGGGGGGGATGGAGGAGGGGGATGGGCAATGGGGGAGCTCTTTGTAAATTTATCGCAAATCGAAAGTAAAATTTATAATCTCGCCACCTTTATTATTCGCGCGCGAGGCGATTAGTTAATTATCATTTATAAATTGTCGCGAATTATTTTGTTTAATGTCGTTCGTGTTGACGCGTCGCTGAATCGCGATTCGTTTTGGCGGAGGTTTAAACTGAAAAAAATGTCCGCAAATAAGTCTAAAAAGAGCACCAAAACGGCGACTAAGAACTGCCCCCAATGTGAACAACAGGTAAAACGGGGGGGGGGGGGGAAGCGCTCGCGAGTTACGATAATAATTGTAAGAAATGTATATTCGCACGTCAAGATTGAAAAGCAAAAAAAATCTGCAATAGTTTTTTGGAGTTTCTGACGAAAGTTTGATGCTTGAGGGGGAAGGGTTTCGCCTCGCAATATCGCGCGCGGGTTGGCAGTCGTTAAGCAATGGTCGATATTAAGTTATCTTTTATTTTTTTAAGTCGTCGCCTTCTGCTCGTTCGAGTTGGTTTTTTTAAAACCTGAAAGCGATGCGTTTGTTATCGCTCGCGAGTATTTTTGCTTGTTTTGTTTTTATTTTTAATGAACAAAAAAGTTTGTTAAGTGTCGCTTCGCAGAGCGAGTAAAGTAATATTTGGCGTTGCCTGCTTGGCACTACTCTTAATGTGTACAGTATTATATAATGTGCGATTGTTCTACGAGTTGTTACGGTCGTTTCTCATTTTAGTCTTCGATAAATTGTTTAATTTGGCACACTTTATTCGTGTTTATTTTGCTCGTTGTGAATTTAATGTTTTTTTTTGTTAAAAAGTTGCCCCCGTGTTCTACAAATTAGGTCAAAGGTGATTTCTTAACGTCGATGCCAGCGTATTTATGTTTAAAAGTTGAACTTTTAATTGTGTTTTAGAGTACAGTGTTAGTGAGCGATGTTTAAAGCTTTAAAGTGAGTTATAAAGTGCCTCGCTTAATTGTATTGATTTTGTCACGTACTGTATTGCTATTCAAGTGTACATTGTATTGCACTGTACTTCACAAAGGAATGTTGCTTTAGGCTTGTGCTATAATTATAGTTATAGCGTAGTTATTATTGTAGTATTTAGAATGTTAGGTGAAATAACGTCGTGTACTATATAGCAATATAATAAAATGAACATTAGTCATACCAAATAATAAAATTACATAATACATCGATTAAAAATATTGAGCTTATTCATTATGATATTGTCTTTGTAATTGTATGATGGGCATCATAACATTTAATAATCTTAACCAAAGTAACATTTTACTTGTTGGTGAGATTTACCAGTCTTTCGTAATGATTCTAAATAAGTACGATCAAATCTGTAAGGATAAACCATTCAACAGATTATAATTGTTTGCACAACCTTGTGCTATTGACACTTAATTATTGTGGTTATTTCATTTTAGTGTTTAATGGAAAGAAGAGTTAGTAATGATGGTGCCTGTAAAACATTCCAAAACTAAATTAGACAAGTCGAAATAATATTGTAGAGAAGCGATGACATTGTACTAACTGGTACATCGAATATTTATCGTGACCATCACAAAGAATTAAGCTCGTTATTAATTGTTATAACAAAGCATTAATAATAATGGTGCTTCTTTAAACAATTCTTTCAATGTGTACAGCTTGGCCATGCAATATGAAGACACTAATTACAAATACAATTGCTCTTGATAGTGTTAAGCGGTAATTGTGCTAATACCGTAATAACCGATAGCTTTTGTTCGTGTACTTAACAGCTTTTAATCAATGCGACTTTATGCTGCTTGCCAATCGTTTTTATATTAATGATCGCTAATATTTTGTATTCATGATAAGTAATAATGGTGCGTTTAATGGAAACATACAATGGAATGTTTGCTATGCAAAAGGGGCCATTTGCCCGAAACGTCTGTATCGCGGCATAACATTTTACTTGGAGAGGGCAGTGTTGTTGAGGAATATGATTTCGTGTGTTACTTTCACGTAATCTTTGTTATCTCACCGTCATGTAGCAGCGAGTGACGGCCGTGTAAGAATGAGCAGCAGTAGTAGTAGTACAGTAATGTAATGCTCCTGTGCTAACCCAACGTGGCGTCCGTGTGTGTATTCTGTTTCCCCACACACGAAATTAGATCCCGGTCGCTTGCAAGTCGTGTACTTGCGGGAACATATTTATCAGCAGAAAACTCCTCAATTTGGCCCAAGCAGACAAACCAAGACCTACCCCTGCTGTACACGGTATGAGCTACTAAACATTTTGTTTGCAGGGAAAGCTTAAAAAACGTTGCGTTTGGAGGTGTAAATGAGTCTACTTTTGATTTAATCGCTTGAGAGCTGACTTGTGATGCTCGTGATTTATTATTATGATCATATCCACTGCTGAATGAATGCTGCCCCTTCCCTTTGGTTATTGGAGGGAAGATGCGTGACTATACTTCACCACGCTGGTCAGTGCGGGTCAATGAAAGGGCACACAGTACTATCACAACTTGTGGGAATTCACCATTCGCATTGACGTGACCCTTTTAGGGTTAGCCCAGGCACACATCAGGGGTGCAGTGCATGTATTATGAGATGTTAACTACCTCTCCTGGTGTGCAGAAGGTCGTGGGTTCGATCCCGACCTGACGCCTGCTGCTTTATATTTGGAGTTTTCATGTTCTCCCCGTGGATTTTTTTCCGTGTCCTCCGGGTTTCCCCCTCCACATTTTAGAAACGTGCGTTTTTAGCTGCTATGAATTTCCAAACGATGATAAAGCCGCCACTTGATTGGGCCATCATTTGTTATAGCCACGTTGCTTCTAAAAAAAGAGCTGAATATCTCAGTTGGGCCTTAGCTGGTAAAAATAAAGTTTTTTGGAACGCTTGTCTTGATGATGCCCTGGGCACCCTTGCAAACAAGAGATGTTCCATCTCGAGGGATTTATTCGGGAAGAACATTTTAACAAGTAATTCAACTTCCGTATGTATGCCAGTTTTTTTTACATTTTAATTTGCATTTTGTGCGCAGCGCTGACTTGTTAAAATGTATACCGAGGTGCATTGATGCAAAAATGTTTGTCTCGACAATGTGGATAGACTTTGGTACTGCTTGTGTATCGTAATGTTGCATTGCACTCATAATTATATGGACGCATAAGTTAAATGCACTTTGAGCAAACACAAAACTTAGTTCCTTTTACCAAACTGCCCGAGCATGTTTTCCAGATATTCTGAACCACGATGAACTTGTAACAATACCACTCACGTTCTCTTTGAGGCCACTCTAAACCCCATATTTTGATTTCGGCTTTTCTTGGAACGCAGATTTAAAACTTGATGTCAAAATGCATGATGTTAGAAAGGTGATTCATAAGGCACCCTTGGTGCAACCCAAGCTTAGTCTTAAGTCTTACAGACTTTACACCAACTCGCCTTTTATTTGATTTCCACATGCTAACTAGCCTGTGTTTATTATAGGGGTGATTCACCAAAACTTAATAAGTCAACCCTTTCCGTTGACTGGAAAACAGACAATTCCAACCGACATTATTCTCCTTGTTGGTTCTTTCGGTAAAGTCACGTAGAAGGGAAGTAATAAAATAATAAATAATAAAACATAATTATATAATTATCACGACGTTTCGGCCACAACGCAAGCAGCCGTCCTCAGGTGAAGAATGAAACACCACGGCTGCTTGCGTTGTGGCCGAAACGTCGTGAGAATTATTTTATTATGTTTTATTTTTATTATTTTATTACTTTCCTTCTACGTGACTTTACCGAAAGAACCAAGAAGATGAATCACTGCAGTCACGAAAGCTTTAAATCGAAATTCGACATTATTCTGTTCCACTTTTGAAAGTGAGGCCACTTTAACAATATATAATGTGTATTGAGGCGTCCATTACCTCATCTTTATCAGCCTTTAAGCTATAATAAGTGAGGCTCAAAACATGTTCAACCAGAAATTGCGAAAAAAAATCGTCACTCGTGTTCACTTATTTTCAGCACGCTACGAAATGCGAAGAAATGCTATTGTGTTGAGCACGTTGTGAAGGCCTCGGAGCCCTTTTTCACTTGAAAACGTTGTTTAAATTAGCAAATACAAATCTTGACTGATGGCATGGATTTTGAGTGTGCTGGAAATTTTCCTCTGTGGTTCGTGGCTTTTTGCCGTGCTAAGTGTTTCCCCATTTTCATGTCCGTGGATTTTGGCTTGTGAATGAAATGTTGAAAATGTGCGCCCCCGCTTACAAAAGGCAAACACCACCTACCACACCCTAAACATACTTAAAGGACGTAAAAAAAAACCCAAGCACGGTATGTACAGTGCAAGGGACACACATTCATGAATCTGCAAGACACAGGATGTATGTAAATATGGTTGGGTGTCACGCCACCACTGCTTTTACTGTATGCCATATACTGTGATGTTTTCTGAACCTATTTAAAACCACACTGACCAGCATGGTGAAGTATAGTCAAACATCCTACCATACTCAAAATGCATGACGAATTTCTTAATCCTTCAGTGGATTGACACACGTTGGTAAATTATTGTTATTATTAATGTTTAATCTGTTCGAGTTTGCATGGTTTTCAAATGAGCCATCATTAATATTTCACTAAATTGTGGGCTGCGCTTAGCACATGTTGCGCTCCCAGGTGGAATGAAGCGGTTTGGGTTGGCTCCTGTCCTGGTTTTTCCCGGGATCTGTGAATCTTGAGTGAATATTAGGTTATGGTTCCCAATATCGCCACGGTACTCTTATCCGGGGGTGTTGAAGGATTTATATAAGTGGCAGTACATTGTAGTACGCCTTGAATTGAAGCTTTCGTGACTGCAGGAATCCATACTCTTTGGTTCTTTCGGTAAAGTCACGTAGGTAGAAAATAAAATAAATCACGACGTTTCGGGCGCAACACAAGCGTCCGAAACGTCGTGATATGTTTTATTACCGACGTGACTTTTACCGAAAGAACCTAAGAGTATAGTACGCCTCTGTGGGTTTTTCGCGGATGTGGATAACAGGAGTTTATTTCATGGATAAACACGGATAAATAAGAGTTCCTCATTTTACAATTAGAATAAGAGTTCTGTATTAAAGTAACCATTTTAATGCGTGCAGGAAGCTCTTCTATGTAAAACATGTAAATAAATAAAATGATTTACTCAGGTAGTGCGGTTCTTTGTTAATCTTCTTTTGGAAGAGAAAAAAAATCACCCAGACTCAATGGGTTTTTGACCTGGGATTTAAATACGGATTTCCATTCATTTGTATGCACTCGCCATGCAGCCCCTTGCCCTGTGAGACGCTCCCTCCTGCTGTGAGATGCTTCCCCAGTAAAGTGGAAGCCCACGACATTGGTGGGAGCAGGGGACTGCCGTGTTTAGTACACTCATATAGTTTTCCCCTTTATAAGAGTTTTAACAGATATTAAAAGAGCAGACCTACGTCTCCAAACACAAATGTTTTGAGTCTCTAGGCCGATGGGCTTTCTTGACCAATACTACTGAGGAGCAGTTAAAGCGAGCACACACCCTCGACTGGTTTTGTACCTCTGGATCTCATTAGCAGAGTCCAAGCTTGTTAAACATACCACTGGGTTGCCAAATGTTATGGGCAAGGGCGCTCTGTCTAAATGACGGGGGGGGGCACTGTTCAATGCAAATATCAATATTGTACTATTATTATGAGTGTGCTTGTTTACCCCGGAACGCCTCAATTGAGTCTTATTAAATTTCGATTTAAAGCTTTCGTGACTGCAGGGATTCATCTTCTTGGTTCTTTCGGTAAAGTCACGTAGAAGGGAAGTAATAAAATAATAAAAATAAAACATAATAAAATAATTCTCATGACGTTTCGGCCACAACGCAAGCAGCCGTCCTCAGGTGAAGAATGAAAGCTTGGTGGTGTTTCACTCTTCACCTGAGGACGGCTGCTTGCGTTGTGGCCGAAACGTCATGAGAATTATTTTATTGTGTTTTATTTTTATTATTTTATTACTTCCCTTCTACGTGACTTTACCGAAAGAACCAAGAAGATGAGTCTTATTACTTTTTTCAGGAGGGTCACGCCGAGTTTCCACAGTAGGGGGCGAAAATTGCGACGTGTATTCCAATAGACTTTTTGTGTTGTCATGCAACATTTGGACGATGACGCCACACACAATTGCCTCCTTTGGCTCGTGACGTCACCGGATCATTAACGACCTCGCGAATGTTTTAGTATGAATACACCTCCAAGTGTTAATTTAAAGTTTGAATAACACCTGTGGTGTTATTAGGCCGGCTGGTAGATTCCAACCGCCTGAGTCTTTGTGTATATATAAAAACCTCTCCATTATGCCTTGTGAATAATTCCTGTGCAATAACCTACAGTAGGCAAACATCTGTTCTGTGTTCACATACAAGATATTGTATTTTAGTCCATCGGCCTCTTGCCTGCTGAGTAATAGTAGTGTGCAATGCCGAGAGACCAGCGGAATAAAGCGGAATGGTGTGCGGACACGATGTAGATTCAGTTTGTTTTTGAGATAAGCGAACGCGGGGACCACTTTGCATTTTGAAACATAAGCTGAAGCAAACCTGCTTTTAAGTCATAAATGCATCTGCACAGCAACAACAAAGACTTGGCACTATTCCAGGGAATGCAAGCGAATACGAAATGACAAAGTTTATCCTTGTCTTTGTGGCCAGTGAGACTCGTTTTAAGGGGCATTTCTTATGCTATCGACTAACTCGTGCATTTACATTTATTACCTGGACTTTTTTTTAATTCCACATCTACCAGTTCGAGTTATGTCACTGTTAGAGCGTGTGCGCCATGAGTCTCATTGCCCACATTGTGCCACGATGCCAGCGCTGTATTTTTAATCATTCTGACCAGGGCAGGCACGTGATTAAATACTCCCGACGTCATTTGCTAAGCGAGGAAAATTACCTGTGGTGACGATGCTGAAACTGGAACTCCCATTTTCTTTTGTATCCACCAGAATAATCCTAAAGCCCTGGTATCGTTCCCAATGATTGAATCGCCACGAATGCACCCGATCCCTTGACATCTCAGAAAGCTAGATGGAGTTGTGAAGTCGGGATGTATCACCACCGGTACATGCCAGGTGTTGTAGTTTTGGGGCTGCGAGGTGTTGTCAGGAGATGGCAGTGCATTCTCAGGGATCTTCCAATTTCTTTGGACATGTCAAACATTCATTAACAGTTTTGGCCAAAGATCACTGCACATAAAATAGCCCAGAAACCCGATGAGGCTTTTGTGAGTAAATAATTTACGTTATTTTTTATTTCTGGAACCTGAATTTCAAGCCGTGGAGGCTGACCATGCCCTTTGTCTTGGCCAAGCTTTTGTCTGTTTAAACCAGAGACGAGATATGTGCACTTGCTCATTAGCATCCACTGAATATACGTTGTTGAGAAGGAATCTGTGGTAGGGTGATGTGTCAGATGACTGCAATGTCTGTTACTCGTTTCCTGCCAGTGGAATGAAAACACAGTGTCGCTCTGAAGAATGGTTGCGGAAGTTATTGTGCTCGGTAACCTTTTTTTGAGGGTTAAATACAACGTTTGCTTCCTCCTTCAATTCGGTACCGAAAGAACGTGTCAGATTGATTTTAGAAAAATGAAATTCCATGCAATTCGTGTCGCCACTAAATACGGAATTCAGCTGATTTTAATGTCTCCTTTAAGTTAGTTGTGGAGAAAGTACCTTTTTTAAGTTTGCTGCTTGGTAAGATTCAATTCATCTCCGGGAAGTTATCCATGTTGGTATTAATGTCCCTGTTTGAGTGGAGGGGTTTTTTTTCAGCCCCAAGCATCACATGGTACACCACAGACATATAAACACAGGCCTCTGCACCCCATCAAAACGTTTTGCGTTCAAATGGTTGCCATAGGATCGCTTGCATTTATGGCATTTGTTTTTAAGAGGGTTAACGTTCTGGGGGAAAAAAACACCTTAGAACAAGTACATTTTCCAAAAGTTGCTTGAAAACAATGTTTGTAAAACTTGAAGGCTAATTCACGTTACTCATTTTTAAACATCGGTACATTTAGATCAAATGACATAATTGAATTCATGATCATATTTATTCATACTGGAGGAATGTCAGCTAGGAAGCTTTTTTTTTTCACAGATGTCCAGTAGTTTCACAGATCTGAATGTGTTTTTGTGCACCAGTGTTTTTTCGAGTTGTGCGCCATGTGTTGTACGTGACACGGTCCCAGCAGCTCGCCTCGCGTACCGAAGAGAGCTACGCTTGTTGCAAAACGTCAGACTGCCGCTCGATGTGCGGTACAACCCGAAAGTAAAAGTCAAGAGATATCCAGCTCGGGCGCGAGAAACTCCTTGTGTTTCATCCACGTCTCGCGTGCCCGATTTCGATTCGACTGCAATTTCTATTTTTTGTAAAATGAACGAAAGTTAAAATGATAAATTTCCTCTCTCTACGTTGTTGTTGTTGTTTTATCTTCCAAGTCGAGACAAAACCAGAGTCGAAACGCCGGCGGCCCGAACGCGCGCGCAGAGATCGCTACGGCTCGTGCTCGGGGAAATCGTCGGACGCGCGCAAGGTGCCATCGGGCAGCAGCAGCAGTAGCAGCAGCAACGGCAAGTGGCGGCGGCAGGGGTGACAGCCGCAAACGGGGTCGGCCCAAAGGGATCACCCAACAAGGGCAAAGATGAGAAAGGTGCGTCCGCAAACAACTCAAAACTTATGCCGTTCGCCTCGGTCGTCCGTCCGTTTGCGTTGTCTTGTCTCGTACATTCTGCCCGGTTTTCTCCAACTGCCTTTTTTGAATTGTTATGTTTGTATGTTGAACTTCTTTCGCACGTACGTATCCAACCGTGCTGCTCGGAGGTTGTGACTTGCTGACCTGCCCCCCCCCCCCACCCCACCTGGAAAACTGTTTAAAAGAGCTTCGTAGTTTATCGGATTCTTCTAGTTTAAATAAAGCGTTTGATTCTGATAAAGTAGAATTTACTTTAATGATTGGCTTTATTATTTGTGGTTGGTGCAGTAAGCGAGTCGGTCTTACTGTCGTCGTGACCAATTATTCAGTGGCTGGAGGGTGCAAGACTAATTTTTTCCTTCTGGCTTTTCTTGATTTTAATATTTTAATGTGTTTTTGATTTTATAGGTAGGACTACCTTAGTTTAATTTACACTAAAGTATTGCAATGCCCTCTTTAGTGGGGGCGAGTTTTTACTCAAGTATAAATGGAATTAATGAACGTTGGCTTGAGGCATTGGTGATTGGATCTGGGGTGCCACAGTGGCAAGATGTTAACTACCTCGCCTGGTTTACAGGTCGTGGGTTCGATCCTGACGCTTTTTATTTGAAATTTGCATGTGTGTCTCTCTCCATGGTCGTGTGGATTTTTCTCCGGGTCCTCTGGTTTTTCCTTCTACATTTAGAAACCTGCATGTTAGAGTATTTGGCTGCTACAAATTTCCACATGATAAGCCACTTTGTTAAAAGATCAATTGTGGCTAGGTCACTTCTGAAAAAGAGCTATGTAGCTCAGTGGGCCTTACCTGGTAAAAAAAAAAACATTTAACTGACTAAGGATTAATTTCAATTGTGTCATTTTTAATGAACTGCAATCACAAGGTATTTGTAATTTTGAAAGTATTCTTGGAATTGTAATTGACCACAGGATTGCTCTGAAGTGACTAATAATGGGCACGGATGATGTCGCGACGTTTAGCTCCACGTACTGGGAGCGTCTTCGGGAACTGAACACGCTGCTGTCGTAACCCAAAACACATTTGATGGGAGCTTTGCAAAAAAACACAGAACTCCACAGCACCACGACCGAGAAAATAGCTGCACATTAACTTTAATGGGACTGATTGCGCACCGTCAATAAAGTGGTATTCACAGTCTGTCCTTTAAATGAACACTACAGTACAACACAACAAGGAGCAGGTTTGTTTTCCGCTAATACACAATGGATTGATTCATCGCGAGAGAGAGAAAATCCCGCACGGTTATCTTTATAAGGAATTGCTTAATAGCTTTGCGTTCGTGGTACTTGGGGCGCCATTGAAAGTCTGCGCAAACACGTTGCACAATGGAACATAAACGAGGTGACATTTTTTTTGCACAGGTGATGCATAGTTGAGTTTCAAGCTTCCTTCCCACCCACATCATTTTAATACTGTTAAACAGAACGCGTCGCTTAAAGTACAATCGTGTCATTTTGATACGTCCAATTATTTTAACACCCAAGTATCATTGTTTATGTATGTTAAATTCTAGATTTGAAGCTTTCGTGACTGCAAGGATTCATACTTAGTTTTTTTGGTAAAGTCACGTACCTACGTACCTACGTGACTTTACCGAAAAAACTAAGAGTCTGTTAAACTTCTTTCGCACAGAACAACCGTGCTAATCGGAGGTGCATATCCAACTGTAGGAGCCAAGGTGGAGTCGGTAATGAGACAAGGTCATATTTGTGAACGTGTCTTTATACTATGGCAGTGACACCGCGCACATCCGTGGCTCGGTGGGCGTAGTTAATTCGTCATGGTTTATATTTTACGTTCTGATATATATATGACGCACTGTACTGAGTCTCTCTACAACACAGACGGCTCAAAATACCAACAGAATCGTGTTACGAGCGAGCGTACTCATTTGTGAGTGAAATGACCTTTGTGTTTCCATGTACACTATATGCTTTCCCCACATGCACGTGTTATTAATGCAATGTATTGTGTGTGTGTTTTACATCAGAATGTCGATTACTGTATGAGCCCATGAGCGTGTGTGCGTCACGCCTGTATAAACATAAATATGTAATGCTTTATATACAGAGGAATGTAGACCCACAATCCCCCCCCCCCCCATCGCCGCCCCCTCCTCCTCTTGAATGGCGGCTTTTCCACCACATAAGCAAGAAGTGGCAGGGGCTGCACCTTTTATCGGAGTGGGGAAAATTAAATACACACACGAGTAAGAACATTCAGGTGGTTGGAGAGTGTCTTATCAATAGCAGCAATTGTAATCGTGTGGTACTGTATTAATGTAGAGTTTTACAACTACCATGTTGAAAAGTCAGAATCCTCAAGGCTCCCCTAGTTTAGACATTGCCTCTCTGTCCACATAACATTGCTTAGACATGCCATTATTCCAAACATTAATAGTCGGTGCTGCAGAAACGACGATAACTGAAATTTGTCAAATCTGCAATCCCAGGTGTTGCACGAATAATTGTTTTTCTCACGTGTGCATTTGACAGCCACAGTACCCCAAATTAACGTAACGTCCTGGCCTGCCCCTGCTGGACACCCGTGAAAAAGCTTCATAGCGCATCGGATTCCTTTCAGTAGAAATCCAGATTCTGATTGTTAAGTTCAGTAAAAACTCTGCTAAACCTTCTTACCGCCTCTTCCCCCCCCCCTTCCCCCAGCAGAGAAATCGGAGCGCGAGTACGACATTTACGCCGGACTGTCCGAAGAGAGGGCATTCGTGTTCGCAGTGGCGCTTGCCGAAATCAACCGTCGCATACTGAACCAGAGAGTGGCTCTCTGACGCACGCTCACCCCTCATCCCCCGCCCCCTCCTCACCTACCCACCCCTCCTTCGACGACCACCACCACTACCACCTTCCTCCTCGCATAACCAGACAATGGCCTCGTTTCCTCGTCACAAGCGGCGGTGTGAGCGACACAAAAACAAAAATCCCTTCTGCGTAAAGACGGAATCGTACGCTCTCGCGCGCTCTCTTCGGACGGCACACGTGCACTGGATTCCAAGAGGCGCGATGCAACTGAACGCGTCCCGATTAGTTATTTTTGTGCGAGCACTATATATATTACAAAAAATCATCCTTTCCCCCCACGCCCCACCACCCTCTTACCGTACTCAAAACTTGCTTATTTGCGATGTTTTTTGTGATTTAATTTTTTGTTGGCGCTGGAGACACGGCATGTGTGTGTGTGTATATATAAACACTCAAGCCATCATTGAATCCCTTTTTTGGGGGGCAGGGGGGGCGCAAGTAAAACGACATTTCCTCACTTGCACGGCGAACTACGGCACTACACTACTGTCTGACATGCATTGCATTAATGTTTTGAGAACAATGTTCATTTTTTTTTATATTTGCTTCGTGTACACACTTGAATTGAGCTATATAAAAATAACGGCGTTATGTATTGATTGCATTCAACTTTTGATATTTGGTACCAGTTTTAAAATAAAGGAAATAAGTAAAAAAAAAAGATTGCACATTTTTAAATCCGCATGTACTGGCATCATTATGAAAGACTTTCATTAAAGTATTGGGTGATAATTGCATTGTCTCATGTACTATTTTGTTATCCCTGGTGTTATTTACATTGTTTGAATCCATACTTTTCGAAAACAAGAGCCTCATCCAATGGCTAGTAAATGTGTGTTCAGCTTTATTTGTATTTTTAAAATGTATAATCTGGTGTCGGGAATTATTTTGTTCAATGTGCTGGTCGCAGCATATTGTGAAACCAATTTTTACCACAGTAGGGCCTTAATGGTGCCATAGCTTTTTTTTTTTTTATCGAATTTCCAAACATGCGAGAGGTTTTCTGACGAAGTCTTAATACTGTAATGTATTTCTAGTGCAGAATTGGTCAAAGTTCTCGCTGGAAATCGGCTGCCGTAAATGGTAATAACAAACGTATTGTGGAGCAGGTTTGTCCAACCAAATATGTGCTATTTGCAGTCCACATGCATTATGAAACGCTGCATTTCATTGATTTGAATAGCATACACGACTCTACCAATTCCACGCCATATTTTTTTTTGTAAAAACTCACCTCCCACTACAGAGGGCATCGCAATACTTAAAGTACATACAATAAACGAAGATAGTCGGACCGAAAAATCCAGACGCATGTATAAAAAAAAATATCAAAATGAGAGGAAAAGCTAAAAGGGGAAAAAAAAGTAGCAGAGTTTCCTAAACTGTTTCGATACTCGGAGCTAATCTTCGGGGCCGGTGGAAGAGTTCCACATCTTAGGCGCCACACTCGAGAAGGCCCATAATTACACTTATGTAGCGGCTTTTCATCAATGATCTCAAAGCGCTGTACAGAACACAGCAGCAGACACTCGGCATAAAATAATATAAATACATTGAAAACACATTCCTGCGGAGGGAGCTGGTAGGAACGTTGGGTTGCTCGGTCAATGGCCAGAGTCAACAGAGGCGTGGTGTATTCCGCAAATATGCCCGACTGTGAAGGTGGGCACAAGCCGGCGTGAGTAGGTTAAACGTTGAGTTTTATAAGGGCACCACGGGGTGACCAGCCCCTCCCCACCCAACCCAACCTAGCCCCATCCTCCCCACCCTGCCCCTCGATTATTGCGTCCATTGAACCAGTGGGTTCCTACCAGGATAACCATTTACTAAATGAACTAAGTTTAAGTGGAAAGGGAATAATAGGTTTTAAGGCGCATTTGTAAAACGTCCACAGCCTCGAAGTTCCCCCTCTGATATATCGTTCCAGAGCCTGGGGGCGACACGGGAAAAATCTCGGTCACCCATTAATCGAAACCTCGACCCAGGAATTCGGAGAGAACATCTGCATCATGCCCAGATCTTGGGGACCTTGAAAGGACACACAGGTGCAATGATGTTGGTTGGGGCAAGATTGTTCGCTGCTTTGTAAGTGAACAATAGGATTTTTGAACTGTATTGTGAAACTGGAAGCCCAGTGCAGTAAATACCCGTGACTTTGCTAATGTGGGAGGAATTGATGATGGTTGGGGGTGACACGGTTCAGCGGTCGCAGCACGTTTGCAGCTTGCTGTTCGCGGAGGTTGGAGGTTCGATTCCAGCGGCCCACCCTGATCATTGCTGCAAGATGTAATAAGTGGATCCTAAAGATTCTATTGACGACATTCGCAACAGAAGGCGTATTGATGTGGCTGCCGTCAAGGTCCACATTTTAATCCAAATCGTTGCCCTCCCCGGACTGCCAGACGAATGCCCCCGAGTCACTTGCAAACGACCCTATCCTGGTCGAGGTTCTCACCTGGTTGAGCAAAATAAACTTGAACAAGGCTTCATATTCTTAGGGTTTTTTTCGGTAAAGTCACGTAGGTAAAAAATTTAAATTAATAAAAGTAAAATAAAAATCACGACAGCAAGCGTGCTGTGACGGTTCCACCTGAAGACGGAAGCTTGTGTTGCCTCCGAAACGTGATTTTTATTTACTTTTATAAATTTAATTTTTTACCTACGTGACTTTACCGAAAAAAACCCTAAGAATATGAATACTTGCAGTCACGAAAGCTTCAAGGCTGCAACAGAGGCTTCAATTCACGTGCACAAGTGGGGATAATGAAGGCAGTCTTGTCTGATTCGGCATCAAGAACCACTGATCTGGCTGACCATACCCATCGCCAAATAAAAACTCTGATACACGCACTATTGTGTTGTTAAAACAATTGCACTTCTCCAATGACTTTCACAGCCACTCGCGCACTACACTGTCGATCGATAACAGTATTTATTAACGACGGAAAAATGTTCTAAGGCCGAAAAAGTGATGTTTTTTTTAAAGGCATGGGCTTAAGCCCGGAGAGAAAACTGCAAGCAATTTACGTGACGACGTTTTACTGCGACTTCTCTTGAAAGTAGCAGAGGTGTGGACTCGAGTCATGTGACTTGGACTCGAGTCAGACTCGAGTCATGAATTTGATGACTTCAGACTCGACTTGGACTTGCATAACAATGACTTTGTCCCACCTCTGGAAAGTAGGATCCGCTTGCCAGGCTGCACCAAAACGCAGGCGCTTTAAATGGCTATTACAGTTAGTCGTGGTGGCGCAAGAATGAAGGACATTGCCTGAAATGTGCAAAGCCGATGCGCTATGGATATGATAATGCCCATTAAGTTCCCCATTGGGATTTCACAACATGAATACTGCTGGCAACTGCAGCAGTCACGCTGATAATTCACTCCACACTTTATGCACCGGATAAGCAACAAAAAAAGTTCACACACACACACGTGGCATAACGGCAAACTGCACAGGATATATTTACAGTCGATTACAACAAAAAATGTGAGCATTTAAAGCCACGTTGAGAATAGAAGCAACGCATTTAAGTAGAGAGTAAATAAATAATGCGAGTACAGTGTATACAATGGGAACTGAAATTTACCGCACAACTTACAAGATCACTCGGGAAGTAACATTGCAACGTTTTCTAAATGTTACGGTCAATGGTTATGTGGCTGCACAAGATACGTGGAAGGCATGAAGTTAAAGAGAGACCATTGAAAGCCGACGCGACGAACGAAAACTTCTGATAGTTTTATTGTTTTCTTTAAAAAAAAAGGGAAATACACGGCTGAAACAAGCAATCCATGTCTGACACAACAGCGACATAACGCACAATGGAATCACTGTTCCTGCGCTGCCGATACGAATGGGTAGGAAGCACCACGGAACGATTTATCCTGCGAACTGGTAAAAGTCGGAAGCCTCGAGGCTTGCCGAGCTGAGACGTCGCCTCTCTGCCCACCAATAGCATTCCTTCGATGTGCCATGAAAACGAGAACTACAATTTATGAAATCTGCAAACCCCAAGGATTTGCACGGAGAATTGTGTTTTTTTTTATTCCTAAATGTGCATTTGACATCCGCAATACCCAACACCAATGATGGGCTGTCATAATATACGTTAAACAAACAGTCCTGTACCTTACCAAGCCTGTATAGCTTCTTGGCATGAAGGGAAAAACAAATGGAACTCTGCGTTGAACAGAAAATAATAAACAGCGATGGTGTTTATAAACATGCACAAACCTCAGCGCGTCATGATGGTTGGTTGTACCCTCAGTTTTTTTTCCACTGAACCATGTGCTTCAAATTAAATGGGAGCCACTCGCTTGAAAATCGTGAACACTACACACACACAAAAAAACCCCAGGCTGCCACTTTCCATTCTCTTTGCAGGGAGTGCATTGTTTAATAAATGTATCGTCAAAACATTTCCTTTCGAAATTGTCATTCAGTTTAGCTGGCTTGTATGTATATCACAAAAAAACACCGTTGGATGAATGTATCTCCACACCAGATCGTGGGGTTGTTGAACAATACTGCTTTAACACAATCACAAGTGTGGGTTGGTGAACGGGGGGGGGGGGGGGAGAGGGAAGGGACATTTCTGATATCACTGCCACCGATTGTATGTTTGTTGAACTTCTTTTGCACCGCACGTACTCTGATACCACTGCTACCAATTGTTTGCATGCATGTAGAACTTATTTCGCACCATACATAGCCAATTGTGCTAATCGGAAGTGCGGGGGAAGGACAACCAAACTCAAAAATCAGTTCTGAAGCAATGAGTTTTCAATCTGGAGGACTTAAAAGTGTATTGCCTCCAGTGGCTTCCTAATATCGGAAGAACTGTTCCAGACGGCCGCAGAAGCGCCATCCGAAAGCGCGCGATGCGGTGATCGTCTTTGTTCGATGGCCAGCCAAAAGCCAGAGTTTGCGTGATGGTTTACGAAACGAACTCGGGTTGCCGGTTTCATATCAAAGTGCTACGCTAACCACTGCTCCACCCTTGTCCAGCTTGTATGAGGTTTCAAAAATGTGATCCAACTTAAGATGTGTCAAAAATATGTATCCTTTGCTATGCGCTGAGAGGATTTGACACAAGATTCAGGGACTGTCTTCCTCCGGGATGAGTCGCAGCCCTGGGAAACCGCTCTGGCATGTCCGACGTTTAACTTGGCTTCTAAAGACACAATTGTGGATTTATATCCCCTGGTCATTTGTATCGCAATCATTGTTTGATTGTTGCCTTCCACTTTATCTTTAATCTAGTTTTTTTTTTAACTATTCACCCTCAAACGTTTTAATTTCTCGCACAACTTCGAATTGCTCGACTTTATTGTTGGACTTTGTTTTGGTGGTTGTGCCGCGGAAGCTCTCCCCCCCCGGTGCATTTTAGGATTCAAGCTCCCAGCCATGTGCAGGGAAACATCAGAAGCAGATCAGAATAGCGCGCGGCGCAACGCCGCGCTAGAACTGTTGCTAGCCTCGGCTATCTCTTGGGCTCTCCACCTCGAGTCGGGACGGGGGTTCAGCCAACACCGCCCGACCGAGGAGAGCAGCACCCCGGCTCAGAGGTCGCAACCCGATACCCGGCCAGGTACGGGTACAGGTACCCGTTTGCGACCCTGGTGCGGCCGGGTACGGGTAAGGAATCAAAACCCGTTTGCGACCTCTGCCCCGGCTCTTGCTGCAGTTGTCCCACCTGATGACGTTTGCTTGTGTTGCGATCGAAACGTCGATCTATTATTTGTCTCCCGACGTGACTTCACCAAAAGAACAAAAGAGTAGAATTTTATAGAACATTTGACAAAACTAAATTTCGATTTAAAGCTTTCGTGACTGCAGGGATTCATCTTCTTGGTTCTTTCGGTTTTTTTACCGAAAGAACCAACATTTGACAAAACGTTAATCGGCGCTCGTAGGCAAATACCAGGACAGCCGGGTACAAGCGAGGTGGCCATTACATCCATTTTCGTTATCGGTGGTCTTGGTCCTCCTGTTATTGTGCCCCTGATTAATGTCAACACGCCGTCCGATTTGATATGTGGCACAAAATGTGCCCACGTCTCAATCCTTAACCGTGGAGGAAAAAAAAGACCATTTTGGCGACCCCTGGTGAGAGGCAGCACACGCAATCCCCTGCATTGCAGCTACGCAAAGTACATAGAACATAACTCTTGACTTAAAGCTTTCGTGACTGCAGGAATTCATATTCTTGGGTCTTTCGGTAAAGTCACGTAGATAGGTTAAAAGATAATAACAAAAAACTACGACGTTTAGATCGCAACACAAGCAATCGTCATCAGGAGAAAAAAATTGCGGGAAAGCTGCTGAGGCAGGATGTTTAAAAGGTTTAAAATGGGTTGTTGCCCATAGGTCATAGGTTAAGTGGGCGGGGCTAGTGATGTTAAATTTGCATAAATTGTGAGATATTTGCATGTCAATGTAAGGTCGCAGAGGCACCGACACATCAGGGAAAACGAGCAGCGGTGGCTGTGTTAGTGAGACATTTAACCTGATAATGTAAAACCAGAGTGGAAAATAACTACTACAATCGGAAGGTAGGATGGAAACATCACAGCCAGTTATACTGATAGGAACCTCCTGGTTACACCAGCCCACAGGGGATTATTGTGTCCGTCCGTCGTGCATCCAAAAATGGGAGGGGTGGAGAGGGTGGGGAGGGTGGGGATGGGTGGTTGGTGGGGCTGGGTGGGGTGGGGCTGGTCACCCCGTGGTGCCCTTATAAAACTCAACATTTAACCTACTCACGCCGGCTTGTGCCCGCCCTCACAGTCGGCCATATTTGCGGAATACACCACGCCGCCGTTGACCCTGGCCATTGACCGAGCAACCCAACGTTCCTACCAGCTCCCTCCGCAGCAGGAATGTGTCGACTTAAACTTACATAAAACATGCCCCCTCTGTTCACACTGCCGCATGGGAGCCGGCACGAGAGATGCATTCTTCGAAGCAAATAAATGCCCCCCCCCCCTCCCGTGTAGCGTAAATCTCTGATGCTTTGTGAATCGGTTAACCCTTTCTTGCTTTATTTACAGACGTTGACAGAACAAAACAAATAATACATGAAGATAGATAGGATTACAACGTTTTTATGAACATCCCATTCCGCTTACACGTGTTTGAGAAACAAGCGTACGGCGACGATGTTATGCAGTGTGTACAACAACCAAAGCGGCGGCGTAAAATAAAAGCCTCTCGAGACAAATACTTAAAAAATTCCCACGCCAAAATCAATTGCGGAAAAAAAACTCACGAAATAAAAGCCACGGCATAGCTAGACACAGCATCGTTTATCTGGTTCCACCACAAAACATTTAAAAAATTAAAAGGACTGGAACGGCAAAGACGGTGGTATATGCGCGTGACGGTAGTCTTGATTGTGGACACACGAGACGAAGCGGGTATGGTAAATTGCGACGATCACCGGTCCTGGATTACCAACCGAGTTGCCGTCTTGGGAAATCTGAAAGTAAATTACGTAAGTAACACACCGCTCAAGATATTTTACATGTCGTTCTCCCCCTTTGCGTCAGCATTGCCAAGATATTCTCCTCATTCTCTCTCTGTGCCTTAGAGGCGATCATAGGCAGCAGCTCGGGCTTTTGTGCCAACATAGCCCACCACCCTGTCATATTAATGTCAAAGTTGTGAACAGAGAGGAGCAAACGTAACGGGACTGGCCTCGGGGCTGTTAGCGAGTAGCACCTACGAAGGCTAGCACGGCACACGAGAGGGTGGGTGACCAACACCACGCCCGGCCGCCTTTCTTTCCCCAGTGGCGATGTTTACACACCGCTGCACCAGGTACTCATTTGAGGCTGAGCCGACCTAGAGGAGGCCCAGGACCAGTTCAGGTAAGCGTCACCGGTGTTGGCCGTGAGCAGGAATCAAGCCCGGGCCGCTGGGTTCGTAGCGCAGCGCGCAAAACGCTCCACCACCGCTCACACACAGACCCACGCAATGAATAACTTACAGACTTTTGTCAATCTACTGCTGAGTGGGGGAGCCCCCACACCATGAACCACACGCACCCAGCGACCGGAATAATAAAAAAGATACTACTACCGCATTACGCATGTGGTATGATTTCATTGGTCGAGGAACAGCCAAGTAAGTTCGTCGAGTTGTCTGACAAGGGAGGGGTCGCCCCGATGGGCGCCGCGAGGATGGCCGTTACAATCTCGCTCGCTCACTCGGCTGCTGTTACGGACATTTAAGACGGCGCGGTTCAGCCGAGTACAATTGATTTCGACGAGAAATGTCCCCGCTGTGGTAACGAGGGAGGGAAAAGTGGCGACATCCACATTGTATTGCGCGCAGCCAACCACTTAAATATAAAAAAAAATCACAAGGGCTGAACACCGGCTCAGGGCTAAAACTTGAATGAGGCCTTAATTAAAATGGGGGGGGGGGGGGGGGTGGAGCATCTGTACTTGGAGCCTGCTAAGTCTAACAATGGACATTGAGCGCCGTTAGGGTTTTCTTAGCCACTCGTAATTCGCGCATGGCCTTACGGGTTCAGGCCACGTGTCGAACCGTTTTTATTTTTCCACCTCTCAAGCTTTTGCCAACGCAATCATGAAGATGCCGCAGTAGCGCGTCGCAAAAGCTCGAGAGAACAAAATCCTCCACGCACGTGCCGACCGGGGGGGTATGGTGTGGGGGGAGTACCACACACGGCTGCCGAGGCCTCTGGCTCCCGTCTCAAGCGCGTGTGGCTCTATCATATCAACGCCTCGCCGTACACTCCGTGGCGAGAACAATTCCCACCGTGCGAGTGAAATTTGAAACAGCTTGCAAACTGCAGTGGTGGTGGTGGTGGGCCACTGCTAACGGCAGGGTCGTCTCCACTAGAGGGCGATCCAAGCGGGTATTAGTCTGCCAGTTGCTGTGTGGGATTCCCTCATTTAATTTGTGACAATTCATTCAATTGAGATACACCATACTGATATGTCACCATTTTTCAGAGTTAGCACAGAGACAGATGCTGGGATTTCAACATTGTGAGCAACAATGTATTAAGTTAAAATGACACGAGCAAAACCAAATGCCCTCCACAAAAAGAACTTGGCAATTGACCCCTTCTGGACTTTAATGAATTGACCGAAATAGTTGATTTTGTTAATATATATAAATGCCGTCTTCAGATTAATAACGCCCAATTCTACACTTGGAGCTGTACCCGTCGAGACTCCATTTTCCAACCACTGGGACAGAACAGAACTGCAGATCTAAATAAAAAATTACGCAATTTATTTAAAAAAACATGAAAGTCACAATACTTTCGGGTGTGTGAGAAGAGTGCCGAGTTTGGATTTGGTCAATTCGATTTTCAAGGCATGATTATTACGCAAATGCTCTATGAACACAAGGGGACATGGAATGGGTAACAAACACAGCTGTGCCCCCCCCCCCCCCCACGCTGTTCTCCTGGTCACTTTCGCAGCCGCCGAGTGATGTTTGTAAAACTTCACCCACGCGATTGACGGGATAAAAAATTATACGTCACTATTAAATCGTGTAAAACACCCGTGGCACTGCTAAGACTTAGAAATGCGCCGATGCAAAAAAAGAAACGTTTGCATGGGCGCATTGTAACGTTGATGCGTTAAGGTTCTGGAATTAATAAACATTCAACAAAATCAACAGCATATCAATGTATTGTCAAGTCCAGCAATGCACAATCAAATGAACACAGGTCCTAGAATGCCACGTGGAGCCATTCGCAGCTCAACCATTTTCACACGTTTTTAATCGCAACAACAATAAACTGGGCCAACAGGCAGACTTCTAAAAACAAATAGACGTGTCCGTGCAAAAGTTTTTGCAACCAACTCTGCGTGCGACAAGAGACGGCATCAAACCGGCCTGTCTCGCCGCCACGGAGCGCGCCGCGTCAATGCACGCGGCGCGACGCAAAATCCCACCTCCCGTAGCCGCCTTGGCAATTCCTTAGCTCTGAATAGTTACGGGCAACGCTGCGCGCGGAAAATCTTGCGTTAAAAAAAATTGGAAAGAAACACCGTACAACTGCGTCAGATTGCGTTCAATGACTATCTTGGCGGTGCTCACAGGCGATGTTACGCAAGTTACACCGGAATGCAGATATATTGTGCTTCGTTACGGATTCGTTTTTTTTACTTTACATGGAGGTGTCGGCACAGTGAATTGTCTCTTCCGAGTTGGCCACAGGCCGCAAGCAGGCACCTCCCTACGGTGCCCCCGGGCACAACTCGGGATTCGTCAAGGCCGTGACTTGGCTGCAGATGCTGTTGACATAATCCTGCGGGAACAAAAAAGAGAGATAAAGACGAACATCCTCATTTAAGCTGGTAGTCGTATTTGTTTCGAGTGCCGCCTATTAGCAGGTTCCGACTGGCAAGAGGGGAAATTGGGGGTGTGTTCAGAACCACACTTTTGTCTTCATACATCGAGGGCAAAAATAAAAGTGAGCTCCCTCCACCCGACTTGCAAGGTTCAGGAATTTTAAACATTTGCCAATCCCTTTGATAGCCTTGCTCACTTACATTCCTTGAGGGCTTCGCTAATCCTATTGAAATGAGAATTTGAGCACAGGAATGCACCGCAAAGTGCATTATTCTAATTAATCCTATTGGAAATCAACTTGATTGACCGCTTACTTCTAGAATCTTTCAGTGGTGGCACCAGACTAATGTTTATCTGGAACAGATACAATGGGAGGCTGATCAATGTCCGGGTGCGGTCAAGGGGTGGCTTTCTATTGTCAACCACGTTGTGTATACTGATGATCTGGTAATTGCTGCTCACTGTGTGAAGGAGTGAAAGACTCTACCGCTGAACCTGGCACATGACATTAATAGGGGGGGGGGGGGAGGAGCACAGGTGGTGCGCATCTGCCCAGTCAACTCAGTCGACACAACTCCTAGGTCTGTCCCATAACAGACCCAGGTGTGTCACGGGATAGACACGTGGTCTTAAGTGTGTTGAGCCCAGAGATCGCAAACGGGCTTTGATTCCTTACCCGTACCTGTACCCGGCCGCACCAGGGTCGCAAACGCGTACCCGTACGCTACCCGTACCCGTACCCTACCCGAAATGAGTGACAAACGGTTACTCACCGGTGACTCACGGCCTACCCGTACCCATACCCGGCCGCACCAGGGTCGCAAATGGGTACCCGTACCCGGCCGGGGACGGGTAGCCGGGTATCGGGTACCCGGTTGCGACCTCTGATTGAGCCTGGCATGAGCCCTATGGGGACGAGTCACTGCCACTAGTGGCGAAATGTTGTCGCTATTGCAGCGGTGCGCAAGGACATATTAAAAAAAAAAACTCAACACGGCCATCAATAACATTAGGAAAAAAGGTAAATATACATCAAATGTGTGACACTTCAGGCAGTGGTCATTCTTCAGAGCAGATACATTCTTCAATTTAGCTCGGCGAGTGTGTGGCTCATGGTTACCCTCAGTTGCGTCATTGTGTGCAGAAAGTTGCTGTCCACATTCACGTTCAGTTCATCCAGCGGGGTGTCCAAAGGACATGACAGGACCTGCTCCAAGGAAAACACACATTCGTCTCAAGGACTCACATCGTCGCGACTCGGGGGTCAAGCCATTCAAGAGTTAATTTGTTGTTTTACCGCCCCACTTGTATATTCAGTTTTTTTTTACACTGCATCGTTTCTAAGGTTTTCGTTTACAAGTATTGGAAGATGAGGCAAAGCTCACTGGAGCTGCGTAGCTCTTTTTCAAGAGCGCCCTGGCTAGCACAAACTAAAGGTCAACGAAGTGGCGTACAATGTGGACATTTATAGCAAGAGCTAAATACTCTAAATGCACGTTCTTAATGTGGAGGGGAAAACCCGGAGGACCCGGAGAAAAATCCACGCGACCACGGGGACAACGTGCAAACTCCAAACAAACAACAGGCGTCAAGGTTGGGATCGAACCCGTGACCTCATGCATACCAGGCGAGGTATTAACATCTCGCCACCGTGCAAGAGGAAGGAGGTCTGAAAAAGGGTGAAGGTTTCTAGAAAAACCACCCACCTGACCGTCGGCCAAGGGCAGGTTGATGCTGGGCTGTTGGTTGAAAGGCTCTCCATTCTGTGAGATTTGCACGCCCGATGTCCACGCCATGCTGTGGGCGGGAAAAAAAAAACAGGTTCACGAGCTGCTCATCCATGGTTCAAGCTCCATTCATAGTCATCATCGCCATCGCTAGAATCGGTCTCACTATCATCAGTATTAGAATCATCGTTTCGTGGCCAAAGCTAATTTTCTGATTTTGTCAAGGAGCATAAACCATCAAGCAAACTCCAGTCATCCACACAACGGCTTTCGGCAAACCATCGAACAAAGATGGTCACAGCATCGCGTGCTTTAAGATGCGTTTCTGTGGCCGTCTGGAATGCTCTTCCTTCCGATATTAGGAAGCCACTGGAGGAAATGCACTTTTAAGTTATCTAGATTGAAAATAATTTCTTCATAACTGCTTAATGTGTTTAGTTTGTTGTCCTTCGCCTGTACCTACGATTAGCATCATCATCATCAACACCACCACCAAAAACAAAACATCCTCATCAGCATCACCGCAATCATAACATTGCAACAAAACTAATGAAATCTAGACCTTGAGCGTGCACACTCAAGGCGTTCAATTGGCCGTACCTGGAGCTGAACCGGTACTTCTTCATGGAAGTGGTCAGGCCGGTTGAGTTGGGCACAAGGAACCTCTCTTTGCCCGAGACCGGTGTCACCTGAGCCTTCAAGAGCCTACGGAGGTGATGGAAGATAAAAACACAAGCACAACACTCGGCTCTCCACGTCCAAACAATTGACAGTCGTAGACAAAGGGGAATTGAGGGCAGACCTTCACCTACGCGCAGCAGTGGTGAGATGTTAACTACCTCACCTGGTATGCAGGAGGTGGTGGGTTCGATCCCTGACCCTGATGCCTGTATATTTGGACTTTGCATGTTCTCCCCATGATCGTGTAGATTTTCTCTGGGTTATCCAAGTTTTTCCCTTCAAACTTTTAATCAACATGCATTTAGAGTATTTGGCAGCTGCTGCTATAAATATCCACATGATAAGCCACTCTCTTGAGCTATTATTTGCGGCCCGGTTGCTTCTGAAAAAGAGCTATGAAGCACAGTACAGCCTTACCTGTTTTAATTAAAATAGTTTCGTTTTTAGTTTGCAACACTAATGGGGGTTCAAAAACACACACAACCCAAGAAACAAACAGCTCTCAATTTGTAGATAGTTACACCGAGGCTGTGTTGTGTTTCCCAGCGTCTCCGACACGCATTTAAACACTTCACTAACACCGCAACCAGGTCACGGCGAAGTCACTCCTGTAGGTTTCACTGTCGACGCAGCGATGTCACCCTCACTGGAGAACTATGGGGGGGGGGGGGGGGCGGAGGGTGGCACATGTGAGTTTTGGAGTCTTTAAAAACACATCTAGCAACCTGGGGACATACAGCCTAGGTCAGTGTTCTTCATTGCAAGTCCTGCGGGCCACTGGTGCCCCTGATGGCCTTCAGTGCGGCCCCTGATATGCGGCCACTGACAATACATAAATGTGAAAACACCCCCCCCCCCATCATCATCGTCCTGCCTTCAAACCCAACATTGGTTTCAAATGTGGGGGCCGTCACACTGATGATGTCTTGTCGGTGAAAGTACCCCCCCCTTCTGAAAATTTGTGAATAACAGCAGGATAGGTACACGTCTACAATGAGGGCTTTGCGATTCCCGGCTAGCGCCTTTCCTTAAATTGGCACGCATGGTTCAAGGACTACTCCGCATGTGTGGGGAGCGGTAGTGTGACGGTTAGCTGCCCTGTGGCACGAACATGGCCACCCGAGTTCGATTCCCGCTCACGGCCAACACCAGTGACGATTATATGAACAGGTGCTGGGCTAGGTCGACTCGGCCTCAAATGAGTATGTGTAACCATCGCTACTTAGGGAGACAAAGGCAGCCGAGGGGCGGTGGTGGCCACCCACCCCCTCGTGTGCCGTACTGCCGTTAAAAAGGTACTCGCTAACAGCACTTGCCCCAACAGTCTGCTAAGGCTATACGGGCGGGGAGGGGGTCTCTGTCTTTGCGCGCCACACGTGAAACCAATGAGATTGCTTGTAAATCGATGAACTGGGCTGCCCGAACCTTTCCGAAGCCCTCTTCTTGATCGACTGGGACGTTAATCGAGTCTTCATTTCCGTCATGTTCGTAGCCTGAAAAACGAGAGATACGACGCATGCATGAGACGCAGGACCGAGCACTATTTGGTGCTATTGGACAAAAAGAGATTAAAGATTCCCCCATACAGTATTTCTAGATTTGAAGCTTTCGTGACTGCAAGGATTCATACTCTTAGTTTTTTCGGTAAAGTCACATAGGTAAAAAATTGATATTAAAATTAATAAAAATAAATAATAAATCACGACGTTTCGGAGGCAACACAAGTCTCCGTCATCAGGTAGGACCGTCACAGCCAGATTTGCTGTATCACTTAATACGTCGTGATTTATTATTTTAGTTTTATTAATTTGAATTAAACAATTTTACCTACGTGACTTTACCGAAAAAACTAAGAGTATATATTCCCCCATATATCCTTTAACACCCATAATAAAGGTGGGTTTTTTTGTTTCGTTACATAGCGAGCACCCATGAAGGCGAGCGACTTTGAAATCCGGTGCGGCACACGACAGGGTGGGTGGCCAACTCCGCGCCTGGCCACCTTTCGTCCACCCAGCGCACACCAAATGCACGCCACTGTTATTGGTCTTGAGCGGGAACGCACGCGGGTCGTTGGGTTGGTAGCGCAGTGCGCTAACCACTACACTACCGCACCTCCCCCCATGTTGTCCCACGCGCACACACACACGAACCATCACATCCACCGATACCCGCACACCTATCAGTTTGTAAACAACAACAACAAAAATCAGCCACGTGTGTGTAGAGCTTCAGGCAAGTGTCACATATGGAGCCGGTTTGTCTCATAGCTGGAGATGAATGGAGGGCTAAACATTCACGGTGAATGGACTCTCGTGTGTGTGACAAGTCTGAGCTTGTTTTGCAGGCGACTGCGCAGCACTGCAGATACGTGGGGATGACTGCACTGCACACAGATCAACTAATAGCAAAATAGGGGACAGAACAGTGGTGAATGACGATACCATAGATTTAAAGCTTTCGTGACTGCAAGAATTCATACTCTTTGGTTTTTTCGTAAAGTCACGTAGGCAAAAAATAAATAATAAAAAATAATAGCAAAAATAATACAAATAAAATAAATATTTTAATTCCTATTCTTTTTATAAAATATTTATTTTATTTCTATTATTTTTCTATTATTTACTATTAATTTTATTTATTTTTCCCCTACGTGACTTTACCGAAAAAACCTAAGAGTATGAGGATACCATGTTCACTGGATCACAAGGAGCTCGGGAAAGCAAGACGCATCACAAACTCGGGTAATTTTTGAGAAAAAAAATGACGAAAATTAGACATTCCTGGAAACGGAGAAACAAAGATGTAAGATATACAGTAAAACCTTGGATTGCGAGTAACTTAGTCTGCGAGTGTTTTGCAAGAAGAGCAAATTTTTTAAATAATTATTAATTTGATAAACGAGCGAGGTCTTGCAATACGAGTAGTACGTGTATACGCTTTGTCTGCCGAGCGTCACGTGATCACAACTGATATACGAGTGCTTTGGATGACAAACGCGTTTCCGGAACGAATTATGCTCGCAATCCAAGGTTTTACTGTATACACATAGAGTAGTGAAATTGAGAAAAAAAAGTGTGTTTGAAATCTGGAGAATTTAGTAATGGTGGAAATGGCTTTGTGGTGACGATGAATGTATCCGGTGCCAATAATGTTAATCGAATTTATTCGTGCTTAACACTGCAAGTGGGCCTGCGATGGCACATGCCGCATTCTAAAGCGCAGCGATAAATAGTGCTTTAAATTGGTGGGGGGGGGGGGGGGGGAGGGAAACAGTGCATCTTATTCATCCCGATAATACGATAATACAAACGGTAAATTGGAAAAAACCTTCATTATGCATTACATGTGCCTCACCTTTTTGGCTGGTCTCCTCTTCACAGTTAAAATTAATTTGGAGCCTTGGCCACCGCCGGCCTTGGTGGAAGGCAGCAACTCCGCTGCAAACGATGAAAACAAAGGAGACATTGGGACAACGCCCGACGGGCACACATCACCTTCTACCAAATCGGCCAGAATGCTCCTGATCTTTCTAGCACTCGGGAGCGAAGCGGGATTAAAAGCCTGAACAGCAACTTAAGATGCGTGAACCACCCATCTGCAACAGGCGATCACAGCAGTGCCGCAGCAGCCAAAGTCAACGTCGTGCCGTACTTCTATACTGCCCAATATCACCAATCTGCACTGACCAGTGTGGTAAAGTATGGTTAAATAACCGGCCACGGACCATCAAGGAATGGGTAGGCCCTCGCACAGCAGTGGATTGACAAAGGGCTGGAGATATGAAGGACTGTTCAAGGAAACACGTGATTAAACACAATCCATAATTGCAATACGTCACCAAGTTTTCGGGTTGTTTACTTGTTCACTAACGTGTAAACAAGTGAGCCGTTCTCATTTGCATTATTATTGCATCTCGTCACAGTATGATAGACTAACATCGACTGTCAGGAACAACATATGTTAATTTTGTCCAACTCAAATAAATGAATGCAAAGTTAACTTAACCATCTTAAGCACTCGTGTAAAAGAACATTTGCAAGATAAAAGCAAAGGATTGCAAACTAAAGAAACGAGGAACTATTCTGCCGCGTTGTTAATTCAATGACAATTCTCAAAGACTTCATTAGAGGGTTAAATATGTCACAGTTTAACTTCGTGATGTGCTGAAGGTAAGTGAAAGAACATTGCCTTTTGACGCTTTAGTGTTGACGACCCAAGATTGCTCAGGACATCCGTTTACCGTCTCGCCCGATTTATCAATCCCATCGTCAGATACCGTATCTTCTTTCTTCTGGTCATGCGACAGGCAAAAAAGAAAGTAAATGCTAGGTGCCCCTTCGCAAATTTAAGTCCACGTTTACAATGCGCAAATTGATCGTTACTCGACTTTCGGAGGATTTCAACGTGGCATTAAATCCTGACGCACGGTATCGTTACTGAGGGAAGCAAACGATGCCATTCAAGTGCAAAATTATAAAATAGCAAATTGGTACAAAAAGTAATTGTGAATGCAACTAAATAAATGCAAAAGTAAACACTTACCATTGCAGCTTTGCCATATTTGGATGCAAAAGACGAACAGAACACAGAGAGAAAAAAAGCATTGTCCTTAAGTATGCAAGAAGGTTCATTGTAAGTAAATCTCATGGAAAATAGTTACGCATGATAAACTCGAGTGTGCTATTTTGTTCAAAGCTGCCCACTTCCGTAATCTAACTGAACGTGTCCCACAACTTCACTTTATACACAAGCTGCTTTTGACTGCCCATCGAACAAAGGCGGTCACAGCTTTGTGTAATTTCAGATGCGCTTCTGCGGACATCTGGAACACTCTCCCTTCTGATATTAGGAAGCTACTGAAGCTATACACTTGTAATTCATCTAGACTGAAAACTCATTTCTCTACAACTGCTTTTTGTGTTTAGTTTGTTGTCCTTCCACACCTCTGATTAACACGGTTGGCTACGTACGGTGCGAAATAAGTTCAACATACATACATACATAATATAGCCCACAATAACATCAAGCACTTTGGAACGGGTCGCAAATTAAGCAGGTACTCGAGGAAAAATTTTTGACATGGAAACAGTTGACATTTTTCTCGCTTCCTGGCCAAATATTTATAAAACAACACAAGTAAACATTCACAACAATAATTACAGTACAAAAAAAACTTCCATTAATCATTGACTTAGTGCTCTGCAAAACGTTTTCCAGAATAGTTGATGGCAATGCGATTTATACGACGTCATCATTTTCTGACAGGTGCGTTACATATACATTGTATATAGACTGCACAGTTACATAGACTCAAGGAAAGCTCATGTTTAGAGAACCGTAGTTGAAAAACTTTCCATCAGTCTTTATTTATACCTGAAGTGCACCAAAGCACACATTCAAGAGAAACTTGATAATGTGAACTGTAATATCATATGGTATCGTGGAAAATGACACAATGGGAATCGTTCAACAGCTGTACCCCATGATAGGCACTGCGAATACCTTTAAACTTGAGATAATTTGTGTTCAACAAGGAGCCCGGAGCCTTCATGAGGAGATTGATGTGTGCCTTGTCCACTTGAACGAGGTAGGAATTCAAAACGTTGGTTATCATGGCAAGATGCTCCTCAACTGCAACACAAAAGGACACACAGCACCTCCCCTGGCATTGGTCAACGTGTTCAACAGAGGCATATCAAAACACCAGATTCCAAACGGCAAACCACCAGCGACTTCCTGTCACATGGCCTCTGGCCGCGGCAGGCCGCCTGCAGCGCAATGGACAGCGATGGAGCTTTTACACCATTAGAACCTCATTTGCCAGTAAAAAATATGATAATTGGTTTTTTACCCTTTTATCTGGCAACAAAACTGACACCTTTTTTTTTACAAGGAGTCATGTTTGCATAGACCACAATACCTGCAGTCATAATGCCTTTTGGCATCATCTGGTCTAACACCATGTGAGACTAGGCTCTAAGGAAAGCTGTCTCTCTCGGGTGTGGACCAATCAACTTCAAGGACAGTGCATACATTATCAGAGTTATATTTTTTGTTTGCATTATGACTGCAGGTATTGTGGTCTATGCAAACATGACTCCTTGTAAAAAAAAAGGTGTCAGTTATGTTGCCAGATAAAAGGGTAAAAAACCAATTATCAGCAATGGAGCTGTCGCGCACTTAAAAACTACCACAAATTATAGCTCAACGAAGTAGTTTATCATAGTGTGGAAATGTATAGCAGCCAAATACTCTGAACGAGTGTTTCTAAATGCGGAGGGGAAAACCGGAGGACCCGGAGAAAAATCCACACCACCACAGGGAAAACATGCAAACTCCAAATGTCAGGTTCGAGATCGAACTGACGACCTCCTGTATACCTGGCGAGGTAGTTAACATCTCACGGCATCCCTTGCAGAGACGCGTGGTTCGAGCAGTACAACTGCCATGGTTAATACTGCGGACGTATCAATATCGTAAATACACGCCGTCTGCTTAAAAGTCGACGTTAAAGATCCCCCCCGTGATGTTATTAAAATAACTGTGAGCAGAGGTGTACTAGGCATCATGGTCAACATTAAAAAAATACTTAACATTTTTTAAACTAATTTGGTAAAACTACACAGCAACACCACCCTCTACTGTGAAACACAGGGTCTTCTCGACAGCCTTGCTCAATAAGAATTACGCAAATATAAAGTGTACTCATGATCTATGTTATCTGTCACTGAAAGCATCACAGCTGTGCTAATGGGCACAAAGAGGGAAATATTGTTTAACGTGGCATGACTGTTTTAACATGCTCGGTCACTTCTCTACCGCAAAGGCCTCTTGCAGTGACAGAAGAGATGAGTTGTTGCGTGTGCCCCCCGCCCCCCCAAAATAATCTGACAATCCTTTTCAGCCATCAGGAAAGAAAAAGGCCCCCCCCCCGCCCCCCACAATCCCATCCTATAAAAAAAGCAGAAGTCCCGTCATACCTGCCAGGCCAAAGTCGGCAATGAAGCCCGCCAGTTTCTCCTGCTTCATCTTGTTATGTTCCCTGGTCACATCATTGCTTATGGACAGGCCCGATTTCTGTGCCCGTGTCGATTTCTTGGCCGCTCGCCGTTTGGGCCCCATGTCCACGCCGTCTGGTCTGCCCTCGTCTCCGGCGCTACTCTAACTCTGTTAAGGAGGGGGGGGGGGGGAAACGAACAAAACTTGAGACACATCACAGAAAAATCACTCATCATACAAACATCACTCATCACAGAAACAACACACATCATAGAAACAACACTCATCACAGAAACATCACACATCACAGAAACATCACTCATCATAGAAACATCACACATCACAGAAACATCACTCATCATAGAAACATTACTCATCACAGAGACAACACACATCACAGAAAAATCACTCATCATACAAACATCACTCATCACACAAACATCACTCATCACAGAAACAACACACATCATAGAAACAACACTCATCACAGAAACATCACACATCACAGAAACATCACTCATCATAGAAACATCACACATCACAGAAACATCACTCATCATAGAAACATTACTCATCACAGAGACAACACACATCACAGAAAAATCACTCATCATATAAACATCACTCATCATACAAACATCACTCATCACAGAAACATCACTCATCACAGAAACAACACACATCACAGAAACATCACTCATCACAGAAACATCACTCATCACAGAAACAACACTCATCACAGAAACATCACTCATCATACAAACATTACTCATCACAGAAACAACACTCATCACAGAAACAACACACATCACAGAAACATCACTCATCACAGAAACATCACTCATCACAGAAACATCACTCATCACAGAAACAACACACATCACAGAAACATCACTCATCACAGAAACATCACAAATCACAGAAACATCACTTATCATACAAACATTACTCATCACAGAAACATCACTCATCACAGAAACATCACTCATCACACAAACATCACTCATCACAGAAACAACACACATCATAGAAACATCACTCATCACAGAAACAACACTCATCACAGAAACAACACTCATCACAGAAACATCACACATCACCCACCATAGAAACATCACTCATCATAGAAACATCACTCATCACAGAAACATCACCCACCATAGAAACATCACAGAAACATCACTCATCATACAAACATCACTCATCATACAAACATCACGCATCACAGAAACAACACTCATCACAGAAACATCACTCATCACAGAAATATCACTCATCATAAAAACATCACGCATCACAGAAACATCATACAAACATCACTCATCACAGAAACAACACTCATCACAGAAACATAACACATCACAGAAACAACACTCATCACAGAAACATAACACATCACAGAAACATCACTCATCATACAAACATCACTCATCATACAAACATCACTCATCATAGAAACAACACTCATCACAGAAACATCACATCATAGAAACATCACTCATCATAGAAACATCACACATCACAGAAACATCACACATCATAGAAACATCACACAAACTCGCCAGTTTCTGAGCCGCGCGAAATGTATACATTTAACTTCTTTCGCACCATCCCGTAGCCAACAGCGCTAATCGGAGGAAAACAAGCTAATCACAACAACAAACTAAACACAACAACAGGCAGCTCTAAAAAAAAAAAAGAGATTCCAAAACAACAAGAGTTAAAATTTAACATAACATCGTCGTGATTTATTTAATCTTATACCTACGTGACTTTACCGAAAGAACTAAAAAGTATGGACATAACATTTAAACAACCAAAAAGCACGCGCGACAACCGGCGGGCAGTATTACCTCACATCCTATCCTATAATGTATACAATTATATAGTTATTCCATAGCCACCATCTCACACCACAACACTGCAATCATCGGTCATGCTCAATCAACTGCTATCGACCGTACAAGAAAACCGTCTGCAACTCATTAACGAGGCATAGCAAAACTACGACACGAACGCCTCTCTTATCTTACACAATATTTACACAACGCCTCAATGTAAGGTGCCTGACAACATATCGCATACTTATAGATACGTGTCTATAATGTCTTAAGCGCACACGCTTAGCGATCTTACTTTAGCCCTTAGGCCTAGGCCACTGAGGGCCTCGGATAGCGCCGCTAACGTTGCAACAATTCTAACTCTCTGACAGTGGCCCGCCTAACCCCCAACCCCCCCCCTACCCCCTTTCACGAGCGTAACGTTGTGTACATAAATAAACTAAGCTGTTAAAAATAATGTCTAAGCTCACTTTTGACAACTCGTAAACGAAATATTCACCGGGTCTGGAGGAATCACGAAAATTGCCGCGCGCGGAAACCCGTCCGTTAACCGCCATTGACTTTGAACGGACCAATCAGAGTAGAGCCGGACCCCTGCCGGGAGCGACGTCATCACGCACAATTATCGCCGTGCGTGATGACGTCACACCCGTGCGTGACCAACTTAAGGGTGGTTCTGCACACATCAACGCCGTGCGTGATGGCGTCATACCCTGCGTGACAGACGTAAGGATTGGTTGTCTTTGCCAATGACGTCAGCGCGTCTCCCAACGCTGACGCAGGGACGTCACCACGTTACGCTACGAACGACAGGTGACGCGATGACGTCACCGCGTTAAGTTACCTCCTTGTGACGTAGGTACGCAACTAGCTTCGCGTCTCCACACGTTCAAACGCTGCCCTTAAAAGATAAAGATATATTATACATAATATTCGCAAATAAACAACGCTTCCACAGAGAGAGTGTTCATAATAAGGGTTGGAGAGAACACTTAACACCATTGGGCCTATATATATTCTTTGTTCTTTCGGTAAAGTCACGTAGAAGGGAAATAAAATAATAAAAATATAAAACAAAAAATTTTCTTGCTGTGGATTTCACACCTGATGACGATTGCTTGTGTTGCAGTCGAAACGTCGTGAGAATTTTATTGTTTAATGTTTATTATTTTATTATTTCCCTTCTACGTGACTTTACCGAAAGAACCAAGAATATAAATCCTTGCAGTCACGAAAGCTTTAAACCATTGGGCCTGATGAGAAACACGTTTAACTAAATGTATTTTTGAAGGCTGTCTAGTTACTTAACTTTTCGTTAAGTGCAATCCTTCATTTGTGGCCGAGTCGACCTACTGCCAAGGCAGGACCTGCAGCTTTATAGTCGAAATTCCAAACGATTTCGCGAAAATACCCCTAAAATAAACGGCAAATAATGCAACCGTCGTCTTGGTTCTTTCGGTAAAGTCAGGTAGAAGGGAAATAATAAAAATAAAACAATAAAATAATTCTCACGACGTTTCGGCCACAACGCAAGCAGCCGTCCTCAGGTGAAGAACAGGTCTGTCGAGAAAACGTCGTGAGAATTATTTTATTATGTTTTATTTTTATTATTTTATTATTTCCCTTCTACGTGACTTTACCGAAAGAACCAAGAAGATGGATCCCTGCAGTCACGAAAGCTTTAAATCGAAATTTAATTCAATCGTCCTTATATGGATAAAACCGCAAACATTGCTATGTGGAATTTACAACCCTGGCACAAGAGTTGTCAGCTGTAAGGGAGCGCCACACCACGGTCATTTTGCGAATGTGCGCCGTGGGAGCGAGATGTCATCTCCCTCCCCTGATATGCAGGAGGTCGCAGCTTCGATCCCGACCATTATCGTGTCACATTATGACGCGGGGCTACGGTGGCGAGATATTAACTACCTCGCCTGGTGTATAGGATGTCCTGGGTTCAATCCCGACCCTAACGCCTGCTGTATATTTGTTTTTTTTTATCCTTAATATTAAGTTCACTTGCTTGCTTGCTTGCGCGCTTACGACCGTGCAAATCTTTCGGTTGTTTTTTAACCCACTTCCCGTGATCCAATCGAGCTGACATTTTACACACAGACTCGTTGTGCGTGACAATTTATTTTCGTGAAAACATTTTTCCCAAATTTTACACTTTTTAGGAAAAAATAAATTATATTTAATTACCAATTGCTTAATGGTGGCAGGCAATCATCTGACCCATAGGTGGCAGCCATCTCAAGCCAGAGGACGAGAGGACTCTAGCCGCCACACATATAAAGGATTTATAGTGAAAAACTTTGTTTTTACGGGTTACATTTTTACGTGTCTCTCTCCGTGGTCGCGGGGATTTTTCTCCGGGTCCTCTGGTTTTTCCTTCTACATTTAGAAAGCTGCGTGTTAGAGTATTTGGCTGCTACAAATTTCCACATAAGCCACTTCCGTTGAGCTATGTGTGGCCAGGTCGCTTCTGAAAAATTACTGTGTATAGCTCAGTTAATGCGTTGGCATACTTAACATCTCAACACATTCGTCAATAACGCTACCCGACAGAGGACTTAATGTCTTAATATATATGTGGGCCTTCTGCCACGTGTGTGATGTGTGACGATAATGGCCACGAAGGAAAGTTGAAATATGGAACCACCACCTATCTTGAGGAAGCCTCCTTGTACCAATTCCTTTCCCAGTAAGGGTTGCCACCGATCCAGGTGTGGCTGGGACAGTCTGGCAATTGGCATCTGTGTTCAGGTGGCAGGAACTGAATTGTATCGAGTTCTAGTGGAATTGCGGGAACTAAATTGTAAGGAGATCTTGTGGAATTGTGGGAAATGAATTTTACCGAGATCTTGTAGAATTGTGGGAACTGAATTGTACTGAGATCTGGTGGAATTGTGGAAAAATTGTACCGAGATCTTGTGGATTTAGGAATTGTGGGAACTAAATTATTTCTAGATCTGGTGGATTTCGGAATTTTGGGAACTGAATTGTACCGAGATCTTGTGGAATTGTGGCAATTGAATTATAAGGAGATCTAGTGGAATTGTGGGAGATTAATTGTACCGAGATCTGGTGGAATTGTGGCAACTAAATTGTACCGATATTTGGTGGAATTGTGGGAACCGAATTTTACCGAGATATGGTGAAACTGTGCTGGTTTTCTCGGACAGGACAGTTCACGGTTTTGATATACCTAAGCTGGTCAAGAAATTTGTGCCGAGTTTAGTCTTTGTAAAATGTGTCCACTGTGCTTAAAATCTTCAACCCAACATTTTTTTTCCCATTGACATTTCATCATTGACAATTAGAACACTTCGGGCCAATTACTCAATACTTTATTTTCATAATGAAACCAGACAGCGTGATATATATTTCTTCAAAGCTTCAAAACGATCAACACCCATCATTACAGCGCAATACATTTGCCAGTGAATTCACAATGCAGAGGAGGCCTTTCCTTCTGCTCACGACGTTTTAATGCAGCAAACAATTACAAATAAATTGTGTAGGACACTGCCGTCGGATTTTTTCGCGGAAGCTGCGTAACTCCCCGATGCGTTCTCGCGTCGTGCTGCGCGTGTGTTCGGGCACGACGGCCGACGTTTCACTCCACCGAGCAAAAACCCGAAAACAAATCGGAGAGCTACATTAATTACACAGATTCGTTTTTTTTTAAGGCACAAAAATAAACCCAGGAAATTATTAAGGCAGTCGGCTTTGAAATGCACGTGCGGATTTATTTTCCCGTCCTTTTGAAAAGGCATGTAAAAGAGCACAGGTTGCATCGATTCACCACCAACAAGTGATTATTGCGTTCACAATGCTTTGAAATTTTGCGTCTGCAATTCGTTCGCGTTAAAAGTATGGGCACTCCCACCTCTTCGAAGGCGTCTCGGCAGTGAGGAATAGTCGGAAAGACATCCTCTAAATGGGTTTCTTTATAGCTCCCTCTGATGTAGAGGTCCTTTTTTACCGCATTGGCACGAATAAGCAATCGCAACAAGCGGGGCTGCACCTTCACTATTTCCTGCCATGCTGTTCACATTTAGGAGTTATGGAGAGATGGAAACCCTAGTCACAAGATCAAACATTCAAACCAGATGGTCAATGAGACAGAGAGAGTCGAATATTGCATCAACTTGCACACCCCCCAAATCATGACGACTGCCAAATGGCTGGGGGGAGAGTGAAGTGTCACATTGCTGATCCTGATGTAGTCCAGGATGTTTCCCAATTGCATAGACCACCTGATGCCACGTGACAACTTCTGGTGAGCAAAGAAGTTTCCTAAATTGTGATGCAACTTCCTCAATTCAAAACACCCATCAATTTAGATCATTTATCATTTACTTTCTGGGCCCGATTTGCAGATTTCTCCAGGGGGTGGGGGGAGAGCGGGGGGGGCGGGGGAGGGCAGAGGGTATAAATCCAAAAATCAGGAACTCATCCCCCACCGCGCGTCAACGACGAACGCAATTTCACGGGGACGCAAAGCGGCCCAGGAAGAGCACGCTGCCGCTGCTGTTCTCGCGGATGAAGAAGATGAACGGGTGATCCGCGCGGACGACGGGGCCCATCCTGGCGCAGCGCATCATCATGATCGCCGCGGTGGCCGCCGCAGCCTCCGTTCCCTCCTCGTTGACCTCGACGAAGGCCTTGTGGGCCACGTGCGACACGTAGAGGTCCCGCGTCCCGTCGATGCCCGAGACGTCGGCCTTCCCCTGCGTGAAGATCGAGGTCATGCCCAGGCGCTGCAGGTGGTCGTTGAGCGTGTAGGAATTCTCGAGGCGGAAGCGCGGCAGGTGCAGCTCCACCTCCTCCTTGCTCATGTTCTCGGGCGAGGTCCACTCCTTCAGGGATTTGAGGGTCAGCGCCGACTCCAGCTGGAGAGACACGACAGCAGCAGCGACGGTGTGATTACAACGTCGCCAAAATCGCCGTCGTGTACACGTCACCACATATTCTCCTTTCTTTAGGACAGTTTTTCTTTTTTGGCGTCATCTGGTCGAACACCATATGAAATTAGGCTCTAAAGAAAGCTGTCCTCTGGTGTGGACCAATCCGTTTCAAAGACAATGCATAAATTATCAGAGTATTGTTTTTTGTTTGCATTTGACTGCAAGTATTGTGGTTAATGTAAGCATGATTCCTTGCAAAAGGTGTCAGTTTTGTTTCCAGAAAAAAAGGGGAAAAACCCTATTAGTATAGTTTTTTTAATGTTTAGTTGTCCTTCCCCCGCACCTCCAATTGGCACTTTTGGCTATGTACAGTGCGAAAGTAGTTCAACTTACATAAATACCATCATTATCATCAGCATCAACACTGTCCAGGTCATTAACATCATGGTCATCACCACCACTGTCATCATTAGTGTAATCACTATCATCAGTACCCGTTATCAATACCATCTACGTCCTCATTGGAGCTCACTAGAGCTCCCTCCAGCGGTTGCATAGTAAATTGTATTTTTTCATTTCCTATACAGCAAGTTAATACGACAAATCGCGAACCTTAAACACCCAGTCGTTCATAAAAATTGTAGGCGGTATAGTACTATAGTAATAGAGCAAGTGCAGAATCACTGAACCGGAATTGATAGCTTGAAAGCATTTAGCGCGGGGCCCTGGTACGTGCAGGGCCCGTAGCTACTACACATGTAGCTACTACACATGTAGCTACTACACATGTAGCTACTACACATGTAGCTACTTTTGCTACGAGGATAATCCGGCCACGGCTGCACCTTACCAGTCACTTTATACAAGCGTTTTTTTTATTTCAGAACACCAAAACAGGAATATTCTGAACGTGCCTCGTAGCTCCGCGAGGTGGCTTGTGTTTTTTTTTACCCCCATGAACAACGCCACATCTCCAGTACCTTCTCAAGTCCAGTTGTCTCGTCCTCGATGGCCAGAGGCACCAGCAGCAGCATGCTCAGTTTGTTTCCCTCGTACGGCAACTCGACGATGTTGACGCTCAACTCGTCCACGTGAGAAAAATTATACTTGGCCTTTTTGTACATCATCTTCACCGGCTTTTTCTCATTCTAAAAAGCAAAGGGAAAAAAAATCATAATAATGCACGTGAATCGTGTATCATCTTCTTTGTTGTCGTTGTAAATTCATACCAGAGCTGGACCGGTGGACAATTAAATTCGTTAAAATTGTAATCGACTCCTGTTCTTCGTGGTCGTTTACTCAGAGTACCTTTGAAATTGGTGGCCACCTCGACATCCTGCCTCGCGAATGCAGGAAACCCCCCCCCCCACCCCCCAACAACAAGCCACACCCGACGATTATGTCATCAAAGGCCGCCCTCCACCTCCCGTCCAGTGGCACACGTGGGAAAACATTCGTCTTCACATTGTTCTCTCGTTATCCCATTAGCTAAGAAGTGGAAATGACAAATCGGCAGAGTAATTGTTTAAATGGCTTAAAATACGTGTAACCCAGCCGTAATTAATATACACAGAGGATGACAACAAGCCCCCTATTTAATGTTATAACTTGTTTGGCAGGTGGCCAGGTAGCTCAAGAGTGGTAAAGGGTGCAGAACCAGCATCACCGGGAACCGGGCGGAATAAACAGGTTCTCAAGTGTCACTTAATATGGCTAAATACCATCTCTGACAAAACTGTATAATCGGCTCGACTGCGATTCACCAAATATCGTCAGACAAGACCTGCAGAAATCTCTTCCGCGAGCCATTTTCTGACACGTGGCACACGATGAGATTTCAGAACGGGGTTCTTTGTCTATCGGACATTACGCAGAATTGAGATTTTGGGGCCAAAAAGAAGAAGCTGCTCATGATCGTCTGAAATGTCCCCACCACTGCGATGAGCTGAATTCGTTACAGAGCTTAACTAGTTGGACCTATCACAGTGGGTGGGCGGGGGGGGGGGGGAGGCGATGTGTTTTTTTATATTGCATCGATCATAATAATCAACAGCCGTGGTCAATCCACTGCTGGATGACGGCCTCTCTGAGAGACGCCACCATCTCTCGACCGTGGTGCAGTCACACAACAATCCACCCAGCAGCTGCCCACGAGCCGATGTCGTAGCTACCGTTACCTCGGCGTACGCTCTCCCGGGCATTAAATAACTGAAATTCGTCAACACAATTTACCCGGATAATTCCCTTGAAGGTGGAAGCATCGTGTTTGCAAGTATATCCAGGTTGTCAAGTGACACGTTTACATGTGTAGAAAATTACTCGGTGGTTAACCGTGCAAGCATTGACCGTGTCTGGCCGCGGTTTGCGTCAATTGGGACCGCAGGCCGGGGTGTGGCTGTGCAGGTGGTGATGCACGGTGGTTTAAGCTGCAGTGGTTCTCAACAGGGGGTACGCGGACTCCCGCGGGTACACGTGGGGCGATTTATAAATGCGTGAAATTATATTATGCATAGCGAGTCATTGGTGAATGATCATGTTCGACTCTGCTAATTCGAAATAGCGATTACAATTTAAATCCATGTGGTAACCTAGGAGATAAATATGCATTTTAAACTGATTTATCGTAAACAATGTGGTTACCAAGAGTAACCAGCGTGCGTGAACAAATGACGTCACGCACGCAGGGCGTCCGTGGATTTTCTTGATTTTTATTTTATTCGCTTGCAGTTAGGATACCTCGAAAAAAAAGTGGACTATTGATTAAAATATTGATATAAATTTTTTTGGGTCAGTGCAAACGGGTGGGGGGGGGGGTACTCAGTTGAAATAAAATTCAACAAGGGGGGGGGGGTTACACAGTAGCCAATAAAAGTGTTAAGAAGCCACGGCTGCCGCGACTGCACCTCGTTATCTTCTTGGTTCTTTCGGTAAAGTCACGTAGAAGGGGAGTAATAAAATAATAAAAATAAAACAATAAAATAATTCTCACGACGTTTCGGCCACAACGCAAGCAGCCGGCTGTCTCCCCGACAGACGCTGGCCTTCACCTGAGGACGGCTGCTTGCGTTGTGGCCGAAACGTCGTTTTATTTGTATTCTTTTATTACTTCCCTTCTACGTGACTTTACCGAAAGAGCCAAGAAGATGAATCCCTGCAGTCACGAAAGCTTTAAATCGAAAAATGCACCTTGTTAATTTTAAACTCCGCGTCCCTCGTGACTTCGGGGTCGAACTTGGCGGCCCAGCTCCCCTTGAAATAGACGGCGTTGACAAGGACGAGCCTGGTCAGGGAGTTCACCACTCCCGACGCCAGGAGGTCCTGGATCTTACCTGCGGGAAGCAGAACAATCGCGGCGCGTGTGTAAGTTGCACGCGAGTTGAACTTCTTTCGCGCGGTACGTCGCCAACCGTGCTAAATCGGAGGTGCGATTACAGCGTTTGCGCAAAATGATTAGTACACTGGGTATTCACACATCTATGGGACTTTTTTTGCCAGAATCAAAGTATGAATTTACAGCGCTGCCAAAAATAATGAGTACACTGGGTATTCACATCTATGGGACTTTTTTTGTTAGAATCAAAGCATGAATTTACAGCGCTGCACACAAATAATTAGTACACTGGGTATTCATATCTAGGGGACTTTTTTGCCAGCATCTAAAATAAGAACTGCTCACCCCGAGCTATAAATGACCTGATACAATAAAACCTTGGGTTGCGAGTAACTTGGTCTGCGAGTGTTTTGCAAGACGAGCAAATTTTTAAAATAAATATTAATTTGATAAACGAGCGAGGTCTTGCAATACGAGTCGTACGTGTATACGCTTTGTCTGCCGAGCGTCACGTAATCACAACTGATATACGAGTGATTTGGATTACAAACACGTTTCCGGAACGAATTTTGCTCGCAATCCAAGGTTTTACTGTACTGACATTGTCTTACTGTTCACCTTGTGGCGCCATCTCTGGTCTGACACTGGTGAGAGGCAAGGCCATAAAGATGTCTGTCTCTGGTGTAGGCCAATCGGTTTCAAAGACAATGCCATGTATATTATCAAAGCACGTTTGTTTGCATGTTTTGCCACAAGTACCGTGTGTGATTAAAACGGACTTTGTTCCTTGCAAAAGGTATCCGTTTGGTGTTTGAACATCTTAACATCTCCTGTTTTATTGCCAGAATGGGTGACATCTTTTTGGCACCAATCTCTTGTGTCGTTGTCAAGCCGTTCTCAGTTGGGTCTTCCTCTCTTGCCTGCCCCTTCCATTTTTCCAAACAACAACACATTCTTTGGTTCTTTCAGTAAAGTCACGTATAAAGATAAAATAATAAATTAAATTAAATACGTGACTTTACCGAAAGAACCAAAGAATAATTCCTGCAGTCACGAAAGCTCCAAATTAAGTTTGTAACAACAACACAGTTTTTACATTTCCCCGTTGTTGTTAATCCTACACGTGCCCAAATAGTGCCGGCTTCCTTGTCCAAAAGTCCCTCGTGTACTGCAAAAGCTTCGCCGAATCTCAAGTCTAAAACGACGAACGTTGCTTTACAGCGGCAATCCACCGACGAGTCAAAGCAGCCGCAAAGGCGCCCGGTGGACTTTTACCTTCCGTTTGACCTTCGACCCACGCGTTGATCTCTTTGCGTGCCTCTTCAGACGCCTCCTTGAAGTTCACGGCCGCCAGCTCGGCTTGGTAGAACTTGGCGGAGGAGTCCAGGAAGTCCTGGCAAGCGGTTCACGCCGACAAAGCGAGTCGCGTTTAAGGAATGCGAATCGCGGTCACGGCACAACGCACCGATCGCATCAAATCTCATTCTTTCGTACGGCGGCTGACGTGTAGATTGCAGAGCAACGACTACAACTTCGCATGCAGGTGGTGGTTCAAGCCACAGACGACGGCGTCAGGAGCAGCAGAGTGTATCATCGCCGTGATGCCTCCTTCGTATTTGTGAATCGGGCAGCATTGCGTCGTTATACGTCGTATGGTCTGTTCTGGACGACCGCGTTCGCCTACTACTGGAGGGTTTTTTTAATTTTCCATTTGTGCATCGGGTATCCACGTCTGCCATGCATCAGGCATCGCATCTGCCATCAAATCAAACGCTATTAGCCAGAACACCTTCTTCATATCATTTCTAGATTTGAAGCTTTCGTGACTGCAAGGATTCACGATAGCTGTATCAAGTGAGAAAAATTCCAAGAAAAACGGTTTTCTTGGAATTTCTCTCACTTCATACAGCTATCGTGCTGTGACTGTTCCACCTGAAGACGGAAGCTTGTGTTGCCTCCGAAACGTGGTGATTTTTATTTTATTTTTATTTTACTTTTATTAATTTTAATTTTTTACCTACGTGACTTTACCGAAATAACCTAAGAATATTCTTCATATCATATTACCCCCGTTTTGGACTCCCTGCACTGGCTTCCAGGTTCACATAGAATACAGTTTCAAATCCTAGTGTTAAGTTACAAAGCAGTGAACCATCGTGCCCCAGCCTACGTCATTGACATGCTGCACCCATGTGTCCCTTCAAGGTCCCTAAGATCTGGGGATGCAGATCTTCTCTCTATTCCCAGGTGGAGGTTTCGGTCTGTAGGTGACCGAGATTTTCCCTGTGTAGCCCCCAGGGTCTGGAATGCTCTTCCACGTGGTGCCAGGGATCTCGGAATCTTAAAACCTATTTATACGTTTCCGCTTATTACATGACCTCCTTGCAGTCACGAAATAGTAATAAATGGAAATAAATCAATTAAATCACGACGTTTCGGAGGCAACACAAGTCTCCGTCTTCAGGTGGGACCGTCACAGCCAAATTTACTGTATCAAGTGAAGAAAAATCTAAGAGACAAGATCTTATATACACTTGATACAGTAATCTTCTTGGTTCTTTCGGTAAAGTCACGTAGAAGGGAAGTAATAAAATAATAAAAATAAAACATAATAAAACAATTCTCACGACGTTTCGGCCACAACGCAAGCAGCCGTCCTCAGGTGAAGAATGAGACAATGCCAAGCTAGGAGCTTATATATAAGCTGCGTTGGAGGTGGAAGAAAGAGCGCCTTAACAAAAGAATGTGCATATGAAGAGGAATTTAGCATATACATGGAAAATGCGTAGGAGGTGGGCGGGGGGGGGGGTTTCAAAGTCATATTATGCCCATGCATTATGCAGGATCAACAGCACCAAGGGGGGGTGCAGGGATTAGCAGTAACAAAGGAAAGGAATGTTAATGATATGTAGCTGCAGTTACTCAACAACCACGTAGAAAACTAAAGTATAAACTACATAAAAAACTAAAGTATAAATTGCATAGCACCATCAGTATACTTACTATACTCTACACTAAGCTGAGTTACTAACAGCAAGTAATACATTACAATTCTACGTCGTAGAAATTATATAATATGCTTCCATCTAAACTTTATTCTATTGTATCACACGAGCATATACCGTACTATATACTGCCTACATTAAATTATATACTGTATTGCTGTAAACCAACCTATACCTTATACATTTAATATAACACTATGTATTATTCTACCCACCCTAATGTGTGTCGAAATGGTTTATTACGTCCTTCCAATGATTGCTAAGCCAGAATCCATCTTCTCGGTTAAAATTGTCTCTGTGTTTGTATATGTGGATCGCCTCATGAACGAATCTCTCATGATAGCCAGATTGATACAGTAAATTTAGCTGTGACGGTCCCACCTGAAGACGGAGACTTGTGTTGCTTCCGAAACGTCGTGATTTAATTGATTTATTTTAATTTATTATTATTATTTCACTTCTATTATAAAAAAATATTTTTTTTTTACCTACGTGATGTATTTATTCACATGATACTGTTTTGTACGATTGAGAACCAAAATGGGTGCAAGGCTGCAGTAAAGGTTAAGAACCACCAGGCTAAAAGATATGCAGATAAGCCTCCGTAATTTGTTTTCATTTTAATTTGTAAATTCACATTATTGCGTATTACATACTGCATAGACCGTTTAAGTGAATACAGTATTGTTTCCTAACAAATGCTTTAAGGTCAAGAGGTCATTACGGCTTGTGCCGTTAAAGCCACGATACCTCATCATCGTTTCCTTCCGCTTCTCTCCTTCCACCACAACCGTGGCTGTTGTAAAGATAACGCGCGACCTTCATACGACCGCTCTCATCGTATCCCACCAACCGGTTTTATATGCCTTCTCCTTGGTCACCTGACCTCAGTGTCACTCCAATGCCCGCCTCGGTTACCTGCCCTCCTTCCACCCCTTTAAAAACGACAGCTTCCGCGCGACATTGTCTCCCGAATGCGGGAAACACCCCCCCACTCTCCTACAAAACCACGCCCAGCGTGACACAGATGACCACGCCCAAAACGTCACCAAGTCCCGCCCATCACCTCCAGGCCAGCGGCACACGATACATTTTTTTTTGCCCCAACCGTGTTTTAATTCGCATATTCGTGGAATTTTCACCACCCACTTAGGTCTGTCAAAACGTGATGAGAGCACAACAGGCTCAATGCTCCTTCGAGCAAAAAGTAAATGACACGTTTGTTGCACACTCTTCAACCGAAGAAAAAAAAAAACCGACCGATTGACTGAGACATGGACATGCGCAGACAAAGCAGCGTGGTTTCCATTGACCTCTCACCTGCAGAAAGTTGTACCCCTTCTCGCCGTACAGGCGGTTGGCCATGCGCAGCACGCTGCCCTGCGTGGTGGAGCTGAATGCGCCCAGCAGCGACTGGTAGCCCCCGTGTACGTCCTCCACTCCGTCAAGGTGCAGCGACTGGTCGCGTAGGGCCGGGCAAACACGCACGCACAGACGGATATATTAGTACCGTTACCAATTCACACGCAAGTGATTCGCGTTCGTTTAAGCCGACGGGGTGGGTCAGCGGTAGAGCTGGCGGCACGCAATCGGGAGTTTGCGAGTTTAAATTCTGGTTGCGCGTCGACTCGGGGTCATCATCTCTCCGAGGTCGATACGAGGACCACTTTTTAGTTGTCCTACGGATCGCCTCGCGCCCCTGGCATAGGAATATGGAATTTCCACCACCGACTCACAGCTGTAAATACAAGATGAGCACTTGCCACCATGTTCATCTGGGCAACAAAAAAATCACTGACTTTATTCAATTTCATGAATGCAAATATAAACTGTTATTTTGTTGATATTTGATTGAATCGATCAGCAGGCCATGTGTGGTGTGGTTGGGTAAAAGAGTGGGTACTCCCCACCACTTCCAAGACATCTGTCCAGTGTGGAAGAGTAGGCCAAATACCCACCAGGACTTCTCCAGAATTTCCTGGAGTTGGAGGCCCTTCCGCCAGCAGTGGCAGTGGCGTGAGCTAAGGATTGGGCCTGGATTTGAGACTGGATAATTCCATTAATTTCCAACGAGTCATGGCTTTGAATATTCCACTTGGGGAGTTCCAGTTTATTCCACGGCCACAACCAAGGGTGGCACAGTCGGGTTTTTTACAATCGGGTTTAATTGTCTTTTTATATTAAACCCGATCATCTGAGATTGGGAGAAATCCGGTTTAATTGGTTCTAATTGCAGAATCGCATTTCTCAACAATGGGCTTCATCCACTCCAAGCTAAGGAACTCACTGGCGCCCACGATTGTGGAGAAGCTCGTGTTCATCACGACCAACCTGCCCGCCGCATTCTACGACTACCCCGTGCCCGACGGCCCCGAGTACGATAGCAGCACCGACGAGGAAGCAGCCTAAGCCTTGGATCAGAGTTTCGTATTCATTAAACCAGGTTTTAATTCCCCGAAATCGGGTTTAATTGTATTAAAGAAAAAACCGATGCCTGCCGCTGGAAAAATCTGGTTTTTTCCACCCATGGCCACAACGCATACACAAACCTGTTACGCAACGCCAGCATAGTGTTACATGCAGTAACCAGGTGTCTATGGTGTAACCAGATCCCCGTTAAAAATGTCCCTTTATTGCCCAACGGCTTTTACCCGTGCCAAAATAAAACCTAACCTAACGTCGTTTTAATACACGAGCACCGATTTAATACCGTGCAAAATGTGCTCGGGGATTTGGAAACACCGTACGTAGCCATGCCACACTAATCCGGAGGCGAGGTGCGTCACCACGTGCGCCGTCGTGACACCATGAGAAATATATTTTTTGGTTGTGCGTTCAGCAGCTGTCCCTTGCCCAGCAATGAGTCAGCCAACGTCACGTTGTGGGCATACGATGAACTCAACGCCCATTTTAAGAACAGAGTTGTGAGATCCTCTTCATCCCCTATTGGACACGTGACCTCCCACTTCTTCCTGTCCTTGGCAACATGTTGAGCCTCGCCCCAAGAAATGTTAATCGCTGCCGCCAGCTCGTCCTTCACGGTAATCTCGTCGTTTCACGGAGGACTCGGGCCGTCTCGTACATGGTGCGGACTTTCCGCGGCTATGGGACCCGGTAGCCTCTCCTTCACACTCCTGACTTGCAAACAGGAGTGGTCATACCGCCTACGACGAGCTAGAAAGCTCCCTTGCTCACACATCGCTGCCACCATCTCCTCCTCCAGAGTCCTGCGCCAGGTGGTCTGGGCTCTCCCAGGTTGCCTTCTGCCCGGTGGTGTCCATCTTAGGACGAAGCAAGCTCATTTTTGTTTTGTCTAATCCGCTTAACCCTTTCAATCTATAAAATCCAAGCGAGATGACCAAAGGGGGATGCACACAAGAGATATACGGTAGATGTAGTGAGATAAGAGAAGTGTAGACAAAACATGGAAACGCACTGAGACGAGAGCTGTGGGCATGAGAGAGGAGAGACATTCACTGAGAGTTGTCTTTACATTAATTACCTTGTCATTTAAATTTTTACGAGGATTTAAATTTGAGCTTATGCATCGCAGCAGGCGATTAAAATTTCTTTTTTGCCACCTAAGAAAAAATGCCAAAATGCTTTGCTTCCTATCACCTGCTGACTTGGAGCGACTGGTCCATGGCTTTTGTGTTATCCCAACTTGACTGCTGCAGCGTCTCCATGGTTGGGATTCTGAGCAAAGCACTGGGCAGACTCCACCTTGTTCAGAATGCAGCTGCTAGAGTGCTTACACCACGTACACCATTCCGTGAAAATATTTCACCAGTCCTCTTATCTCTTCATTGGCCAACGGTAAACTTCCAAGTAGATTTTATGATACTGCTATTAACCTATAAGGCTTTAAAATAGCTCACCCCACACTAGTTGCAGGAACTAATACATTTCTATATTCCAACAAGGTCCTTAACATCTTCCGATGTCCAACTGCTCAGCATTTCCAGGTCTAAGTTGCACTCTTTTGGTGATCGGTGCTTCTGATAGCATGGCACCCACAAGCTATGGAACGCCTTGCCACTTGAAGTAATCTCTTTAAAGTGGCCTTCCGTCTTTAGTTCCATCGGTTGGGCGGCCTTGTTCTGTTTTAGTTTCCTGCTTTTCATGCGTTGCGCATTGGGCTCCTAGGATGGAATGGACATTATACATTTGAATTATAATTAGTTCATGCACTCCTTATTCTGTCATGAATTAAGGTTCGTGAGTTGCTCAGGTCCCTCAGCTTTCGCTTGGTTTGCTTGAGCCGAGTACTGCCACGGACCGAAGTGGAATTCACCGATCTGGAGTACCGCACTGCGTACCCTTAACAAACCCACCACTTTTCTTTAAAAAAAACATAGAATTTTTGACACGTAAAAAAAAATGTAAACCTTTAAAATGTCAGTGAGATTCTGTTGGATATTTATTAACCACCGGGCAAACTCAAGCCTTGAGTATTCGATGACTAAAAGACTTTGCCTATTTACACTTCATAAAACTTTATAAGGTTGACAACTGTTGTGCAACATTTGAGCAAGGTTTGCCAAGTCCTGCCTCACAAAATGCAACCACAACCAAAGTGAAATTTTACTTCACAATGGCTTTCACCGTATGTACTATACTTTATTATGCTTGTTTAAGCAAGAACGCCTTACTCTTTTTCAAGGAGGGCCCTGCTAAAATGTTGCAGTCGCATCCAATGTTGCTGCTGCATTGCCCCACCGTGCCCCCCCTTGCAAACTCTGCCCATGACAAAAATATAATTTTACTGAAAACGCTTGAAGCAACAACAACAAAGCACTTTACTGAAATTATTTAAACCCAAATTATTAAACTAACGGCCCCAATGTGATGATCTCACCGACATGTGCACACCTCTTCCCAGCGCCCCTCTTCCCAGCGCCCCACAACTCTGGCTGTCGCCTGATGATGCTGCTTGTAATTACCGGCGAAACGTCACGGTACTGGAATTGTAATTGTTGTGGGTTTACTCTCAAACACACCGGTGTGCTGAAGTGCTAACGATTTTGCAGGTCGTTTTGTTTACGTGACAAACCTTACTAATTGGTTGTGTAGGCTGGTGGCGGGTTTAACGACACATTTATATTTACGCGATCCAACCATTAATAAGGCCGTCTCTGGTGTAGGCCAATCAGTTTCAAAGACAATGCATGTATATTATCAGAGCATGCTTGTTTGCATGTTCACCACAAATACTCTGTGTGGTTAATGCACACTTCATTCCTTGCAAAAGGTATCGAGAGTTTGTGTTTGAACATCTCATTGTAAACCCCACAGAGTAGGCGGGGGGCCACAAATTACGAAACCAAATCCCACCCTTCCCCACTGGCAAATAAAATTGTGGCTAAAAGTCGCACAAAAACACCCTTTATTTGAAAAATGTAGGAGTTCCCGAGACATTTTGGAGTGGAATCTTATCGCAGCATCTCGAAGGGAGTAGTCAACCACATTAATACATACAATGTGTAAAGTCTGCATTTTTCATCCACCCATGTGATAAAAGCTCTGCCTGATTTCACACAAAAAACGGTTGCTAGGGGCTGCGTAAATGACAGGGTGTGTCATGAACCTCAGGAGCTGCTGCGGTGGGTGTAATGCATCGCATACTGGACTTGCAATCCAAAGGTTGCCAGTAAAATTCCATCTTTCGGCAGCACGGCGGTTGAAACAATGGCTAATTTATAAAAAAAAAATCCACCGCCTCTGTCTACCCAGCAGTATGAATGAGTGCACCACTGTAAGTCCATCAACAGGCAGCCCTGTGCATAACTGTGTGATGCAGGTTAATCTGGTAAGCGTGGAAGAGTAGACCAAACAAACCCTTGGAGCTCCCTTTTAGTCGAGGACCTTCCGCCAGGAGAGTCGCGAGACAAAAAAGCAATTTCAGGGCCGCACCTTTACCCCCCCCCGTACCCCCGCAACGACGACAGTGACACGGCACACATGACGCATCGTTGACCTTTGACACTCCCGGGTGAAAGCGACGTCTCTGAAAGCGACATGTCGGGTGTTTTGTTTAATGTTTATCCGAGGCTTATGGCCCTTCAATGGTTAAGACAAACCACACGCGGTGCAATGGCCCCACGTGGCAAGTTGCAGGATGTTAAGCCCAAGGACACCTCCTCGAAGTGGCCTGGTGGCTGAGCGGTCAGGGCACTGAGCTGACCTCGTTGAGGGCGGAGGGTTCGAATCCGGGCAGACAGCTGTCGTTCAACTGGGATCTCAAGTATAAAGAGATCTTAGCCCCGTCAACACGTGCTGCTCAGAAGTTGATTTAATGCTTAATTTGGCTAAATGTCAGTTCCGTGACGTAAGAATTTCAGTTTTTATTAACGGGATAAACACTTTTTGCAGGACATATAAAAGCCATTTATATCCCTTGTGTTGGTGATTTTTCTGTTGTCCCCATGACATAATGTCTAGAAGACATATCATGTCTTCTCGACATAAAATCTAGATATTGTCATGGAAAGAGCAGAAAAATCACCAACACAAGGGATATAAATGTTCTTTTATATGTCCTGCAAAAAGTTAATAAAATGTCGAGCGAGGTCTGCTGCTGGCTACGAGAGGGCTTCGGGGAGGGAAAGAGAGAGTTTATGTCCGCTTGCTGTTTCTCTCCAACTGAAGGGTGGTGCAGAGCCCCAGTCTTTTACTATTTGGACCACCGCGTGCGAGACGTTTGGCCTTCTCGCGGGCCACTTGCCACGCGCTTTCACGTTGCCTTCGACACGACGAGGCACATCACACGTCTCGCATGCGTCCCAACAGGCAGGAGCAAGGGGCGGCTTTCGGACCTTTGGGCAACGATTCCGCGTTCGTACGAGAACGGGCACGTGCATTGCCATGGCGACTGCCCTTCCCCTGTGCCTCTGCATGATCACGTGAAACTTGTGTGCAAATGCTCGATCGAGCCGGTCGTTTGGCCAGAGTTGTCGATCTAGTCCCATGGGGTCAGGCAACCAAAATAACAAGAGACGTTTAAAAAAGTTTTTTTCCCCCAAGGTCTGCAATGCAATGGGTGTAAATACAAGATGGGTGGGGGCCATGAATAGATAATTGCCCCATTACTACTCCCCATACAACAGCCCCCTGTATGAAAAAATAAGAATAGGTTTCACCCTCTCTGGCAATAAAACAGGTGTTAAGATGTTCAAACACCAATAAGAAGCCGTGTGCAAAGAATAAAGTTTGCGTTAACCACACACAGTACCTGTGGTGAACATGCAAACAAACATGCTCTGATAACACTGGTCAACAAAAAAAAACATTTTTTTCTGGCCTAGACTTTTGCAGCTGTTTTAGACTAATTTCAGGGTGCTGATTCCAAATCTGATCTCAGATTTTCTCTATCACATCTCATTTGTATGCTATCGGCATACCCCATTTTCATTGATTTTACCCGAAATTAACTCTGTCACTTATGATTGCAAGTTGTTGCGAGTCAGTGACTGAGTGTTAAAATATGGTGCTGTATTTTTAGAATAGTGTGTTTATAATATCATTTTATGTAGATATCCACATTTATTTAATATTTTTCACACATCATACTTGTAGTGAACATGCAAACAAAGAAACATGCTCCGAGGGTGTTCGCCTTTTGGCGTCCTCTGGTCTAACACTGTTTGAGACCGGGGGCTCTAAAGAAAGCGGTCTCTGGTGTGGACAAATCGGCTTCAAAGACAATGCATCATCATACAGGGTGTTTCAAATAGATGGACCAGATTTGAAATCGATATATCTCTACAACCACGAACCGCCGATGAATGAAACTCTTACCACTTGAAAGGGTGTGGCATAGAGTTTCAAATGATCACCGCAAGATGCCTCTCCCAGCGCACAAACAGCCCCTAGCCTCAGTCATTCGCAAGACGGTGACCCCGCAACACACAAGGCGTTTTGCGTTCTGCAGTTCAGCAAGACTGAATCCGTAATTGCGGTGCAGCGTGCGTTTCAACGGCGTTGTGGCATTGATCCGCCAATGTCTAAGAGCATTCGTCGTTGGTACCGACAATTTGAGGAAGCAGGCTGCTGTTTATGTAGGGGGAAGAGCACAGGGCGACTACGCACCTCAGAGGAAAACGTGAGAGAAGAGAGGCGTTTGGGACGAATTAAAATGTCGTCTCGATTCATATTCTTAGGTTTTTTCGGTAAAGTCACGTAGGTAAATTTTTTAAATTTAAATTAATAAAAGTAAAATAAATAAAAAATCACGACGTTTCGGAGGTGTTGTCCGTACAGCAGGTGGAGGGCACGTAGAGCATTTATAAAGTGGTCAGTAAAACTTGATAACTCCTTAAACCGTTTGTAACTTTTTGTGTAATTGTAACATGCTGCCATCGTGAAATATACTGCTTTGAAATTGTGTCCATCATTTTAAAACACCCTGTATATACTACCAGAGCATGTGTGTTGTTAGCATGTTCACCACAAGTACGTGTGGTCAATGAAGATTCCTTGAAAAATGATTGTCCACAAATCTGGCTGTAGCCTGATGAAGCTGGTTGTAATTACTGACGAAACGTCGTACTCGGATTGTAAATGTTGTAGCTTGGTTCTACAACACACCGGTTAGTGCTGTACTAGTATACTACACTATACACTACACTACTATACACTACACTATACACTACTATAGATTACACTACACACTACACACCAGAGGTGTGGACTCGAGTCATGTGACTTGGACTCGAGTCAGACTCGAGTCATGAATTTGATGACTTGAGACTCGACTTGGACTTGCATAACAATGACTTTGTCCCACCTCTGCTACACACTAGTGCTGTACTAGTATACTACACTATACACTACACACTAGGGCTGTACTAGTATACTACACTATACACTACACTATACACTACACACTAGGGCTGTACTAGTATACTACACTATACACTACACTACACACTAGTGCTGTACTAGTATACTACACTATACACTACACTATACACTACACACTAGTGCTGTACTAGTATACTACACTATACACTACACTACACACTAGGGCTGTACTAGTATACTACACTATACACTACACTATACACTACACTAGTCCTGTACTAGTATACTACACTATACACTACACAGTACACACTAGTGCTGTACTAGTATACTACACTATACACTACACACTAGTGCTGTACTAGTATACTACACTATACACTACACACTAGTGCTGTACTAGTATACTACACTATACACTACACTATACACTACACTACACACTAGTGCTGTACTAGTATACTACACACTATACACTACACTATACACTACTGCTGTACTAGTATACTACACTATACACTACACTATACACTACTGCTGTACTAGTATACTACACTATACACTACTCTATACTAATAGTGAGGTACAAATGTACAGCCGGTAGCCAGCGGGAGGGGGTCGGGGTCGAACCCACGACCACCTCCACCTCCTGCTGAGAGAGACATCTCGTCCACCTTGCTCATCTGCGCCGCTGTCTCCTCCTTGGCACCCAGCAACACCATGGCGAGGGCTGCCGACACGCTGGCCGGACTGAAGAAGACGTTCCCCGCACCGGCGGTGGTGCTCAGATCCCTGAAGAGATCCAAGGCGAACTCCGTGTTGGCTGCCGTCACTGCGTCCATTGCTGCCGGTGGTGGTGGTGTTTTGACTGCTGCTGCTGATGATGAGACTGCTGCTGTTGATGATACTGCTGCTGCTGATGATACTGCTGTTGATGACACTGTTGCTGTTGATGATACTGCTGCTGTTGATGATACTGTTGCTGCTGATGATACTGCTGCTGATGATACTGCTGCTGTTGATGATACTGTTGCTGTTGATGATACTGCTGCTGATGATACTGCTGCTGCTGATACTGCTGCTGATGATGATGATCTTGTAACTGCTGCGACAAATGCTGCTGCTGCTGACGATACTTTTGCTGCTGCTACTGAAACTGCTGTTGCTGCTACTGAGGCTGCGGAGTCTGCTGATGGTGATGCTGCTGCTGCTTGAGCCTGGTATTTAAAGCGCAGTGTCATCAGCAGCAGCAGCAGCGGCACGAGCGATCGCCCAACGAACACGCCCCGCATCGTGGACATCGATCCTCGCGAACGATTCGATTCGAGAGAAATCGATTCCAGAACCAACGCACCCCACACACGAGTTTCCGTCTGTCCGCGCGACGAGAGGGCCACGCGGTTGCCGTTGAACGTTGTTGTGGAAGGCGGGCGGATCGATGCGTTTGCCGTGCGATCGATAGAGAAGCTAGGCGCGTTCACGCCCCAAACGAATCGATAGTCGATTTAAATCAATAAAAGCTGCGCCGCTGAATCGAGGAATCGTTGTGCGCGCGCCCAGCAGAGGGCGTGCGAGTCGCCCCCGCCCCCGGTTCGGACCCAGTGGTTGCAAACCGGTAACCGAATCGACACGGCGGTTAAAACCGGTTAGCGTTTTTTTTGGAGACGCGAAGGAGGGAGCTTCCGCAACGCTGCTGGTTGATGCTGTGGTGGTGAGGGACTTGTGTTATATTTAACAATATAATGACATCGTGTTTAAAAAGCCGTATCTGCATTACAATTAACGACAGATTTAAATTGGTACATATTATTTGAGATAAAGCGTGCTGTAATCGATAATGATATACGTAGGAAAAAATAAGAACAGGGTTGATCCTTTCTGGAAATATAACAGGAGTTGTAAAGATGTTAAAACACCAAATAGAAACCCTTTCGCAATGTATGCGTTAACCAACACTCCCGCCACCTGTGTTGAACGTGCCAACAAAGGGGCCGTCCATAAATGACGTCACGCACCTAGATTGGGGGGGGGGTCAGACATTTGTGACGATGTGTGACGAGGAGGGGGGGGGTTGAGAAATGTGACGTCATATTTGAGGGGGTCTGACTGTGACGAAGGGGGGGGGCAAAAATCGTCCAAAATCGCGTGACGTCATTTATGGACGGCCCCAAACACGCTCTGATAATAATATATAGCAGTAGACCCCTCAATTAGGATTATGGGGTCAAGGATTTTCGAACTGGGGCTCTGCTCTTTGGTTCTTTCGGTAAAGTCACGTGGGTATAAAATAAATCACGATGTTTCGGGCGCAACACAAGCGTCCATCATCAGGTGGTAAAGCATGGCATTCAAGAGCCGAATGCCTCACAGGGCTATACCTAATAAATGAACTTTGAACTTTGATGGCCTGTTGCTGAGGCAGACTGTTCGTCTTTCCATTTTATACCTACGTGACTTTACCGAAAGAACCAGAGTATGGATTCCTGCAGTCACGAAAGCTTCAAATCAAGATTGGCGCTCTGCTGTTGCGTTTCTGTTCTTTGTCCCCCACTCGCGATGAGACGAACGCGCCTCGGTTGTGATGTCACCACCATGTGGCCGAGTGGCACCAAAGTGTGTTCTGCTCGGCTCGAAGCCAGAGGGCGTTTGGTTCCATGTGGAGTCGGTGTTATTTATTGTTAAGGTGCCCTAACTTACAATAGTTTCACTGTTGCCATAAACTAATTGTGTCGACTGGATGATGTACACACCAAGAATAATGAGCAAAATATCACATTCATTTCCTTTATTAAAAGCACACTGTACCCAGAATAGCATGTTACATGCGAACAAATGTCAGAATGGAAACCTAGTGTTGAGAGGCATCATACCTCAATCGGAAATAAAACCGTACCGGTGCATGCAACATCAAGCATAAACGCTTGGGATGAGTTGCCAATTTTTGGACTAATAAAAAAAAAACCCATCGAAAATCAGGCCCCACACAATTTCTAATGATCCGATGACAAACAATATATTTTGGATGGAGCATCGCGTACGACTGCCAACGAAAATGATGGCACTTAAATGTCTTCACTTCCGTGCTTTTCCCACCAAAAGTTTCACGTGCGTCACTTTTGTTAGCACGAAGACACGTTTAAACCACGACTTAAAGTTCCAAGACTGGAAAAAGCGATAGAAATTTTTCCTTACAAACCTGCCATTTTGAAATCTGAAACTAATCTCAAATAAAAGCTACGTTCCTTTGCGCACAACTATAAGAAAGCACTTAGTATCTTGGGGCGAAAATAAAACTCCCCATTCTTTCAGCCAATACTTAATGAGTACGGCCACATTTTTGGCACGGAGGTCATGGAAAGTCCGTGAAACCTTGCAAATGGCCGTAAAATACATTACATTAGGCACTTCCTCAAGTTGTGTTTTAAATGCTATATGGCTATTTTACCAACTTTTATATTTTAGAAAACTTTTTTTTCAGCTGAGACACCGTCCCCGCCCCCGCCTTATTCCGTGATTGATCGTTTTTTGCCGAAATTCAGGTCTCGAACTTAACCGAAAATGACCGTGACAAAAACAGTAGACTTATTTCAGCCTCGCGATTAAGGTGATGTCGTGGGGAGGTCCTGATCAGTTTTACCGAGTCTTCATAGCTACATAAACAGCATGGCGATCACAGCAGTTTCAACAGGCGATTCTTTTTGTAAAAGCAATTTCTAATTTACAAGTTTTAAACGCTTCCAAAAACAGATTTTCGTAGAGCATTTAACAGCAAATATAATTGCCCTTTAAATTCCGTAATGGTCGAATCTTGGGCAACATTCACAAGTAAAGTCTCGAGGTGGCCCTGGGTGGCTCCGGGTGGCTCTGAGGTCACAGCGCTGAACTGGAACCACTGAGAACCTGGGTTCGAATCTAGGCAAGTTGCCTGCGATCCGCTGTCATGCAAGGAATATTTGCTCTGTTAGCCCAGAGGGGGTAGGGTCAGCACTACTTGCGAAATCCAAATGGCACAAATGAAGATAAAATTGAAATAAAAGAAATCCCACACAATGTAATAGCTCCAACAACAAAAATGTTGAACGGAACATAAATATGAAAATCTGATGGAATGGATAAAAACAGTTGTAAGCTTAATTGGAGACTGTGCATTTTTCCATTGATAAGTGCCGTAACATGTTGGGCTGGTAAACCAGCAAAAGCTTGACCATCTACTTGATATGTGTCACATACAGAATCGGCTATGTACTTTGTGCAACATGGCAAAAACATTTGTACTGAAACACCGTTTTGAGGAATGCATTTTGCCAACACTTTCCTCTGTGCCACAAAACCCAAGATCCAAGCACAAGAGAATGCTACCCACACATTTTGACTCGCTTGCCAAACCCTAAAGGCAGTGCGTGCACATGAACTTCACCAAGACAACCCTCCCAGAGCATTCCACATGAATGTTTTAGCAACCCCACACATCATTTCAGGACACAGCCTTCACAAACATTTCCCCATTAAGGCTCCACTTATGAGTGAAACCACATGCTCCGTGCAAGATTTTTATGGCAATCCGTTACAGTAGCTGCAGCACAAACAAGCTTAATCGAACAACAATCTAGCAGCCCCTTTTGTCGGCACATCAACAAAGAGTGCATGTGGAAGGTGAACTGCCTTGTAAAATTAAAACATCGACTCTAGGGTTCACGGGCTTGACACAGTTCCGTCTATTTTTGTGAACCTGCTTCTGGCCCGTGGAAGAGCCGAACACGACCATGAACTGACCGAGTTCTGGTGGCTCGGGACAAAGTAGAAGCAAGACGTCAAAGCAATCGACGAGCCACCGCACGTTTTCGTTGGCGGTATGCGGATACGACAGGCGAAGCGGTTTGGGTGAGATAGGAGGCATGAAATGTTGACGGTCGAGTTATGGTCGAATGGGAGTTTCTCAATCATGCTTTCCTTTCTCAACAAAAAACTTCATAGAGCCGCACTTTATGAAACCAAGCACTTTACAGTTTTATTTGAACGGCGTTCGCATGATGGCGTCTAAATGCCCGAGCAATCTGAAGCGAGGAGATAAAGCCAAGATGAGCTACAAATCAGTGAGTAGTGCAGCGGTGGGGGACCTATCCATATGGAAAGACAAATAGGTATTTCTTTCCTTTGGCAGACAACCAAAAGACAAAGATCCCCCATATAGCCTGAACAGACTGTTGGGGCAAGTGCTGTTAGCGAGCACCTATGAAGGCCAGAACAGCACATGAGGGGGTGGGTGGCCAACACCATGCCCGGTCGCCTGTCTCCCCAGTGGCGATGTTTACACACTGCACCAGGAACTCATTTGAGGCCGAGTCGACTGAGGGGAGGTCCAAGACCGGTTCAGATAATCGTCACCGGTGTTGGCCGTGAGCGGCAATCGAACGTGGATTGCAAGGTCTGTAGCACAGCACGCTAACCGCTACACTCCCGCTCCCCACACATGAAAATACACGCGCGTCAGTCACAGAAGTGACTGAACGCACTAAAATAAAAACCAGTTGTGCCAGTTTAAAAATGGTCTCCCCTTTAGTTGGCTAAGACAACCTGCAGTGATGGGTAAAAACATTGTTCCGGCCATTGCGAAGCGGGGGTAGGCCTCATATGGCTGTGGGCCGTACGAAATTAAGTCTTTGACCGAACACGGCCCATGGGCTTCAAGTTCCCCCACCCTTGGTGTACGGGAAGGATAACGCGCTGCGCTGAACTTAGGAATGCATTTTTCTGTATTATTAAATTGTTCAAGTAAAGCAAAATGTGGAAATAAAAGAGGGCGAGAGTATGCACTGCGTGCCATTCTGCGTGACATCCGGCGTTTCCCCGCTCCCAGCCCGTGGAGTGAAACGTCACGCCAAACGGAACGCAAAACAAAACCCGCAATCGCATCGGAGGGGGAGAGAGAGATAGACAGCGTGAGAACGATTGAAAAAAAGAAAATCACAATCCCGTCCTCGAGATGGGCCTGCCGGAATGTGTGAGAGGCCCAAACGGCAGCTTGCGGTTTTCCTTGCTCTTCTCTCGTGCTCTCCTGGTGAAGGCTCCAGGCAGCACGTCCCTGTGGACGCCAGCGGATCGCGTAACTGCGCCGGGCGACGCTTCCCTCCGCTGCTGCTGCTGCCGCGACGAGCTGTGGCCCGTCGCGGCCTGGTGCGCCTTGATCCAGTTGGCGATGGGCCTGCGGCTGATGCCTACCAGCAAGCCGTCTACCTTCAGCCGCAGCTTGTCGTAGTGCACCTGCCTTTCGACGCGCAGCTGTCCCAAGTACTGCTGCAGCTCGGTCCCTCCGGCCCCCCGCGCCACCGCCACCTGCCCGTTCTGCTGCTCGCCGATGCCGCCTGCGGAATTTTCCCCGCCTACTTTGACCGGCACCGGACGCTGCTCTTGTGCCGCGCCAACTTGCATAACCTCCATTTGGTTCCCCGCTTCCTGCCCGTCCTCGTTGCGAGGCTGCTTCTCAGGGGAGGCACCGTTCACGGCTCGGCGCTTGTCCGGCGCCGGCGCGTCGGATCTCCGCCGCTTCTGCGTCAGCGAGCGCCGGCGGGCGACGACGGCGCCGGTGGTGCCATGTTGCTGTGGACCAGGCGTCGCTCCCCCGTCTTTCTGCCTCGTCCCGGGACCCATGGATGTGCGGCGCGGCACCCCGGGACCGCCGCTCACCATCGAGCGCCGGCCTGGGGCCGCGTTCTTCGCCGGCGTTGCCGGCTGCTGCGGCGGCGGAATCGGCTGGAGCGGCTTCTTGTGGGGGGCCAGGAAGCTCTTGCGCCGATCGGAAGGGCGCTCCTCCGCCGTCGCTTCCTCCGTCTGTGTGGCGGCATCGGCGGCGGCACCCGGCGTGATTGGGGGCGGCTCGGCCGCGTGGCGCTGACACCAGGATGCCACCGGGTCGTCATCAGCGCCCGGGCGGACTTCCGCCGTCCGTCCCGGCGACGCGGGGCTCCGGATCGACTCCTGGCCTGGAGCCGTCTCGCACCGCTCACCGAGGGCGTGTTGCAGTTTTCCCGGCAGCCGAGACGGCGTCGGCGCGGCGCTGGCGCCCGGCACGCATAGCGGCTGCGACAGGGCGTAGAGGATGCGGAAGTCGTTGTCGTACACCTCGGTGATCTGGCCCGAGAGCACGGTGAGCGTGCTGCGGTGCAGCTTAAAGTCGGACCACGTGTAGCTGCGGGGTGAGACAATGAATAGACAAACCGTACTTGCGCGAGCCGTTCACAAAGTCACGTCTTTCTATAGACAATGAATAGACAAACCGTACTTGCGCGAGCCGTTCACAAAGTCACGTCTTTCTATATTATTAATTAACACCGGTTAAACGTAGTAGTAGGTTTTTACCCTTTTAAACTGGTACAAAACTGACACCTTTATTGGTGTGACACCTTTATTGGTGTCAGTTTTGTACCAGTTTAAAAGGGTAAAAACCTACTACTATATTTTGCCACTGGTAAAAGAGATCTCATAGTGTTAACCGGTTAAACGTTTCAAACTATAAAGAATGAGTCAATTGTTGTGCAAGGCATTACATCATGATTAATATAAGCTGAGAAAGAAAATCAGTTACCAGGTGACATCCTGTTTGCTGGAGGATACTACACCGATCAAAGTTTAAAACTTCATTGAAAAAGAAAAGCAATCAATTCCTGTACAAGGCACTAAAATAAAAAATCAACATAACCTGAGAAAGAAATATAACGTGCCAGATGACAACCTGTTTCCCAGGGACACAAAGTATACGTTTGTTCTACCTTCACGGCATATATCGATTCACTAAAATTTGGTTTCGATTGCTACATCCAGCGTCGTTGTCCCACTTCGTCCTCACACGACTCCACCTACGTCTCCATCCACTGATACGCACACGTCCACAACGGCAACACTGGCACAGCCCCGGAGACCAAATCAGCCGGGACGCGCCAAACCTCATCAGATCTCGGAAGCTAAGGAGAGTTGATCCTGGACGGTGCTTGGATGGGCGACCGCCGCACACAAACAGGTTGTCATAGGCGGTACGTGCTTCCGTCGTGGGCTAGAGAGGGCAGCGCAGCAAAATCCATTGTGGTACTATACACTTGCATGGCTAAGTTAATACCTCGGTGGGCTTTGCCTGGTAGGATGGGGATGGTTTAGTTGGATTGCGAGTAACTTGGTCTGCGAGTGTTTTGCAAGACGAGCAAATTTTTTAAATAAATATTAATTTGATAAACGAGCGAGGTCATGCAATACGAGTCGTAAGTGTATACGCTTCGTCTGCCGAGCGTCACGTGATCACAACTGATATACGAGTGCTTTGGATTATGCTCGCAATCCAAGGTTTTACTGTATTTGTATGTGTTTGGGCGATTTGTGTACCTTTCTTGGACTTGACCCTACTATCATGTTTTGTACTGTTTGTTGCTGTGACGTCCTTGCCCGCTCTGACTGGACATCTGGGAAAAAGCTTTATAGCTCATCGGATTCCTCCGGTATAAATAAATATTTTGATTCTGATTCTATGCCTCCCCGCCTTCATCGACCCTCACTGACCAGCGTAGTGAGGTGTGGTCAAATAACCCCCCATGACCCAGGCGTGCATGGAGAGGCTCTCATCTAGCAGTGGATTAACAAAGGAGATGTAGATATACACGTGTACAGAACACTGGCCACGTGTGTCGGCGTAACAATCCAAATCTGAAAATTTCTCGCAAATTACCAAATTGGGTCAAGTCACGAAGCAACATCGCCCCCTGCCGTGAGACTACCGCAGACCGTCGGTGAAACGTAGCTTCTTCGTGATAGTCTTGCACTTACCAAATTTACCGATTGGAATACTTTGACTTGTCATGCGCACAGTATTGGCTTGCTTTCGAAGAGAGAGAGAGAACGACTCAAGAGACACGAGGAAGTACCACAGAACAAGTAGGAAGGCATCCAGGCGATAAACCACCACCAGCATTCTCCCCCAAGCTCTGCGATCCTCCGTATATATTAAACAATTATCGGCCAATTAACGAGCGTTTAGACACGGGAGGAGAAAACGCAACGCATGCGAGTTTGGCACAGATGGAACAGGTGCTGTACACACGTTTGCTGTACCGCCTTCTCCTGGGCAAGCCAGTCTACGGGCACCTCGACGATGCCCACGGGGGGAGGGTGGGGGGGGAAGGAGTTTCACAACGTTTGTGCGATCCACCAACCCTCGCCTGCACAGTACCGGATTACAGGCATATGCCGCCGCTGCCACCGACTGGCTATAGATATAAAAACATTTTTATTTGATACAATTGGGAACGAGTTTAACACGTAGGCTTTCGCGACCAATATTATTCACAATAAAAGTTTATTTTTTGAGGTGAGATCGCGTAAATGTGTCGTTTAATCCGGCCACCACCCGACACAGAGCCAAATAGAAAGGCGTGTGGCCAATTGGTCGCCACTAACAGGCACGGGAAACGACGTCAGCCGACATGGACCGTCAGAAGACACCGACTGGAGGGTACCTGTAGGAGCCCATGCCGACACGGCATCCGTCCACCAGCATGTACTTCTCGCGCAGTTGCCCCGTCACCTTGACTCCAAAGCGCGTGTAGTAGGTGAGCCCCGGCACCGTCCTCACCCGCACGTTCTGCCATGCGCACAGACCAAAGACCGCCCCCACCATCGTCGTCGCCAGCCCACCATTGTCGACCCAATGCACGCGTCGCCCCCCCCCCCACCCACAACCTCGTTTGGAGAAGCAGAGCGAGACGCCGTCGCGCTTTCAAACAAATGCTGACATCGGCCTCTTTTGGGGGAGGCCAGGCTACGTTATCAACAGAGGGCGGTGCAGCGATATCCACTGTATAGTGCGGTGTTCTTCACTAAATTTCAGAGGGGGGGGGTGACATCAGTGTGAGGGCTGCTACACATTTGAGAAAACATTGTTAGGTTTGACAGCACAGCACGATGATGATGGAGGGCATTGTCACTTTTGTGTATTGTCGGGGGGGGGGGTCGCCCGTCAAAGGGACCACGCTAAAGGCCACCAGGGGCCACCAGTGGCCCGCAGGCCTTGCCATGAAGAACCACAAGTATAGTGTATTATGTTCAAACTGTTCTCCATGCATTCACCAACCTAAAATAGTGAAGGTAAAGTACAATTAAAAAAAGTAACTCACAGGACATGCACAGCCTACGGGGAGGCCCTTATCTAGCAGTGGATTGACAATGGAGCTGTGCATGAGGCATTCTTTACTGTTCAACCAAAAAAAGAGGCCAGTCATTGCCAGAATGATCCCAGCTCCAACCTTGGTGCATATCGGCCCCAGCAATGTTTACATCTCAATTAACACGAGAGCGCAATCTATAAGATGTTTTTTTGGGTTAGATCGCATGAATATAAATGTGTCGCTAAACCCGCCACCACCCGACACAGCCAATTAGTAAGGTTTGCCACGTAAACAGAACGTGACAATTCGTTACTCGTACAGCACACTGGTCTTTTGTAGAGTAAATCCATTTACAATCTAAGTACGACGTTTCGCCAGTCACAAATAATTTCAACTAATTGGCTGTGTCGGGTGGTGGCGTGTGTAACGACATTTATATTTACGCAATCTAACCCATTATGGATAATATCGTTAAAAAAAATCGTCTCACAGCCACCACCGACGGACGGTTTGCAACAACGTCAGGAGAGGCGACCGTTCGCGAACACGCACGATGACAGCACTGCAGACCCCGCGCTGCTAACCAGCAGAGGGCGGTGCATGCAAAGGAAGTAAGTGTCATTTGGAGTGCAATTTTAAACATTGTGGGTCAAATAGGGAGGGGTGGGGGGCGTGGGGGTGAGATGTAGTACACAGTGGATTAACACAGATTCATAACGCTTACAGATTCAACCGCTGTTGATTTATGCAAACGATAAGCTAATGTTAGCTCGAGGCAAAACATTTATGTTGCTAATAAAACTGGACGGGGGGGTGGGGCGGGGAGGGAAATTACAGAATTCAAATGAGGCAGTAGCGATTGGGATGAACGAATAAATGATCGCATCAAATCACAGAACCGAAATCACTTAAGTTCGCCAAATTACACTTTTAATTGTTGTTCTTCCAAAATCAAACAAAGGGAGTGAGTTAATTAAACTCGTTAATAATGTATGGGACAGCAACTTCTCCAGCATCGCCAAATAATCACGGGCCGCCAAACAACATCAACATTCAGCTGCTCCAGCACTTACTAGTCATTGGTATGTCTAAGTGATAATCAGTATAGGTTTCCATTAATCACAATCTAGGAGGTTAACTATTCGGCTGCTTATATAAGTCAACGTTTTGGGACTCAAGCATTGATATTTTAGAGTCTATGATCATAGCCCCCTTGACATTTCTAAAACATCGATCGTGTCCCGGCATCACACACTAATTTCCAAGCAACCATCATTCGGAATCCACTCAAATAGGAAAAAAGTGGATTTCTATCTTCATGACAGGTCTATATAAATGTAGAGTAGTGTGATGACGTCATGTCATGGGCGCTGTAAGGTGTGATGCCGTCGCGTCATGAGCGCTAGAAGGAGACAGCTTGGAGAACAGGGGCGGGTCCGAGTGAAGGAGAGGAGCCGCCCAAGGGGGTACTTAAGGGGGACCCCGTGACGAAGGCATGGTCGTTGTGGGAGCCCGGAGTGTGGATCGGCTGAAGGAGGTCTCTCCCGCTCGCGACCGGACGGTGTTGGCTGAACCCCCGTCCGCCGGTAGACGAGTGGGAGAGCCGAAGAGATAGCCGAGAGTAGGCCTCGAAGAAGTCTGTGAGAATCGGCTGAGAGTGAGTGGGGTTCTTCTCTTCTCGGCCGGGCGGTGTTGGATGAACCCCCGGCCCGAGAGAGTCCAAGGGATAGCCGAGGTTAGGACGAGTCGAGTTTGGGGGTCCGCGGGAAGGACCGAGCAGAGAGAACACCTACCCCTGGTGTGAGCCGAGTGTTTAACCCATGTTAACGAAACGGCGAAAGCCCTTGCAAGAAGTTCTGTCTCCGCGTGGTTCTACGACGCAACATATATACACAGCAGTTCAGGGTAGCCAGACTGATAGCTCCACAACTAAAATGGTGTTCGACAAGTTGTCTTTCGTCTCCCAACATGATTTCTTCCCTTAACTAAGGACTTGTTATCTTTCACTCGCAATATGATGCACTCCTGTGCGGAACGACTTCACGCCTCGTGCATCGCACTCATTTAAATAACAAGCTGAAGGCAATATACATTACGCTGCCCAACGCACATATTATTCACTGGCAATTACCAACAACTTACCTATTCTTAATTGCGGTGACAAAAACCTGGTAAAAATCAACTAAAATCCCAGTCAGTGATGATGATAATAAATGGCTCGACACAGCTTACAACGACAACCAGAGCACACAACTTGCAGTGCATGTACCTACACAGTAGGTGGCGCACGTTTTGTACCTGCATGTAGCTTCCCATAGGCTTGTCTCACACTACAAGGAGCCCTCCTATTTTGCTTTCTGCTCCTCCGTATTCGTTCTTTTAACTCCGTCGGTCTTTCTTTCTTAATTTTACTTCGGTTTTGGTTGATATTTAATTATTTACTTCTCGAAGGTCACCAACGCAGCTCAACGGCGGGTACGGTGGGATGCCATGAAGGCGAGATGTTAACCGTCTCGCCTGGTATGCTGTATATTTGGAGTTTGCATGTTCTCCCCGGGGTCACGTGCATTTTCCCTCCACGCGTCTACGCAAGGTCCTCAAAGTTGGAATCGACACTCTTCATACGCGACGCGCTCCTGCGGTCACACATGCGATTTTGAAGAAGCACTTCAAGCAGATGCCAACCCGCTACACGTTCAACTACTTTTTTGAGATCGATGAAGGGCTCATTAACATGAGATACCTCAACTTGACGCCCTCTAGTGAGGTCCTCCACGTCCCACTGATCAAGCAGGAGAATGTCGAACTCGTCCGTCGATTGATTCTACATATGTTCGGCAACAACGTAGACACGATCGAGAAGGGGACGTTGCAATCAATCCCGTTTGCCGACGGCTCCTGTCGGCAGCCTGACGATGAAGAAATTGCTCTCGCTCTCAAAGAAGTTATTTTCGATTCCTACGGAATACCTGCCATATTACCCGGCAATCACGAGCGAGATCAGCTCGCAGATCGACGACCCGATTCAGCAAGCAGTCCCCACCCGCTCGAACAAACGCCAGCTTGTTTCGATTGACGCGATGGTGGATCTGGATACCACTGCGGCATCGAAGGCGAAGCCTGGGTGTCCCTTCTTTGCCAAACATTAGCATAAAAAAACTGTTATCGAAAAATTAATACTTTGAAGAGTGCATCATGTACAGCTCGTCGAGATTAATCGATTGTCACATCGCCGATCATCAACAGACTAAAAATGACTGCATCACGGACATTATGCGAGAGCCGGGGTACTATGGTACCCCGGGGGTACCGCCACAAGGTTCATATGTTTCAGCGGAAATGTAATCGCAACAAAGACACACACATACATATACATGCACTCATGCATACGAAGGTGGTACAGTTATATTGAGCTTAATATACAAAGGAAATTTAAGAGACCATTGATGGTGCAGCTATTTGTATTCAGTTTTGAGTTGGCGCATTCATCCCGGACACAACGTTCTACATCGCATCGCGCTTATGTTGCAGACAGACCGTTGCGCGGATGCCGAAAAATCATGAACATCAAGCGTGGTGCCGTCATCGATTGTTCCACGCTTGGCCAACACTGAACCAAAGGAAATTTACAAAAACATGCTTTAGTACGGTGGTGGGGGGACAATGCACCGTCGCACGCAACGGGCAAGAGGCGGGCTACAGAATGTTGCCGTGGCAGAGAGACCCTTGAAGATAACCCGAGGTCAGGGCGGCCAGCCTACGACTGCGGCGAATGAGGAAAACATCAAGGCCTGTGCGCGACGCAGCCTTGGAAGGTTTTGAAAGACTACCGTGGTTCTGTTGCAGTGAGCTGACAACGAAGGGCCGCCGCCTATGTGATCAGTGGAAACAATCTCGGACGATAATTTGGGGCGAAAAACATCGGGGGGTGTGTACGATGGGTCTGCAGAATCCTGACGTGCAAAAATTTACAGGAAGAGGCTGATGCAGTCTGATGACAAGCATGGGCCTCGTGAAGGCAGAGGAGAACATTGTTTAAAATGCGATTTATTACCAGTGGCGAGATGAAGATTCACCATTACGACCCCCACTGCTAACAGCAATTCATTGACAGACGAATGCCCAGTTGCAGACCTATGCTGCATACATCTTGTGCCCAACAGGGACAGTTACCACTGGGCATCCCTTTAGCTAGAGTGCAGCAAGGCATTGGAATGGTTGAGATGAAGATGTGAGAGGTAAGGCACTTTGAGTTGCTAATCATTTAAGCAAGCCTCATATTCGGTTTATCTATTGTCCGATTAATTATCCGTAAATTGGTTTATCCTGGGCCGGCAATAAAGTACTTGGTTTTCTCTTCCAATTGGATATTTAGACCGGGGTACTGCCTCCCCCGCCCCCACATTTTCCCAGGATAAACAGACTTTGTATATATCAAAATCATTATCTTCATGCAATGGAAACATCCGACTTCTCCAACACAACATGGAATTCACGTCAGAGGTACTCTGTAGGCAAGATCAAGCACGCCATTTTTTTGGGATGCTAAAAGGCGTGCGCTGTAGTATATTGACCGCACGCCACACAGGGAGAGACGATCACAGCTCAATGTTACGCAGAGGTTGCTCCACATCGACTGCACAAGTCAAAGAACAGCACGGGGTAATAACACTCGAGGTGAGAGACACGATCGGTGACACGAAGAGAGACACGGAGAGAGACGAGCACAGATAACCACGAAGAGCGGTACGAGAGAAAGCCCCCAAAGAGAGATGACACAAGACAGTAGGGAGACAAAGACCCCCCCTATAGCCTGAACAGACTGTTGGAGCAAGTGCTGTTAGCCAGCACCAATGAAGGCCGGCATGGCACACGAGGGGGTGTGTGGCCAGCGCCACACCTGACCGCCTTTGTTTCCCTAGTAGCGATTGTTTACACACCGCACTAGGTACTCATTTGATGCTGAGTCGATCTAGGGGAGGGCCAGGAACGGTTCAGATAATCGTCACTGGTGTTGGCTGTGAACGTGAATTGAACTCGGGTCGCCGGGTTCGTAGCGCAGCACTCTCACCGCTACACTCCCGCACGCACACACACACACACGACGAGAGAGATATGATGAGTTTATGAGACACGGGTATAGAGACAGAGACCAGAGCAGAGATCAGTAGATAGCAAAAGAGACTCGGGAAGACAGAAAGAAAGAGACAGACATCCTGCGACCTCCCAAATTGCCTTTTCATGACTCCCTTGGGCCACTGCTTGGGAAGCATGGAACTTGCTTTGAATTCAACAGTGGGCTCGGATATGCTCAATATAAATGGACAGGACAATAGATAGGACTCCACTTGCACGACTGTGACAAAGCACCACGACTTGATGCGCCACTTTTAGAGTCAAACGCTAATTTGTTTAATTAAGAAAGCTCGAGTGAGACGAGGGATGACCGACTGCACTAATATAAAATCTAAGAATTGGCAGGTAGTGGGCTCAGACAGCCAAATTAAGACATTAATGAGTAGAGTAACACAATACTCATGTCAGTTAATCATAGCACCCACATATTGAAAGGAAACCAACGCTGTAACCTTTCATAACAGGCATCCAGCATTGATATAAAAAAAATACAACATCCTATACACACTGGGGTATCTCAAAGTGCTTTAAAGATAATACTAACATCACATCTCAATTTTTTAAGGGCGCCTCCCCCCCCCCAGTGGCAGCTGTCCATGTGCAGTACAAGGGTCACTAAAGACCTGGCCTGCAAGTAGGCATTAGCATGCCAATAGGGGACGATGATTTCTGAGAACGATTGTTACAAAGCACCCTTAGACAATTATTTAACAACGCTTTATACATTTTAATTATTATTAGGGGGCGATTATTTCTGCGTGTAATTCCAATGGAGAAATGTGGGATTTTCTTAGGAATTTGGTACATTTAGACTCCAGGACGCGATGGCCTACCCCCGTTTCGAATAACGTCACGGGATCTTTCACGTCCACCGTGCAACGGTAAACACACTGGCGGCATTAACCAGGGCAGTTGCTCGGGCTCGAACCACGAACAAGGGACAATAGCGCTACTGCTCGGCCCTTGTCACCGTCAAACTTGTTTCATAGCCCCCCCACCCCAAACTAAATCACGTAGCATCACCGGGGTTGCTGTTTAAGCCCCACGGAAGGGTTCTTTAAGTTGAATGAAACTGGGAGATGGCAGGGGGGTTGGAAAAAATTACAATCGAAAACTGGAATTGAAAAATAGCCTTGGTCCTGCTCGAAATGCTTCTGGATGACGAATGGAACAGTTATTTTTTCTGTTCCACGTTCCCCCCCCGCTGTGGGCCTGCCTGCCATGACGGTGAACAGTGAGCTGCGTGCGCCGCAATAGCACGCGTTCATCACACGGGTACACTAATCCCCCTCCCCCACCTCCCGCCAGTTATACTTTTTTTAAAGACGGAAACTACAAATGTAAGGTTATGCAACCGAAAACAAATGGATGCCGAAACCCGAGTGGGACGTTAACAACATCGTGTTTAATAGTCCATTAAAGACATTCATCTCTTTGAAAGCACTACTCTGAAAAGCTGGCGAAAGTAAACTAATCAATCAAATATAATTTAGTTTAGTGCCTTTCACGCTAAAATAGTGAAGGAGCACTCGAAAATATATTAAACATTAAATCAATAGAAATTTTTATTACACAATAAAAAGGTAGACGCATAAGTTAAACTTACAAAAAAACTAATTATCAACCCACTCCCCCGGGCGAATAAACAGGCCCCATAAAAACAACCATCACATGGTGGCTTCAAGCTGACAGACAGATCAAGAGAAGCCATTGCCTGAAACGTAATTATGTCAACTATAGTTTGTGTAAAGAGTGTTAATTAGGTTCAAATAAGGGCTAATTTTGTTTGGACAGCAACAAATGGTGACAAGCTTGGGGAGGATCTTGGGGAGGAGCTTCATCCAGGAGTGGATTAATCACGAATGACGGTCAAAATTATAGGATTAAAAAAAATGTACACCCATAATATAACTTTTTTTTGGTTAAACTCGCCTCCACCCATAAAGCCAATTAGTAAGGTTTGTCACGTAAACATAACATTCCAATGAATTACTAGTAGAGCACACCGGTGTTGGAGAGCAAATCCACAACATTTACAATCTGAGTACGACGTTTCGCCAGTAATTACAACTAGCTTCAACTAACTAGATTAATCCCCCCCACCCATTCGCACAAGAATGCTCACAAGTGACATCATCACATCTATCCCTCTGTTTAAGGAACGAAACAGCTTACTGGACAGCTCTAGATACAGAGCCTTGCCATGCATTGAAAAGCGAAAACGGGGCGGCCGATTGCCAGTAAGCAAATGACTGGAGTGAATTAACGAGTGCTGGTAAAAATATGAGAGAAGAGTTACTTGATCCTTTGGGCGGCATCTTCTGGTAGATGTTATGGGGGAGGGGGGGTATTTTTAGAGCTGCTTTTTCATTTAGTTAACGTCCATCCCCGGTGCCTTCGATTATCACGGATGTCTACGTACGGCGCAAAAGAAGTTCAACATACATACATACGGGTGGCAGCAGGGGTTACCTTGAGCTGGCTCAGCGAGTGTCCCGCACGCTCGCTCATCAATAGGAAGTCAGGGACCCCCGACGGCTCCAGGAGGATGTACACGGGCACTCTCTTCTTGACGGACACTTCCACAAGGTCACGGAAAATCTCCACATCCGTGAAGGCGTCCATCACCAAAGCAATCAGCTGTGAAGGCACACACGAGACACGCACACACATGCTTATTTTTATTTTTACCTACGTGACTTTACCGAAAAAACCTAAGAGTATGTTGTTTTTTCTCAACTATTTTCATGTTAAGGCTACGAGTCAAGCAATAGAACCAATAAATGATAAGTGTAGTCAATTACGTAACTATTCGGTATCCCAGCTCGACTTTAATGACACTGGATATAATGACCTCTTGACCTTATTCAAAAATAAGGGGGGTCATCTTCTTGCAACGGCACGTGTTTGAAAATGGCGCCTAAGGGCATTATTTCATTAGAGATGGCTTTTGCTGTATAAAAAAAAAACATTCCGCAGGCCAACTTGTGCATTAGATTCAAACCATGCAGCATCAGCGTTTGGAAGGCACGCGAACGAGATTACAAGTAAACACAATGCAGCCACATGCTCCGGGCACTCAACGTAATGGTACAAATGCGTTGTTACCTCACCAGCATCCCCTTGCAAACGTTTGCGTATCAAATTCGCTACGGTAGTTGGTCCTGAGTAGGGGAGAATTTTATTTGCCATTTTAAACACATGCAGATAATTGCATATGAAGCGAATATTGCTGAAACGTCTAGTTGAATAATGATGTTGATGTTGTATTGTGTGATTACACTGTAACTAGCCATAATATTACCGAATTAAAACATCCAGCCTCACACCACCAACCTCACTTTCCTGCATCGTCAACAATATTTTCTCGCATTGAGGGGGCATCTCATATGATGCTCCATTTGACTGCAATCCATAATGACATTTGCAATGTGCTTTGTAAAAATTCAGAACATCAGAAACTGCAAAATATTTTAAAATGTGAACTACTCTGGCTAATAGAAAAAGTCATATACTTCATAGGCCTGTATTTTTATCAAAATAATTACTGATCTCCTGAAATTAAAATAACCGCAATATAATGTAAATATTGATGGCTTTTCATAGGCTGCATTAGAGTTCTAATTTGCACAGATTAATATAGCCAGCAGAAGCACCCAAACCACATTAGAATGTGGTGGTTTAAGGAAATTATTATCTCAACAGCTGAGACATATATATACCTATGGATGCCCCGATCCACTCTCACTCAGCAAATTTAGTATCCTTGTTACCACTGTACTTTTCCTATGACTAAGTGACGGAAAAATTATTCCACAACCGCCGACTACACCGCATGCGGGAGAAGTCGATATTTTGACACTCCCAGTATACAGTTTAGTCAGCATATGTGTGTGAAAGTGTGTGCATTTTCATTTAACACAGAAGCTTCAAGCGTACTGCCATGGGCTGCTTCTCATTCATGTACTTTCTCACTGCAAAGGCAGACAGCAAATATCGAACTATCTAAGAGTGGAACTTAATTACATTTCTACATCCATGATGGATATTCAAATGGCAACCCGTGGGCTACACCAGGCCTGGAAAGGCACTGCACAGCGAACATTAGTCAGTGGCGAGTGGTATCTGAACCAGTCTTAGCTCACCTGCCTAACCCTTCACTAAGCCGCACTGACCGGCGTGAGTGAAATGTGGTGAAAGAAACCCCGTGAACGACATGGTTTGAGAATGCCTTCATCCAGGAGAGGATCGACAAAGGGCCGCACATTATCATCGCTTTTCTAATGATAAAGCCTTGTCGACGTACATTAGGACCCCTGTTAATGATTAATCGCTTAACGATGGGCCTCCGTAGAGCCCAACGTGTTCGCTTACCGACCATTCCCCTGTTAACGACAGGCTGTTGTAGGTACAGTAAATAGGAATTAATGCATTGATTAACCGTGTTTCTTTTAATATTACGTGTTTATAATGTTGTTAGTATCTTTACGTATCAATATCCATTGTTTAAATATTACAAAGTAAGTTTCTGGGGTGAAAAGGTCACTTTCGATGCTATCCAAACGAATTAAGCCTTTAACGTGTAATTCCTATACTCGCTTAATGACCCATATCACTTAACGGCCGGTTTGGTGGAACCAATTACTGTCGTTCAGAGCAAGGGGGTTCTACCGTATATTCAAATATAAACGGCGAAGATAAATTCTGTCAATGGAGGAGGACCAACCGACTGCGCTCCCCTGGCCAGTTTGCGCACGCCGTCGCGGCAGCTGCCGGCGCCCTCGCCCACGTAGGGCTGCAGGTAGACCTCGGCGCGCGACACGCCGCGGTACTGCCCCTTGTAGCACGGCCAGCCCAGCTCCAGCATGGGCGTCGCCACGTCCGATTGCTCGGGGAAGTAGGTGGAGGCCACGGAGCCCTCGTGCTCCTCCCGCACGGCTCCGTCCTCCCGCTCACGCTGCGTCCGCTCGGCGTCCTCAGTGTCGTCGTCGTCAGCGGCAGCGGGCGGCGCCACGGCCCAGCGCAGCAGCTCCTCGATCTCGCCCTCGCCCAGGAAGCCGCGCAGGTGCTCCTTGAGCACGAAATCGTCGTAGGCGGCGCGGCCCGAGCGGAGCAGGGCCTCGACGGCTTCACGTTGAGCTTCCACGTACGTCTCTTCGGCCTCCCGCTTGGCGGCGAGCCACTGCTGCGAGCTCCACTGCTCCTCCAAACACTGCGAGCCCTCGCCAGCCATCGTTTTGTTTCTTGTCAGCGGCGGGGTTTTGCCCAACGTGTCCCCCCCCCGGTGACTTCTTCTTGGGCACGAGTGACGCTAGTTCTGGAGAGAAAGACGAAAGAAAGGAAAAAAATCAGGCATAAAGCTCGGATTCAGTAATGCTGTCCAGCACGTGTCTGCACTTGGAAGTATTTTATGAGTAGAACAAAAGCTGATGAGTAGGGATCAGGGTATTTAGTATGTATCTTTGCAAATAGTAATTTATACATGGTTTATGTCTGAAAGTGTTTGGCAAACCTTTGATCGACTTGGTTTTCACGGTGGTAAATTCCTAATCATAAAAACCTCATACATTGTTTTAATATTCATATTGAAATATTATAACAAGCGTAATCCTGAATGCATGATATAGCATGTCACAGACAGAAGGCTGGCCAGAGTGAATGTATAAATCATTTCAACCTCGGTTGTATTTATAATTGAAACATCTTTCAAAAGGTCTAGCTCGTAGAGCAGAGGTTATTTAACTTCAATTCTAATCAGTTTTTCCATTTTAATGTGCGAATATTATAATTGTCTAACATTTCAAGTAAAAATATTCGTTCATAAGTTCAGACCTTGGCCAATCCATTGCTGGATAAAGGCCACCCCTTGCTGTGTCTGGTCATGGGGATGGTTTGATTGTAATTTATCATGCTGGTCGGTGTGAAATTACTCTGGAGTTTCGTGGAAACTGTTGGTCAAGTTATAATAGTCAAGTACTGTGTACGTCAATCCACTGATGGATGATGGTCACCCCCCCAAGCCACGCAGAATGTGAGACTTATTTCACCACGCTTCTCCATGCTGGTCAATGCAGGACATTAAAGGCAGGGAAGCACAGATGTGGAAGATGAGTAAAGTACAGTACAGCACAGCATTGCTCACCATATAGTCACACAGCCTATAACACCTGTTATCCACAGCGGTCACACATCCTAGCACTATCCAGCACTAACCGTACTTAGCTTTCGAGATATGACAAGTCCGGGTGAGAATAATTGTAATATTAGTGAGCATTAAAAGATGACCAATCATGGCCATTTGCCCCAGCTGTATAGCAAGGTTCATTGCATTTAACGATCTAATGGGTTTAATGTATTGCATAATTTGTTCATGTGTATGTATGTGCGCGCACACACAGTACGACACACACAGAAGGGATGCAAGTGGGGTTAAGTCCAATAAGCAGGAACCTTCATATCCTCAGCCAGAATGTAATTTAAGTCGAGAGGCTGTCCACCCACACAGTGTGGCATGAATCCAATTTGGAGATACACCGCCGCCTGCTCTATCGGACATTATTATTCACACCAGGAGTAGATGACCCACCCCAGGTGAATGCTGCCTCTCCCAAAGTACATCCATTCTTCAATATAGCGTCAACCGTTTGGACAGCGGTTCGTGGAATTTTGGTAGTTGTTTTTTTCCTGGTACTGCAGTTGAAACAATGGTCAGTGTTATACAATCCCTCCACATTTGTACACCCAGCAACATAAATTGGTACACCAGAGAGCCGATGGGCAGGTTGCATGTGGTGCGATAAAGTGTGGGTACTCCCACTTCTTCCAATGCGTAGTAGAACCAGTGTGGAAGAGCATACCAATACAAATTTTTCTTGCGTATAAAAATCGCAAAGCCATGCTTCCCTAAAATCTATCTACGGTACTCAATACAGAACCACAGGGCAATTGAATTGGATGGGGCAATTTTTCATTTTCCAAGAAGAGCTGGGGATTGATACTGTAGATGCTTATTTAATTGGATCTTTATGATTGGTGTGGTGGCAAAAATGGCCGTGATCCAGCGTTTTGGAGGATTAGTAGACCAGAGATTTGCAAAACTCCAAAATTCGTTTGACTGCAATGTGTGGACGAGATGGCAGTACAGCAAGTGGCTTCTTAAACCCATCAGTGTTTATCTTTGAGCGTTTTCTCCTCATCCATGGTGGGTTATCTCCGGATCATTGGCTTTCCACTCGCGTGCGAATAAAAAAAATCTGGCTCAACATCTGCATTTAAATGGCTTATACGGTGCTGCATATAGTGTACATTTCATGCTGATAACCAGGCGAATGCCCACTGTTCTTTGACCCTTCGTGTAATGGACACTTAAGCTTAATAAACACGCCATGGAAGGAGCAGTTCCGGTTTTATTTAATCCTACTGCTGGATGAGGGCCTCCCAAATGCAGTGTGGGTCCGTGGGGGTTATTGAGCCATACTGAGCGTAGAGTAGTGTATAGACGTGGGGACATATGAGCACAGTACAACAGTGGATTTTGCTGCACTGCCCTGGCTGCTGCCCACAACAACGTTAGCACCTCAGCTGCTGTGGTAAAGTAAATCAAACCACTACGATCTGACCGTTGTGGGGAGGCCCTCATCAAGCAGTAGAGTGGATATGCACTGATCACATAGCCCGAATTGCTTCTCGCCTGGCTATAAAGACGCGACTCCGTAGCTCTAAATGTTTAAATGTGGAAACAACGGCGCAACGCAACGTCATAATAAGGAAATCAGAGGCCATTTAACATTAACTTTACGGCTTTGCGGATACAATAAAAGCACTCTGGGAGCAAGCTTATCACATAACCGAAATGTGGTTGTATCATAAGTTGTAATTTACCTGCCCCCCTCTCAGTATTGTAATTACTGTGCTCCTTATATCAGAACTGTGCTTGCATACGCTTCCAATGTATATACAGATATGATAATTGGTTTTTTACCCTTTTATCTGGCAACAAAACTGACACCTTTTAAACAAGGAGTCATGTTTGCATTGACAAAAATACCTGCGGTCAGAATGCAAACAAAATATACAACTCTGATAATGTATGCACTGTCCTTGAAATTGATTGGTCCACACCCAAGACAGCTTTTCTTAAAAAGGTGTCAGTTTTGTTGCCAGATAAAAGGGTAAAAAAAACACAATTATCATATTTTGCTACTGGCAAAGGAGGTTCCAATTGCACTACCTTGTTGGAATCAAATCCGAGTGGTTAACGCACTGCAATCTCTGAGTTATCATCCAGTGGCGAGCGAAATCTAAACTCAAGTTGTCCTGGCCACCTCAAAGACAAAGATGCCCCCGTATAGCTTTAAGCAGACTGCCATTGGCAAGGTCACGTAGATATATAATAAAATATACCTACCTACGTGACTTTACCGAAAGAACCAAAGAGTAGTCACGAAAACTTCAAATCAAGATCGTTTTTGGCAAGCGCTATTAGCGAGTAGCACCTAATGAAGGCCGGCACTGTGGTACAACACGAGGTGGTGTGTGGGGGTGGCTAGCACCACGCCCGACCGCCTTTGTCTCCCCAGTGGCGATGTTTACTACCAGGCACACATTTGAGGCTGACCAGAACGATGAAGTATGGTCAACACCCCCTCGCATAGCCGACGAGTCGGTGAAGGCTTTAATCCAAGAAGTGGATTGAGCACACATCGATAAAGCACAACTTGTATTTATATTATTTTAATGCCGACTGTCTGCCGCTACTGCTGCTGTGTCCTGTACAGCGCTTTGAGATCCTTGATGAAAAGCGCGAAATAAATGGGATAATTATTATCGATCCACTGCTGGATGAAGGCCTCTCGCATGGGATCGAACGCGGGTCAGTTCACCTCAGGAGGCGAGGTCGCTCGCTCAGCGTTGGGCCGTGTTACAGCATATATTTATATATCAATGTAACATCATTAAAATATTGTTCATAATAATAATGGTATTTTAAATGTAACTTTGTAAAGTTCTTACCTCTTTAGATTTCCCTCAGCGGACGTACTTCGCCTCCGTCAAACCCCGCGCGGTTTAAAAAATAAAAAACCCCAATACCGCCTCCCAATTGGTCAGGCCGCCTATCACGTGACTCGTCAGCCGACCAATCGTGAGCGTCGTCGCGGGTCAGCGCCGATTAAACCCCCCCCCCCCTCGGCGGGAGGGGGCGGCTCAGGGTTCGAATGTCCGAGCTCTGATTGGTCGAGGTTGGGATATTGGGTGGCCAATCGGAGGGCCGCTGTTGGTTAATTCAAACAGAGTGGGGGGGGAGAGTTCGTTACAATCGTGGTGGTTGCCGTGGCGACAGCCAATGGGAGAGCTGGGATGGTAATGGGGGGGGGGGGGGGTAGCAGCTGTTGCCTTGCGACATCCAATAGACTGCATTGGACTTTATATAATTTAAATAATAATGTTGGTGTGTATTCATTTAAATGTTTAATTATGCTGCTGCTGTTTTTGGTGCGTAAGCACAAATAACCAACAAAAACAACCACCACAAAAAAACGTATTCGTCAATAACACCGTGGCCTCAGAAGGAAAACTACGTAATAGCCGCAACGTGTTGGGCAATTACTGTGTGCAATGAAGAAGGGGACATCGGGGCCGTCCATAAATGACGTCACGCGATTTTGGACGATTTCTGACCCCCCCCCCCCTCGTCACACGGCGTCACAAAAAGTCAGCCCCCCCCCCCCTCAAATATGACGTCACAAAGCTCTGCCCCCCCCCAAAAAAGTAAACATGCTTCAAATCGCTTTAAACTATTGTCATTGCAGTGCGTATTTAATGCGGCGCTGCACTCTGAATGTTGTAGGAGAAAACATTTATTTAAAAAGTCTATTTAATTAAGTAGAACGTGTTGTCTATATTTATTAAAGTTACGCATTTTGATGTGACGTCACATTTCTCAACCCCCCCCCCCTCGTCTCACACATCGTCACAAATGTCTGACCCCCCCCCCCCAGGTGCGTGACGTCATTTATGGACGGCCCCATAGACCGAAACGTCGTAAAGAGTGGGCAACTCTCACCTCGACACCAAGGTGCTTGGCCAGCGTGAAAGAGTAGGCCAAACACCCTATTAGCTATTGCAAGGGCAGTGGAATAACGTTTTGTTTTGCACAACCACATGTACCAACTAAAATTCCTGGAAAAAGTCAGCCCTCGCTGGTTTAGACAAAGCTGTAAAAAAAAATGTTCTGAATCGGTCAATTAACAAATGCGTGAAATACCAAATTATTATTCAATGTATCCCTTGCGTGTGAATGCAGAAGATTCGTTTTGATGGAGAAAATGGACCTTGCCCCGTTGCAGAGCGGTGTTATATTATGCGGCGATAATTCCGCCATCAAAATCACACAGTGGAAAGAAATGACCTTTAATTAAGGCCAAAAGGGCAATCATTTCTCAGCTAGTTGCCCCTGTGCTGCCAAATGCCTGTTCAGATGAGAAGATGAATTTTCGCATTAAACGGGGAAGAGGATCAAGGAAATCTGCTCGTGCTTTTGCCTTATTTCACCGCACCTCAGACGGATTATTTGAAGATGTGTTCATCAAACATGGGCCTCCTTAACTGTGATCATGAAATAAAAAGGATTAGATATCTTCTAAGAACAATTAAATCTGTAATTCGTCAACGTTGAAATGGGATGGTTTTCACAGGTCTCGTGCCAGATGTAGGGACATTGTCAGATATTAAAGGTCACCTGTCCACCATGCATCAACCAGGGACGCACCTCCGATTAGCACGGTTGGCTACGTACGGTGCGACAGAAGTTCAACATACAGCACAATGCATGGGACATTGACGGGGAAAAAAAACACTGATGTATCGAACACGAGATGTTTGTGATGAAAACAGTGCCGTGCATTCAAACATCTGAATGAAAACATCGATGTTTTTCCAACGTTTTTTTTAAAGAACTGTTTCCAGGAAAGACCAATGTAAATATTAAAAACAAATGCCGATTATGGAAGAAATGTATGAATAATTCACGATGAAATAGCAAATAATAAAAAAGCCAGAAGACTTCACATTTTTGGGGAGGATAAACGACTATCATTTACTGAGCAGAAATGAAACATTAAAAGTACAACAAATATATAAATCTAAATTAATACACGCACGATCTCCATTAACGTCAAATGTAAACGGATAAAGCCTGAAACTTATGCGAGTTTTGGCACGGTAGCAATGTCGTCTGTTTTACTTTAAAAGTCTGGGGGGCTTGTCTGCTCATGCTACAGCGTAATGATCGTCTGCTTACAGGGCGTGTGGTGACTGGAACAGGCCCCCATCAGCGGTGTGGCTCAATTGCCCAACCCCTGGATTGAAAGGGCGTCAGTGTGCGTTTGAGCAACGTACTAACTTGATGAATGGGTGCCACATTCCAAATACGAATTAATATGGAATTCATGGAGGGCACTCCAGACTTAAAAAAAAAGAACTGCTGAAACTCTCAAGAGAGGCTTTCTTGGGAAATTGAAAACGTTATTTATCCATTCATCAAAAACATCAACTATTTTTTTTTGTTTATAAATAGCCGTGCTTGTTGCATCTCTCCACTGGTTCCCAATCCAGATCAATTTCAGGATGGCACTCTCCATCTTTAATATCTTCCATAGACTCATTCCGGCCCACATCTTCCCTCTTTCTCATCTCACTCTGCTCCCATCCCTTCTCTCTCTGCTCCAGCAACCAAGGCTTTTTGCGAAAGCCTTGGTTGTTGTCGACGTCCTGCCCTTGTTGAATTGCAGGCTCTGGATAATCATTTATTCCCTTGACACGACTGATATAATAAATGCACTCTTTTGATACAAAGTCTTGAGATGCTGCCGCATTTTTAAGCTAATTCTAAATATTATTGTATCGCACGGTACTAGGAAGCTAAGCATTGTATCGATATGATATAGCAAAAAAATACTACGCTGGGTAGGACGTGCAGATGACGGAGGAGGGCCGGTTTTTGAGACCGGGATTGGATTTGTCTCCACTTGTCTGGCCACCAAGGGGAAGAGAAGACCTAAGGGCGAATGGTGGGAGGCTGTTAGGGCAGATCGTGAAGATCGCTTGTCTACTGTGCAGCAGCTGCGGGATAAGGCAGAGGGTTAACCGCGTTGGCGATGAGGTGTCGTGGCATGTCGCGACGGCTTTGGCCGCAATGACGTCCTCATCTTCGACTCTCAAACTGAACTGCAGCCAAAATGGTAATGTCTGCAGGGAGTTATGAATGCAGAAACGAAATGCCAACTCGTGCAAAGGACCTGACATATAATTGTTAAATTTTGTGCAAGTGTCAGCCAAAATCTCACATGTAAATATAACTAAACACCGCTGCGTTTTATATACAGCTGTGCGAACAAATATTGCCGTGGGTTGGTGGCGCTGTAAGCCCTGCCACCACAGTTCGATTCCCATCCACGATTAATATCAAGCGGCGGGTGACATCTGAACGAGTTCTAAGTCCTCCTTGACCAACTCACATTGACCATGGTGATTTTTTTTTTAAACCACAATAGCTGACAACAGGGTGAGAGGGGCGGGCGGGGGGACTTCCTGCAGTGTTGGCTTGAGAAATAGCTGCACACAACTATCACTATTGTAATTGAAAATAAATAATACATTTCCATGTCTCACTTGCAAAATATTGTTCAACAACCCTCTTGAAATTATTTTAAAACTTCCGTTGTATCTCACAGGGTGAGAACTGAAGATTCACAGTTTCACCAGGATAGTTTAATTTGCAAGAGTGACCCAGGGTCCACATTAAGGTTCGTGTAGGCCCTAGGCACTTCTGTTTTGAAGGCCTTCAGTGATACATTTATACTGGTAGGAACCACCTGGTTCCACCAGCCCACAGGGGATTATTGTGTCCGTCCGTTCGTCGTGCATCCAAAAATGGGAGGGGTGGGGCTGGGTGGAGAGGGGAGGGTGGAGAGGTGGTGGGTGGGAAGGGTGGGGAGGGGCTGGGTGGGGCTGGGTGGGGAGGGGCTGGTCACCCCGTGGTGCCCTTATAAAACTCAACGTTTAACCTACTCACGCCGGCTTGTGCCCGCCCTCACAGTCGGCCATATTTGCGGAATACACCACGCCGCCGTTGACCCTGGCCATTGACCGAGCAACCCAACGTTCCTACCAGCTCCCTCCGCAGGAATGTGTTACAGTCGATGCAGCCCCATGTTACAACCGGGGCTGTCAGTTGCTAAAGCTGATAAAAAAAACGTCTCAGATCAACCATAGGTCAACAACGCCGCGTGTCTTCCCTTTGCATTGCTCTCTATTGAGAATGAGATTGTGCGAAAGACGCCATTTGAAGTTATTGATAATTTTGCAATTAAAACAATCTCGAAAAGGTGCATCTCCGGTGTTTACCTTATGAAAAAAAAGGATCGACTCTGCTTCTGTATATACACTGTGCCTATTATTGCCATACATATTTATTGAAGAAGATATTTTGGTAAAAATTTGTTATCATACAAACAATAGAACATGGTAAAAAAAAAAATTTCTAGGCCCTAGACTCAGTGCCAACTACTCTGCCTATTGGATAACACGACCCTGACTAAATACAAAAGTGCGTGTTATGCAAGTACAATAGCAACACAAAACATAAATGATAAAAAAAAGAACACCTGAAATCACAAACATAACAAAAAAAAACATCTTTTCGTCTCAAATGTATTGATTCCGCATTATGGCTTTTTGCAATTTTAATCGATATCAGTTGGCTGAAAAAAAAAGTAAAACAAGATAAAAGTAAAATAAAATGTCTAAATCTCTTGCTCTATTGTCACATAACAGTATATTTTAAATAATAATAAAACTATTCAGATTGTGTTATTTAAAATACCTCAAATACCATTTTTATACTCACCATTCATACCCTTTGAAGCCCTCTGAAGGCATATTATATTAATCTTTGCACAGACAATGTTGATGGAATTTGTACAATCCCAGTCATAGCTTGATCAAATTCCACACTAAACATGTTTCAGATGCGAATGTCCCACCATTCACTACAACTTATCCCCAAAAAATAACGGAATATGGCTCTCTTTGAAAGCGGGATTGTGAATTTAATATAAACGTTACATGGCATGCGTTTATATGTATATATTACACCGTTCAAACCTATTATTTTAAATTTTACTACCGTTTATCGGCAGTTTCTCATCCTGAAACAAATTCCATTCGAAGTGAGTATTTATTTAAAACAGATTTTTTTTTCTATTTGAATAAATACAATGGTAAGCAGTTACTTAAAATAAGCAGGTTGCGTGCGGTGAGGTAAAGTGTGGGTAACTCCCACCCCTTCCGTGCATGTCGAACCGGTGTTTAAGATATATATTCTTGGTTCTTTCGGTAAAGTCACGTAGAAGGGAAATAATACAATGAAAAAAACAATACAATTCTCACGACGTTTCCATCAGGTGTGAAAACCACAGCAAGAAAAGTTGAAAAAATGCAGTGTTTAAGAGTTGGCCAAAATGCCCTCAGTCCAGGGGTCAGCAACCTGCGGCTCCGGAGTGGCTCGTTACCGACTGCTTCGTGACATGTGTGTAAAAACAAAGACAAAGATCCCCCGTATAGCCTGAACAGTTCGTTGGGGCAAGTGCTGTTAGCGAGCACCTCTGAAGGCCGGCACGGTACACGAGGTTGTGGGTGGTTAACATCATGCCCGGCAACTGCATTTGTCTCCCCAGTGGCGATGTTCACACACCGCATCAGGTACTCATTTGAGGCTGAGTCGACCTAGGGGAGGCCCATGACCGGTTCACATAATCGTCATTGGTGTTGGCCTTGAGCGGGAATCAAACTCGGGTCGCCGGGTTTGTAGCACAGCGCGCTAACCTGCTACACGACCGCTCCCCATGCATTGCGGCTCTTGAAAGATTGAGTTTTGCGCCGAATTCGAAAAAAAAGTCTCTAATTCTATTTGTTTTTTTCGGTAAAGTCACGCAGGTAAAAACATAAAATACAAATAAATTAAATCACGACGTCTTCTTGTGTTGCCTCCGCAACGTCGTGATTTAATTTATTTTAATTTATTTTTTTTACCTACGTGACTTTACCGAAAAAACCAAAGAGTATGGACCCTTGCAGTCACGAAAACTTCAAATCTAGAAGTCTCTAATTGTTCTTCTTGGTTCTTTCGGTAAAGTCACGTAGAAGGGAGATAATAAAATAATACAAATAAAACATAATAAAATAATACATTTTATTTATAATAAAACATTAAATTTATTATTTTATTATGTTTTAGTTTTTATTATTTTATTATCTCCCTTCTACGTGACTTTACCGAAAGAACCAAGAAGATGAATCCCTGCAGTCACGAAAGCTTTAAATCGGAAAATCTCTAATTGTTATGTTGGTTGTCGACCCCTGCACCTAGGCCACCTTCATAATATTATTGGCTCGTTTTTATTTTGCTTGTTTAACCAGAAAATCCTAAAAGTTTCAAGCACCTTTTTTCAGATGTCCTGTCAAATTTCAACAGAAGGGGGCAATGTTGCTACGTGTAACCCACATTTGTGTGTGTGTGTCATTTGCAAGTCATTATTAGCATCGCGCTATTTGGCCAACAGCATTTGCATCGGGCTCACGTTTAGCTTCTGGAGGAGACCAGAGCACCCAGAACAAACCAATGCGGAACAGGAGGAGGGCATCACAAACTCCACACAGTAAGGGGCCGTCCATAAATGACGTCACGCGTTTTTGGACGATTTTTGACCACCCCCCCCCCTTACGTCACACGACGTCACAAAAAGTCAGACCCCCCCCCTCAAATATGACCTCACAAAGCTCTACCCCCCCCCCCCCAAAAAACATGCTTCAAATCGCTTTAAACTATTGTCATTGTAGTGCGTATTTAATATGGCGCTGCACTCTGATGTTGTAGGAGAAAACATTTATTAAGAAGTCTATTCAATTAAGCAGAACGTGTTGTCTTTATTTATTTAAAGTTTCGCATTTTGATGCGACGTCACATTTCTCAACCCCCCCCCCCCCTCGTCACACATCGTCACAAATGTCTGACCCCCCCCTCCCCCCTAGGTGCGTGACGTCATTTATGGACGGCCCCTAAGGCACCCCAGTTCGCGGAATCGAACCCAAGCTCTTCTTGCTGTGAGGCCCTGCCACACCCTGCGTCCCCCCCCCCCAAGTAAGCTGAACCATGTGGCCGCTTGCACAAAACAAGCAACAATTCCCCTCGCTAAGCCAATGTTCATGTGCGGGTCCAAAGGAGGGGAAACGTCCACGTGAAGAAGTGTTTTATGGACACGCGTTCCAGTCCGAAATGTCACACTCGCCGATTTGTCTACAGATTGTCCTGCTCATAGTAATAATAATAATACGGAAGAACCCCTCTGAACGACGGTGATTGATTCCATGAAACCGGTCGTTAAGCGAGTACAGAACATATCCTCGTTAAAGGCTTAATTCGTTCCGATGGCATTGAAAGTTACCAGTTTTTCACCCAAAAAACGTAATATTTAAACAATGGATGTTAATACATAGAGATGCTAACATTATAAACACATACTATTGGAAGAAACACGGTTAATCAATACGTTAATTAATATTTACTGCACCTACAACAGCCCGTCGTGAACAGGGGAATGGTCGGTAAGCGAACACGTTGGGCTCTATGGAGGCACTACACTACAATACACTACACTATATACTACACTACACTATACACTACACTACTATACACTACACTACTATACACTACACTACTATACACTATACTTTACACTACACTACTATACACTACACACTACACTAGTATACACTACACTATACACTACACTAGTATACACTACACTATACACTAATATACACTACACTACTATACACTCCACTACAACACACTACACTAGTATACACTACACTAGTATACACTACACTATACACTACACGTTGGGTTCTATGGAGGCCCGTCGTTAAGCGATTAGTCGTTAACAGGGGCGGTCGTTAAGAGGGGTTCTGCTGTACTCTGTATCTGTGGAAAAGAATTGATCTCGTTTTGTTTGGGCGTGTAAATATACCAACGGGCGCTACTTGTTAATCTCTCAGAGGGAAACTGTCAATAGAGATTCATTTTATTATAAAAAAAAGCAAAATATCGAGAAAATATATAATTGGCACCAGCAGAACTCAGAAAGCAAGCAATACAAAACGCCTCGGTAAGAAAAACATGAATTATTAAAACGTGCGCACATGCCACAATATATCACCGCTCGCCACAATACCGTAATTGTTACAAAATCCAAGCAGACATGCAGCATTCAAATTGCCATAAAAATAGATATTTAAATAGATATTAGACCAGTTGCGACGGTGCAAATTTTAAGCGATTGACATCAAATCCAGGAATCAATTAAGAAAATTAACATTATCACACGGAAAGAATTATCACGTTCATCGTTCTCTCTTTCTGGAAGGCGCCGATTGGAAAGCGGTCATCTCATGGAGCAAGTCGGAGGCAATCGGTGCCTGGGCAAAAAAAAAAAAAACCCATCCGCTGTGTGCGGATAAATAACCGAGAGTGGAGAAAGCATTCTGGACAAAGGGCCAACGTTAGCCCAACCTCCATAATACAGGTTTTTTTGGGGGGTTAGATCGTGTAAATATAAATGTGTCGTTAACCCCGCCACCACCCGACACAGCCAACTAGTAAGGGTTGGCACATAAACAGAAAGTCGCCAATTCGTCACTTGTACAGCACACCGGTGTGTAGTGTATAGTGTAGTGTATAGTGTAGTGTATAGTGTAGTATACTAGTACAGCACTAACCGGTGTGTTAGAGAGCCAATCCACAACATTTACAATCTGAGCACGACGTTTCGCCAGTAATTACAACCAGCTTCATCAGGCGATGGCCAGATTTACCCAACCTCCCGTACGGTGTCATTAAATCTTGACTTGAAGCTTTAGTGACTGCAAAAATCCTTACTCTTTGGTTCTTTCGGTAAAGTCACGTAGGTAGAAAAAATAATAGATCACGACATTTCGATCGCCACACAAGCAATCGTCCTCAGGTGGGATAGAGATGGAAATGTCGTGATCGATTATTTTTGTGACTTTACGTGACTTTACCGAAAGAACCAAAGTATATGGTGTCATTCAACTTAAATCAATTATGACTTCCTCCTCATTCTGGATGAAGCCCCCCCCCTCGCCATGTCCGCTATTGGGTTTCATCACGTCGGTCATCGGTGATTCAGTGAATAGGAAGTGGGGGCAGGGAACGTCCGGCTCCGCTCATACCTTCACACTGAAGTTAGCCACGGCTGGGAATGGAACGGAGGTGGGACGCGTTGACAACCACCGCGCCACCGCTCCACACCCTCGCGACTCATGACGGCAGCGGTTCTCAAAACGCAGGTCGATCCGGAAATAAATGTTTACGCCTTTTGTTTTGGACATGAATTAATTTAAAGACAATTTAGTTGGGCAAAATACCCCGATTAAACTACGAATATCTAAATGCAACCCATTAACAAAATCATTGTTGTGCGCTCAAACTTAATTTGGAGCTTTCGTGACTGCTGGAATTATTCTTTATACGTGACTTTACCGAAAGAACCAAATAATTGTTGTGCGCCTTTTGGCGTCATCTGGTCCAACCCATGTGAGACTAGGCTCTAAGGAAAGCGGTCTCGGGTGTGGACCAATCAACTTCAAGGACAGTGCATACATTATCAGAGTTATGTTTTTTGTTTGCATTACGACTGCAGGTATTGTGGTCAATGCAAACATGACTCCTCGTAAAAAAGGTGTCAGTTTTGTTGCCAGATAAAAGGGTAAAAAAAACAATTATCAAAAACATTGTAGTTGCCTTTACAAATTTTTTTTTATTTTCCAATATATATGAACAATTGTCGTATTCCTGGTATTTTAAGAGATAAGTGAATGTATCTTGTCACCAAGGGGGGTGCGGCGGCAGGGTTGTGTGCCCGCGGAAATGTTTGCATCGGCCGAACGGTCCGCGGCCCGAACACGTTTGAGAAACGCCGATCTGGAGAGGCGTGGAAATTGAAACGGACCCACGGGACAATTTTTAAACGCGAAGCCCCAAGCAGCACCGACGCATTAATATCCAGACGGTAATGGGTTAATGCGAGCTTGATTGCATTTCATTTCACACTTGGAAAAGAGAAAAAAACGACCGTGGCGTTGCTCAAAGGAAACGTGACTCATTTGCTACAGGCATGTTCTTGCAGATAAAAAATAAATTGCCAGACCGTACGGTAGAGGTATAGTGCACACACGGGCACGATTGACACACGGTACGGTGTGCGTGTATATATAGCGTGTACACACACACATACACGCTACTACGCTGTGCGTCAGATGGACAATCATTTAACAAGGAATGGAACTCGCTTGAGAGGGGTCCTTCGGAGTGGAGATGCAGCAACCAAAGCTGCCCGTGTGCAGGTCCATTATAACGTCGTAGGATCGTGAGAGGCTGGTGGTAGATTGGGGAGGATTTTCACTTATCTGTTAGAGTTTTTAATAGACAGACGAGACAAGAAGTCACATGAAGACGGACGCTTGTGTTGCCTCCGAAACGTGATTTAATTTGTTTAAATTTTTACCTACGTGACTTTACCGAAAAAACCAAAGAGTATGAATCCTTGCAGTCACGAAAACTTCAAATCTAGAATTAATGCCCTCTACGGGTAGGATTTTCACTTATCTTTTAGAGTTTTTAACAGACAACGAGACAAAAAGTCACATGAAGACGGAAGCTTGTGTTGCCTCCGAAACGTCATGATTTAATTTAATATAATTTTTTACCTACGTGACTATACCGAAAAAACCAAAGAGTAAAGAGTATGGGGAGGCTTTCATCCAGCAGTGGATGGACCACGGCTGATGAATTGACACGATTTAGCCCCGTGCGTAATGAGAAGTATTCGACGGATACATTTTCACCCTGACAAATAGAAACTCAAAATACACTTCAGACTATGGAACTATCAGGCTTTCTGGTCTGTTATCCAGCATACTGTCAATTTGTTTCATCAGAGAACTATGTAGCCTTGAAAGGATGTCTCTTCGATCCCCTCGCCTGCTATGAATGCGCTGTAGTTCATGAGTCCAAGACCATATATGTCACTTGTCAGAGCCACTTGAAGTTGGCATCACCTTCGTGGTTCCAGTAACAGTTAATTACGTGATGATCATTTGAAATGAGTGGTATAACAAAGAATCGACTCGCATTAGCCGTATAAATGCACCGGTACAAGTAAAGTCATGGAGAGATGTTAACTGCCTCGCCTGGTATGGAGGAGGTTGTGGGTTCGTTCTCTACCCTGACGCCTGCTGTATATTTGGAATGTTCTCCCCGTGGTGGCGTGGATTTTTCCCCGGGTGCTATGGGGTTTCCCTCTGCATTTATAATCAACGTGCGTTTAGAGTATTAGGCTGCTTACTGTTTGGTTCTATCGGTAAAGTCACGTAGGTAGAAAAATAAAATAAGAAATCACGACGTTTCGACTGCAACACAAGCGGTCATCCTCAGTCGGAAAATATATATATAACGTCTTGTTGTAACAGCTCTCTCGCTGATTCAGCAGTTTCACTGCTGGATTATTATTTTTTCCGCCTGAGGACGGCCGCTTGTGTTGCGGTCGAAACGTCGTGATGTATTATTTTTCATTTTATTTTTCTACCCACGTGACTTTACCGAAAGAACCAAAGAGTATGGATTCCTGCAGTCACGAAAGCTTCAAATCAGGATATTAGGCTGCTGTAAATTTTTTTACACGATAAGCCACTTCGTTGAGCCATCATTAGTGACAGCCAGGGCGCATTTGAAAAAGAGCTGTACAGCTCAGTGGGCCTTACCTGGTCAAATAAAAACAGCAGCAACTACTGCTCAGGCCCCACGGACTACGGGGATTGGTTGGTACTGCCCCAGCTGTCTCCGTGGCTCTTGGGTCCCATGCCTGTGTGCCTTGGGAGTTGCTCTCACTCCTCTCTCCCGGGGGTTGTTCAAACTTGATCAACGGCAGACCCATTTCTACCCTTAATTATTTCGTGAAACATCTTGCGAACGTCAATTGCATTTGAACGCTACACAAAGTGTGTACCTACGTATGTCGAATTTCTTTCGCACCATACGTAGCCAACCATGCTAATCGGAGGATCGGGAAATTTGGAATTGTTACGTTGAACAAATGCTACCAGAAAACATTTGACGCAAAAGGCACATAGGCCGATGGATGGATTTAAATGCTGCGATTTGTACCCGGTGAGACATCTTTTTCGTTCATTTTTATTTTTACCCGAGAAAAAATTCTCACGGATGTCGCCGTAGCGCGACGAAGGTTGCCCGTTCGAATTCCCGGCGAGGCAAAACATGGGGCAGGCAATGGAGAAGGGTTAAAGAGGCTTTCATCCAGCTGTGGATAGATCAAGACACCTGATAATACAGATGGTTATAGAGGAATGTTGGTTTCACAGATATAATAAACGGACAATCATTCATAATATAGATTCTGTACATTTGGTGCGAGCACATAGCGTGCAATTACGTTAAGGTGTACGCAATTGTGCAATCAAACAATTGTGAAGTTCTTTGGAAGAAAGTCGCCCCGCTTTTCCTTCTACATTTTTTTCCCTCCGTCTATTCGAGGCGAGTAAAACAAAAGCATTCTTCGCGTACAAAACCGCTGTGGCACATTTGTAAAGCCAAGGGAACACGGAGCCACTTTGTGACTGAACAAAAAAAAACACAATCCCAGGAGATGGGTTTCAGGTCATTGCGGCAAGCAAGGAAAAACAGCACGCGGGAGACAAGCGCTATTCCAACCGATCCAAAATAAAACGCAATTTACACGTTTACATTACACACGGTGTCATCTGAAGTGTAACAAGAGTTATAACGTACATCTCAAATACGTTTTCTTTACGATACTGCCGCGTCGTTGTGGTCCAGCGCACTAGACTTGCAGTTCAGAGGTCGGCGGTTGCACCGCAGTCGACCGGGGGGTCACGTGAGGTGACGTGAAGTGTAGGAGAACTCATCCTCTCCCCCAAGGCGTTTGGCCAGTGTGGAAGAGTAGGCCAAATGCCCTCTGGAGAGGCTCACTAGAACCCCTTCTGTTGGAGGCCCTTTCCGGTAGCGGTACCTTCACATGTTATGCGTGAAATGTTTTATTCAAACAAATTGGCTTGACGGCACAAACAAGTTTATGTTGGTTTTATTATTTACGAGCTGCTTATGTACTTGCGTTACTATTTAGTGCCGTGCTTTATAAGCTTGTATGAAAGGGGTGGTGTGCACAAAAGCGAGCTCCTACAGCCAATGGGTTTTTTTTATCATTCTTTTTTTTTATCTTAATCTAATCCACTATGGCAGATGAGGTAAGTCAATTTGGGAACACGTTTTGGGGGGTAAAAAATCGCACGTCCCCCAGCAGCAGCAGCATCGTCGATTATGAACCAAAAAAAAGAAAACTTGCACGATCTAAGCGACCCGAAAATTGGTTCCATTTCGAAAAAGTTTTAAGCCTTAAGACAAACAGATCTATGACCCTGCCTCACCCCCCCCCCCCCCAACTTCACTCGTTCATCCAACGCCTCTCTCGGTCTTGGCAGGAAAATAATATATATCAAAAAACGGCCAATTTCACACAATCATAAAGGGGTTTCAATTGAAAATGATTGCGAAACAGAATCCAACTTCAAAGGCCAGTAAAGAAGGCAAACTCGGTCGACGATGTCAGCCGAACGAGGGGAGCCTTTTTCTTGCGACCGAAAAGAAAAGGAACGGATATCTCACGGTCCTTCGATACGGTGGGATTTCACCGATTCTATCTTAGATGTCTCAAGAGAGATAACACATGCCAAACACTGTTCAGTCACCTACAGCATTTGATACAAGCGGACTTGACAACTTAAAAAAAAAAGACAAAAATCAATATCCACAACAAATTAGAGCTTTGTCGTATATATATATTACATTTAATAGGCTTTGGTCCTGATTGTTTTTATAAAAATGAATACGTGCTTGTTAAAATACAATTATAATACACGAGCAAAAACGGCAGTGTAGAGACAACACAAATCCTCATCGATTGCCAATTTTCAAAATCTCTACCCCTGGGGATGCAAGGAATAATATTAGTTTTTTTTGTAATTCGTTTTTTGACGAACCAAACAGGGGTGGGGGAAAGGAGGCTGTGCCATTTCCTCTCGGCAAAAAATCGGCACAATTCCAGCGACGGTGGAGCTCTCGTCAATTTGGCCGGAATCCGGTAACAGGTTCCCCCTCATCGTGCACGACCGGTACACATTCGTCTCGTCTGACATGTACATGCACCACCTCCTGGAGGGGGGTGGGAGATTTCGCGCCCCACCGGCGCTGTGCACTAGGAACCCCGACCCCGGTGAACGTTTGTTCGTTTTTTTTCTTTCTCTCTCGCTCGCACCTTCCTTCGCGCGCACACGCTCCCGTTTCGACCGCCGCAAAAAAACCCGCCAGCCGCGAGTGCAAAACGCCAAACGGAGAGGTCCCGTCGCCCTCCCCGCTTGCTCCCGGTGCAGAAATCCCGTCGCGCCGTGAGCCGCGCCGCGACCCGCGGCCGCTACATCACCACGCAGCAGCTGTTCGACTTCCCCGCAAACGTGCTGTTTGTCCGCTTCACTTGCGGCTTCTTGGCACTGTTGCTCCCGTCGTAAGAGACGGCCGACGCTTCCCTCGACTGCCCGTTGACGGTGCGCTGCCTCGGCCCGTCGCGCTCTCGCTCCCTCTCCTTGCCGGCGGGCCTCTTCTTCCTTCCCTCCGTCTCCTCGTCCTCCTCGTCGGTGGGAATGTCCACGGCGAGCTGGTGCTTGAGACGGTCCTTGACGCGATCGCGCTTCAGTTCGCTCAGCGTCTGGCTGTCCCTGTTCGTGTCCCTGCCGGCGTCCCGGCCGGCGTCCCGGCCCGCGTCCCTCTCACGCGACGGCTCCCTGGGCCCCCTCGACCCCGCGCCCCCCCTCTGACCCCTGGCGCCCGCCTCGCCGGTGCCCACGGACAACGAGCGCTGCTCCACGGACGCGGGAGGAGCGCGCGCGTCCGCCGGTGCCGTCACCGCGATCGCCCCGGCGGTGGCCGCCCTCTCCAGTTTACCGCGCGGTTCTCTCTTCGGCTCCTGCGATGAGGTGCGCGTCCGGGTGACCTCCTTGTACAGCGCGGCTTTCGAGCTCAAGGGTTTGGCCGTGGCGGCGGCGGCGGCGAGGTCGGTGGAGGCGTCGCCGCGTCGCGCTCTCTCTCCGTCCGCGGTGGCGCTGGCGGCCCTTTCGGGCGAAGTCACGCTGGAGACGGAGTCACGCTTTCGGGCCTTGTCCTGCGGGGCGGACGATGGGCGCTTGCCGTTCGTCTCGGGCCGCGCGGGAGACTCCGCCGTCGCTCGGGAGTCTCTCTTGTTCGGAGATTCCCTCGTGACATTCTGCAAACGAGCGGGCGGGCGGGCGAAAGAGAAAGGGTTGAGCTTCAAAGTTTCTGGCAGCAAGGGGCAGGAAAGAAGCATATCACCAAATTTGTAACCCCTTCACAGATTTACCTCCAGTGGGAAATGATTTTTAAGATCATTTATTTAGGCATCTGCCCACCCCTCCCCCTCACCCCTTCCTTTTCTTTTTACTTCTCCCCCCCACCCTATCCTTCCCCTAGAAGGTTGTCCGAGTTAAGGAAGTAGACACCAGGGAGGTAGACCTTATTGAAACACAGAGACAGATTCAAAATTTAAAAACGTTGGTGATAACCATTGTAATTATATTTCAAAATTTTTTCACGAATTAATTCATCTGTACACCCTCAAGGTCGTTAAGATCTGCAGACTCCGGCCCTTGTGTGCGTACCTCGATCCCGGCTGCGTTCCTGGGGTGAGTGGCCCCTCGCTTTGGCTGTGCCACGGTGGTGGAATTCCCTACCGGTGGGAGTTTGTTTATCCGACAACGTGGACACTTTTAAGTCTCGTCTTAAAACCACGTATTCTATTTAGCGTCTCTGTCTCGCTTGGCCTTTCCTTATTCTTACAAGGCGCCTTGAGACATTAGTGGAGGGCGGCTTACAAATACATGTACATTGTTATTATCGTCACTTCGCATTGTGTCAACACTACTGGTGTCAATTCCCATACATTACCCTCTGCTTGAACCCAAATCGTCTGTTCAATAAAATATTTAGCAAAAAGGTTTCTGGTAGCACGGCAGGGGGGTGGGTATGTTGTTCCGTGTGAAATCCCAATCGACTAACTTTCAGGCGATCTTGTGCAAGAGGATGTCGGGCGAATTGGTTACCTGGAGGGAGTTCATGCAGAACAGGGGGAGAACACAGCACGACCTCCACACGGAAGGTTGTCCCAGTCGGGAATCGAACCCAGGCCCTTTCTGGCTGCGAGGCACGTTTGCCACCACTGTGCCACCCTGCCGCCCACTGTTTCTACAGCTATCAAATCATCACATTCAAATGCAACAAAAAATTCCGGGCTATGCGTTGCGTTGCTCTGTGCAGTATTGTACGGAACTTAATGCATGTACGTTGGACTTCTTTCACAGCGTACGTAGCCAACCGTGCTAATCTGAGGTGCGGATTAATTACATTGTTTTAATTCATTATATAAAATGTTAATTTCATTGCAGTGCAGTGCTTCATACTGCAATGAAGTGCAGTCTATTCCAACACTGCAGTGCCTCGCGTGCTGCAGTGTGTTACAGTGCATTCCAGTGCAGTGCGTTCCCATGCAGTATATTTCGATGCAGTGCATTGCCATGCAGTGCATTCCGATGCAGTGCGTCGTAACGCAGTGCGTCGCGACGTTGGCTGCCGCGCTGCCACTCACAGGGTCGCGGTTCTCCTGGTCGCCCTCCTCCGTCATGTCCTGCCGCTCCTGCCACAGCTTGGCCTCGTCCTGGTGCTCCTTGCGGTAGAGGCTCGTTCGCTCGCCCAGACTCGCCTTTCTCTCCAGCTTCCTGTCTCGCGCGCACACGCAGGGAGAGACGGTGAGAGATAGAGTGGGTGGGCGGGGGGCGATTACCGAATGATACCTCCTTTTCAACTGGCAAATCTGAGGCGAGCCAGCGCAGGAACCCCTCGCGTTGCGAGTCGTCTTTCTCCACCGACAGCATTTTGTGCCCAGCCGGAAACCAGAGGGCGGTTAGCCGGCTTTGTCAGAGGCCATCCGGCTCTGGCCCAGGGCCGTGCAGGGCCAGCGGGCGAGGGGGGCGGCTAAAGGACGGGTTCGTTTACGGGCAGCGTCAGGCGGTAAACAACTCCGTGAGGACGCCGCGTGGTGTGGCCGTGTGGCCTTGTTGCGGCCGGGGTGGTGTTGCGGCCTAGGCTGTGACCGGGCAGTGTGGTTAGGTGCTGTGGCTGAAGCGGTGGTGTGGCCGGGTGGCGTGACCGAGCGGTGTGGCCGGGGCGCGGCGGCGTGGGAGCAACCGTACCCTCGGCTGCTGACACTGGAGGTGCGTCGCTGCAGGGAGGCGCGCGGCTTTCCCTGCGTGCGGAGAATGTTCTCCCGGCGCGTCTTCATCTCCAGCAGCTGCTTCCTCATCTCGTCGTTCTCGCACAGGTCTGGGTCCAATCGCGGGGCGACGGGGAAACGTTCACGAAGCGCCGATTTTTAAACGAACGAGTGCGAGTGCGTGTTAGGCAGCGAGTCACGGGAAAGAAGAAAAGAGAAAACTCCTAACGAGTAACCAGAAAAGAAAGATTAAAAAAACAAACGCAAAGCCGTCGTCGGCTTAGTTGACATCTCCTAGCCACCGCAGCGCCGCATTAATGTGACGAGAAAACGCGTCACATGCTCGCACGCACGCACGAGTGGGGGCACACCCTGCGACACATCTCGATAGAGCCGCGGTGTTCAGGCTACACCTCTGCGTGCTCAGGCTACCCTCTGCGGTGTTCAGGCAGCAGTCCTATCTGAGCCCGAACAATGACCAGCAGCTCAGACAATGTCACAGGGGGTGTGCTCAGTTGATGCATCGCCATGTGGAATTGGAATTACAAAAATGTGAGACTTCAAAAACACGTTTGACCTTCTACACGGCTGATTCACGTCAGTTCTTTGCACACCTTCAGTCGCGTCAACGCATTAATCGCCAACACGTCTCGCCCACTCACCCCCTCGCCCCTCCTGAGTGGCAAGCAAGCAAGCAAGCGGTCACAAACTCCGTCGTTTGTGACGGAGTTTTTGACTGGGGCATGGAATTAACTCGCGAGGCCCCTTTTGTCAATCCACTGCTGGATGGAACCCTCCCCCCCCCCCCCCCGCCACCCAAATTCTTGGCGAGTATGGTGGTCGTTCTGACTGTCGCCAATCGGTGACGCGGCCTCCAGTCGTGAGCGGCGCTTGTCGTCGCACAGGCTTGCGGTTCAAACTCCAGTGGCCGCCCCGGTTAATACCGCGGTGGTGGTGGTGGGGGTGGTGGGGGTGGGGGTGGTGGGGGTGGTGGGGGTGGTGGTGGTGGGGGTGGTGGTGGTGGTGGGGGTGGTGGTGGTGGTGGTGGGGGTGGTGGGGGTGGGGGTGGTGGGGGTGGTGGTGGTGGGGGTGGTGGTGGTGGGGGTGGTGGTGGTGGGGGTGGTGGTGGTGGTGGTGGGGGTGGTGGTGGGGGTGGTGGTGGGGGTGGTGGTGGTGGGGGTGGTGGTGGTGGGGGTGGTGGTGGTGGGGGTGGTGGGGGTGGTGGTGGGGGTGATGGTGGTGGGGGTGGTGGTGGTGGTGGTGGGGGTGGTGGTGGGGTTTGTGGTGTGTACTAACCGTAATGATAACGCTACTACGAGCCGCCCCGCTTGGCTGTGGACATTAACAAGATCGACGACGTCATTTGCGACGAGAAGGACGGCCGCCATGTGGCCTGCAAACGGGGGCCCGAAGAAATGTTTGCCAAGTTTTGAAAATGACGCCACGAAAATTACTCCGTTGGGGATTCCGCCCGCACAGCAACAATCGTCGGCCCCGAATGGCGGACTAACGCGCCAGGTCACGCTTGCTAACACGAGACCGAGTCCTGGTCTCTGGAGTTCTCAAACCTGATTAAAACAAAAACAAAATAAAATCTTATAACAAGCGGACGTCACGGCAACACTCACCCAGGGCCGTCTCTTCCAGGTTGGTTTTCCCTTTCAGGTTGGCGCCGTGACAAACCAAGACCTCAGCAACTTGCATCTGTACAAAGACAAAGACAAAGATTCCCTCGTATAGGCTGAACAGAATGTTGGGGCAAGTGGTGCGAGCGAGTAGCATCTATGAAGCCCGGCACGGCACATGAGGAGGGGGGTGGGTGGCCAACACCACACTCAGCCGCCTTTGTCTCCCCAGTGGCGATGTTTACACATCGCACCAGGTACTCATTTGAGACTAAGTCGACCTCGGGGAGGCCCAGGACCGGTTCAGATATAATCGTCACCGGTGTTGGCCGTCAGCGGGAATCGAACTCGGGTCGTCGGGTTCGTAGCGCAGCGCGCTGACCGCTACACTACCGCTCCCCACTGCATCTGTGCAAACACACACCCACACATACATGCCCGAACATGCACGCGTGAAGACAGTGCAAGTTAGCATTCACAAAGCCTCCACTGCCATCAAAGACAACGATTCCCCGTGTCGCCGTAACAGACTCTAGGGACGATCGCTGTTAAGCGGGTCGCACCTATGAGGGCCGGCACGGCACACGAGGGTCTTTGTCTTTGTGCACCCTCAGAGCACTTGGCCCAAACGCCTCCGATGGATACTTCTAGTTAATGTGCACACACTGCTGTCGGCGGCTGTGAAAGCGGTTCATAATTTAGGGTTACGCCGTGATCCTTGACCGCAGAAAGTGGCGGCGCAGTGGTTAGTGTCCAGTCTTTACGTGCACAAAAAACAAAGATCCATCGTAGGATTGTGGGCCAAGAGCTGCACATGAGCACAAAGACAAAGGTCCCCCGTATAACCTTAACACACTAATGGGGCAAGTGCTGTAAGCGAGCAGCGCCTATGAGACCCGGAATTGGCACACATTATCAGAGTTGTGTTTTTTGTTTGCATTCCGACCGCAGGTATTGTGGTCAATGCAAACATGACTCCTTGTAAAAAAGGTGTCAGTTTTGTTGCCAGATGAAAGGGTAAAAAAACAATTATCATATTTTGCTACTGGCAAAGGAGGTTCCAATGGTGAGGGGGTGGGTGTAGAGCACCACGCCCGGCTGCCTTTGTCTCCATCGTGGCGAATGTTTACACACCGCAGCAGGTGATCATTTGAGGCCGAGTCGGCCTAAGCGAGGCCCCGAACCGATTCAGATAACTGTCACTGGTGTTGACCGTGAGCGGGAATCGAACTCGGGTCGCCGTGGTTTCGGAGCGCAGCGCAGCGCTAACCGCTGCATCACCACCACTCCAAATACGCGTGCGCGCACACACACGCACACAGAGGCAAACACGCGCACACACGCACACAGAGGCAAACACGCGCACACACACGCACACAGAGGCGAACACGCGCACACAGACAAGCGAAAGGAAGACGCCACACACCGGGCATAATATATGAGACAGGCGGTTGCGTAACACGCGGGACATGTGTAGGATGTACGCACGCTCGCGCGGTGAGCTCCCATCGCTGGCTCCGAAGTTAAATTACCGCGCTCGGTCCCTTTTTTTTTGTCTTCACACCCCCCACCCACCACCACCCCACCCCGCAAAAAGCAGCAATTTCCTCCGGTATTACCGCATAATCTCCCTTCTGCAGCGGCGAGAAAAAAAAACTTCGGAGAGGGTCCCCCCCAATCCCCTGTGCAAGGGGGTCCCCCCCCCCTTCCTGCCCCACGCCGGTGTGCGTGGCAGTCGTGCGCCTCTGAGCAGTGCGTACCGCCGCGCACGAAGGTAACGGTGCGGGCCCTGCAATAAAAATGTATTGCCCGCGCCGTTTCTGGCCGATGCTCTTCCACAAAGTGGGGGGGTGGGGGAGCCACTCTGGGTTGCCACCCGCGGCACTTTACCACCCCGCCAACAGTGCGACCTGGCGATCGACTAAGCGCGCGACCTGGCGATCGACTAAGCGCGCGGTGTGGCGATCGACTAAGCGGAGGGGATGATTTGAAGATGGATATGAGCCGGTGACCTGCGGGAAAGCGGTGCGCGCGTGCCGACCCGTCACACCACCGCGACGGAATCTTTGTTGCCGCATGAGAAGCGAGAAATCACAATTTTGTGGACGCTTCTCCAGCAAGAGGTTTTTTTTTCCCTCGCTCGCAAGGCACCTTTTTATATTCTTTGGGTCTTTCGGTAAATTCACGTGGATAGGATCGAATTAATACAAATAAATGAACAAAAACCACGACGCTTCGATCACAACACAAGCGATTGTCAGGAGGAAAAAATATGTGTTGTGATTGAAACGTCGTGGTTTTTGTAAAAAAAAATGCATTAATTTGAACCTAAATTTTTATTTAAAGCTTTCGTGACTGCAGGGATTCATATTCTTGGTTCTTTCGGTAAAGTCACGTAGAAGGGAAATAATAAAATAATAAAAAGATAAAAAAAAATCCGCACATATTTGTATTATTTTATTATTTCCATTCTACGTGATTTTACCGAAAGAACCAAGAATATCATTTGAACCTATCTACGTGAACCGAGAGACCCAAAGAACATGAATTGCTTTAGTCATGAAAGCTTTAAGTCAAGATTCAAGGCACCTTTTTCTTTGAGCGCTGTGCAAAACTCAACAAACGGCCGGTCATCCCGTACTCAAGGCCGTGCTCAGGCACGCCGAGGGAGAGCGGGGAGGGACAGACGATGGCAAGCGCACGGACGGGGAGAAGCGGATAGACAACGCGGCGAGACGGGCGGATAGGCCGAGAGAAAGCGGGGAGGGAAGTGGCGCTCGCTCCCCGGCGCTCCGTGAAATTGGACGTCTGTAACTGGTAATAAGAGGCGAGCGACGTCTGCACCGGTCCCGACAATCCAAACGCGGCGCGCGCGTTACGCAACTGCCTTGTGCGTTGTGCGTGACGTCTGGCGCCGTCCGTTAGTAGCTCGTGTGGTCGTGTGTGTTTGTGTGTGCGACTCATGTAGTTGTGTGTGTGTGCGACTTGTGTGGTTGTGTGTGTGTGTGGCTAGTGTGGGTGTGTGTGTGACTGTGTGTGTGTGTGCGACTCATGTAGTTGTGTGTGGCTAGTGTGGGTGTGTGTGTGTGACTCATGTAGTTGTGTGTGTGTGTGCGGCTGGTGTAGTTGTGTGTGTGTGTGGCTGTGTGTGTGTTTGTGGCTAGTGTAGTTGTGTGTGTGTGCGGCTAGTGTGGTTGTGTGTGTGTGTGGCTAGTGTAGTTGTGTGTGTGCGACTTGTGTGGTTGCGCGTGCGTATGTAGCTCATGTAGTTGTGCGTGTGTGTCCATCACTCTGCGTACGGTGGCTGGTAATGAGATTTTTAAATTCAGGTTTACCCTGCCATCCTAGGTCGCAGGGCGGGAGGGGGGAGGTGGGTGGCACATTGGTCCTCTCTGAGCCCGTGAATCTGAATCTGAGTTCGATTACCAACCATGTACCTGGCCCCAGTAGGATCCCACCCATACCTGGCCCCAGTAGGATACCACCCGTACCTGGCCCCAGTAGTCCCCACCCGTACCCAGCCCCAGTAGGACCCCACCCATACCTGGCCCCAGTAGGACCCCACCCGTACCTGGCCCCAGTAGGATCCCACCCGTACCTGGCCCCAGTAGTCCCCACCCGTACCTGACCCCAGTAGGATCCCACCCGTACCTGGCCCCTTTAGGATCCCACCCGTACCTGGCCCCAGTAGGATCCCACCCGTACCTGGCTCCAGTAGGACCCCACCCGTACCTGGCTCCAGTAGGACCCCACCCGTACCCGGCTCCAGTAGGATCCCACCCGTACCCAGTCCCAGTAGGATCCCACCCATACCCGACCCCAGTAGGATTTCCCACCCATACCCGACCCCAGTAGGACCCCCACCCGTACCTGGCCCCAGTAGGCGGCGGCGTGCAGCGGCTCCCAGCCGTCCTCGTCGCGTGCGTCCGGGCTCATTCCCTGCTCCAGCAGCAGCTCGGCCACTCGCGAGCAGCCGTGAGCCGCCGCCACGTGCAGCTGTCGGGGGGGGGGGGGGGGGGGGGGCAGGGGTGGACAGAGCGACACGGCCCGGGTCAGCCACACCGCCATCGAGGAGGCAGCCGGGTGGCTCGGAGGCTGGGGACGCCACGACGGCGAGATGTTACGTACGTACGTTGGAACTTCTTTCGCACCTTCGTACGTGGCCGACCGTGCTAATCGGAGGTGCCGGGATAAAGACAAACTAACACAAAAAGCAGTTCTAAAGAAAATGAGTTTTATGATCTAGATTTTAAAGTGCATAGCTCCAGCGGCTTCCCAACAGCGTATATCAGCTTGACACCTTTTTTTTACAAGGAGTCATGTTTGGATAGACCACAATACCTGCAGTCGTTATGCAAACAAAAAACACAACTCTGATAATGTATGCATACATTATCAGAGATATGTTTTTTGTTTGCATGCATACATTATCAGAGTTATGTTTTGTGTTTGCATTACGACTGCAGGTATTGTGGTCTATGCAAACATGACTCCTTGTAAAAAAAGGTGTCAGTTTTGTTGCCAGATAAAAAGGTAAAAAAACAATTATCATATTTTTTTCTTCTGGCAAATGAGGTTCCAATGGTGTATATCAGCTTGCGCAGATTACCTCAAGGGCCAGGAGTGGTTTAGATATTCCTCACTGATGTTGGCTGTGAGCGGGAATTGAACTGGGGGAGCCAGGTTCGTAGTGCCGAATGCCGATGACCACTGACCCAGGCTGTTGGGGCAAGTGCCGTTAGCATAAAGCGCCTATGAAGGCCAGCACGGTACACGAGGGGGTGGGTGGCCAGCACCACGCCCAACCGCCTTTGTCTTCCGAGTGGCGATGTTTACACACCGCACCAAGTACTCATTTGAGGCTGAGTCGACCAAGGTGAGGCCCAGGACCAATTCAGATCATCGTCACTGGTATTGGCCATGAGCGGGAATCGAACCCGGGTCGTCAGGTTCATTGCGTGGCGTGCTAACCTCTACGCTACTGCTCCCCACACAGATACACACTCACAGAGACACACACTCACACAGACACACACACAAACACACACACTCACACAGACACACACACAGACACACACACAGACACACACACAAACACTCACACAGACACACACAGACACACACAAACACACACACTCACACAGACACACACACACAGACACACAAACACACACACTCACACAGACATACACACAAACACACACTCACACAGACACTCACACAGACACACACACAAACACACACACTCACACAGACACACACCCTCACACAGACACACACACAGACACACACACAGACACACACACTCACACAGACACACACACAGACACGGCTTCAACAACAACCCACCTCATCCTCGTCACCAAAAATGTGAAATTGCAATCTACCCTCCACTGCATACTCCACATCCTCCCCCCCCCCATCTCGTTGCCTCGATGTGCGTCTATCACTCGACGAGGAGGCGCTAATAAGACCGCGCGCCGCCGTCTCGTTTCAATTTGGCCGGGATTAACGGGGCGCTGCCGAGGTGTTTGCCCAGAAGCCGGCGATCGTTTAAGAGCCGCAAATTTCATTTTTTTTTTTTGGGGCAGGATTCCTTCTCGTTGACCGAGAGCCGTTTGTTTAATTCCGAGCATCGCAGACTCACTCTGGGGACACACACCGCACGCTGTACATCGCGTTATACACCCCGTTACACACCACGTTACACACCGCATTGTACACCCCACCCACGTACGCATTTTGGCGTCATCTGGTCCAACACCAATTGAGACTAGGCTCTAAGAAAAGCTGTCTCGGGTAGTGGACCAATCCACTTCAAGGACAGTGCATATCATTATCATCATCATCAGAGTTGTTTCTTTTTGTTTGCATTTTGACTGCTTGTGTTGTGGTTATTGCAAACATGATGCCTTGTATAAAGGTGTCAGGTTTTGTACCAGTTAAAAGGGTAAAAACCTATTACTATTGTACACCCCGTTACACACCACGTTATACACCGCATTGGACACCACGTTAAGCACCGCGCAGCGCTGCCGCGGTGATGCTAACGGCCGGCGTGCTGGACTTGCACATCCAGGGGTCGTAGGTCAGATCCGATCTCCTAGCGCGGCAGTCAAAGCAATGGGTGAGTTTCTTCAACAGGGGCTCTTCAGCAGGGGCTCTCTAGAGGGGCTCTCTAGAGGGGCTCTCTACAGCAGGGGTCCCCAGCCCCCGGGCCACGGACCGGTACCGGTCCGTGGCCTGTTAAAAACCGGGCCGCACAGCAGCAGGAGGTGAGAGTGGTGAGTCCGCACGTAGGCCCGCTCCCATTGTTTTATTATTCACCACTTCCGTCCGCGCCTCTTTCCCGCACTGCGCACTTGTCTCAGTCACAGTGTTGGTAAGCCCACGAGCTGCTGACCCCGAGTAGCCAGAATGAGGAAAAAACAAACGTCGCCGGAGAGCTTCTTTAAAAGGGGGAAAGACCCAATGATGAACCCCCCCCGCCCCGGTCCGAGAAAAAATTGTCTTCCACGAAACCGGTCCCTGGTGCCGAAAAGGTTGGGGACCGCCGCTCGACATTGGGCTCTCGCGATCTCTCCCTACACTGGAGGAGGCTCTTCTGCCAGAAGTGGAGTGAGCGAGCAATCGGAGGGGGCTGCCCTTCCGCGTAATTCCCGACCTGAATCGCCTTCAAGTGTGGCGCCGCCCACTTCTGCCGATGCACGTTGTTGTGGCTAATGAGCACTTGTCACAGCCGTACTTATTTAGACACACTATGTTGCTTTTAATTGTGAAAATGCAGTGTTCCAAATGCTGCTCTCACTCGCCTCGTTATATCATCATCGTTTTGATACAAATGCGCTTTTAATAATTGCCCAAGGTGTGCGCGTACTCTAGCCGTGATTTCACGCTGTGTCCCTCCGATAACTATATTCTTTTTACGGGCAAGGAAACAAAACAACCGCTTTAGAATGAGCGCAACATCTTCGAGATGGCGGTGATGCTGCTGCTGCTACTGCAGTGTCCCAGGTACCATGCTGGGGGGGGGGGTCACCAGGTTCTGCCTGCCGATAAAATTGGGAGAGTCTACTAGATTCTTTTTTGCCCTGGCTGCAATTGTGAACACCTGACATATCCGACATGGGGACATCTAATTAGTACATGAGAACAATTAATTAGTACATCTAATTAGTACATGAGTACATCTAATTAGTACATCTAATTTGTACATCTAATCGGCATATTCAGTGGGTTCACTGCAGCCCGAAGACTCAGTCCCCGAAAATTCGTGCGGTCAAGTTAGGAGACATCCCCCATGCGTGCGTGTGCTCGCTATTTGGAGGCCATGAAGACCAAGAATCGGTGACTTCGCCGACAATGTGTTCATCGGCAAGGCAGTTCCATATCCGTCCAGGGAGCAATGTTCTGGCAAGGGTCGCGCACAATCAGGTGGCACGGCGTCTTTCATCTGGGGGGGTGGAAGCATGGTCTGAAGGTCTGTGGGGCGGGCAGTGGTCGGGTTGCATTATGCACCTGGCACTGCGTGACAGCGTCGACGGCGATGCAGGCTTGGCGGCGGTCAAGCTGCGTGCTGGCCGGTGAGCGTCATCAACCACCACCACCATCCACCGCCACCGTGGGGTAAACCGCAGTTCGTCTATCGGCAGCGTCGTGTGTGCGGTTGCGTGGGGAGGGGGGAGCTAAAGCGTGAGTATTAGTCCCCGCCAGCTACAAATACATCCAGCCAGCGTGGAGGAGTAGGCCAAATAATCCTCCGGAGACGGTGGGGGGGGGGGGGGGGCTCTCTGGAGCTCCCTCTCGTGCACGATGGAAGCGGGTGCAGAGGCGGGGAGCGAACGAACTAGAACATAATCAAATATGCTGCGCTGCCCGGGTCATTGGTCAACAGACGCGGCTCCACGCGGAGGACTGCACCCTTGCCGTAGGGATGCGGATTTGCCTGCCGGTAATCGCATCTTTCGACCGGCATCAGTGGAATCAATCCGAAGTTCGTTGCCAGGCACGGCACTTTCGGCAGCCGTGTAAAAGCACCGAATAAAACACGGAAGTCCCCGACTTACACACACCCTCGCTTACGAGCCAGCTTCCACAAGATATATATATATTTTTTTAACCTTGACTTTAAAAGCGAACTCTCGCTTGCAAATCGAACCGCGGCACTATTTTGTCCAGCCGAGCGATCCTTCGCGAGATCTAAACGAGTCGGTCGCGTGCTGGAAGTGAGCGTCTGCGTGTGTGTGGGCATTTCAATGCAGTAGATTACCGTGTTCCGACTTACGAACAGTTCGACTTACGAACGGGTCCCCGGGACGAATTGTGTTCGTAAGTCGAGTACTGCCCATATCGTTGCTTAGGAGGGGTCATTGCCGAAAAAGTCTATCAACCATGATCAATCCACTGCTGGATGAAGGCCTCATCAGAGCCACTGCCATAATCTCTCACGATTCTGCGAGGTAACAAAGCAAACTGCACCCACACACGGGCTCATTTTATCGCTCCATGTCCCCGGGAATGTTAGGCCCGCTGCATATTTTCCATTTGAAATCGGCATAGGAAATATTTCATGGAAATTAAGACTGGAAAAATGTATCACCAGCCATCTCAGCTTTGCTGACGAAAATGATTATAACAGAGTGATTAAGATGAACTATTAAAGAAATGCACTAAGGTGACGATTACTATTATTCTTAAGCACGTTTATGCGGAAAGACCTCACTGAGTCTGCAGACTATTTTTCAGGAGGGCACTGCCAAGCTTTCGTAGTAGCGGGGCTACGACGATTGCCGTGTACATTTCAAACGAGCACTTTTGTGGATACACATTATAATGTAGTAAATTTGCACTGTGGTTGCCGGCCAAACGGGGCGAGGGCCTCCATCCCACCCATCAGTGGCTAGAAAACGCCTCGCGGTGACGACGACGACGACGGTGAGGTCGATGGTTATGAAGTAGGATGCTAGCGACGACGACGACGGAGCGGTGGCTCTGCG